CATGATTAACCAGTTATCTGCCTACAAAATGTTTCATTATCATCATGAAGAATCTGACTATAACCAACTCTCCATCACGTAATGGGAAATTTTCGGTACAAATTAATTCTAAATCTCAGATGTTAGATGATTGAAAATCCAAATACACTGAAAATACAGGCCAGGTGCGGTGACTCATGCCTGTAATCCCCGCATTTTGGGAAGCTGAGGCAGGTGGATCACCTCAAGCCAGGAGTTCGAGACCAGCCTGGCCAACACGGTGAAACCCTGTCTCTACTCAAAATACAAAAATTAGTCAGCGGGGGCAGGGCGTGTGGTGGCGAGTGCCTGTAATACCAGCTGCTTGGGAGGCTGAGGCAGGAGGATCATTTGAACTTGGGAGGCAGAGGTTGCAGTGAGCCAAGATTGTACCATCACACTCCAGCCTGGGCAACAAGAATGAAACTCCATCTCAAAATAAATTAATAAATAAAATAAAAAAGAAAATACAAATGAGGGACTAATCATCTCTTATCAGTATGATACAAATAGTTACTCTTCAACTAGTATTAGTTATTACTGTTTAGATAAAAGAAGTGTATTTTTTGTGTAAACTTACTGACGAAGGGGTCTGAATAGGTAAGAAAGTGTGCCTGAGTTTCCTTCTTCTTAACATATTATTTTCAGCTTACTTTTATTATAAGTGGAGGTAGTAATGGGTAACTCAACTGAAGGGGAAACACCACTGAAAAAGAGAAGGAAAGATAAGATCCTAACCATATGAAGGGTATTCTTTCTTCTTACTTGCAGAGAGGAAAAGATAAAAAGAAAGCAGCCTAAAGCAAGCAAGAGATAGTAAAGCACCCTATAGGAAAACACCTCCTTCACACATTCCACTATTTCCCTAGAAACAATAATAATTTAACGTCCTTTAAGCATGCAAATAATTCTTAGGAAGCCTTACCTTATGGTGCCTTATATTACTAGATCCACAAATAACAGAGACAAGGTTTCTCTCTATGAAGTTATGACTTACTTGGAGATAGAAGATATATATATATAAATAACTGTAATGCAAAACGAAAGTGGTAAGAAAATAGAGCGGACTTACTTCATGGGAAGGGAGGGGCTGGAGAAACCATTACTAAGCTTGAGGAAATGAGGTTTGAAGGTGCAGATGAGTTCTGAAGGATGGCTGGGAATCCCAAAGAGGTTGACAGAAAGCATATGTGCAAGCATATTTGGGGAACATGTCCAGTTTGGATGAAGCACGAAGTTTATGAAGCGGAACAGTTGGAGATACAACAGAAAACACAAAATGGGTAAGGTTCGCGAAAAGCTTCAGACAGCAATGAGTACATGTTATTCCATGAACTAAGAGGAACGTCATAATCACAGCCATACTTTGCAAGTGTTTATTAAATATCTATGTTTTGGTGATATAAAGGTGAACAGAACCAGCAGCTCTTGACCTCTCATCGGTGTGTCAGTTCTGGTCCTGTCTGACCTCAAATTCGTTCTTGTCCTTCTGTTGCTCTCTACTGTATGACATAAAGCCTGACTCTATACAGACAATGTTTCTCGGGCTCTTCTGTCAGCCTGCTTCTGGCTGGGCTCAGTAAATAGAAAGCACAGGTGGGAAGTTGGAGGGCAGAAGGAAGTAGCCACATTTTTCCCCCATTCCCATTCTGCCTCAGTAGAGTCTCCTCTATGACTACCATTCCCTCATCAGACAAGTTTTGCATGTTCCATACAGTCAACCCAGCCTCTTGGTCGCTTCCTCTCTCCTTATCCTTCTGATTAGCATAGTGGCTTCCTATTGCTGCTAACCACTGAGATGTCTTAGTTGAAAGCTGCTGGGCATCTTAGCCTTTCTCTCACCAGTGTAACCAATTATCTCATTAAATCCTTCCATGTTAAATACTCAGAATGTTTTCTATTTTTTGAATGCATGCTATATCATACAGAAGGTAACAAACCTATTAAAGAAAACATTTACAGATGATAGTTTTGGAGGCTCCCAGAATTCTTGAAGCTTGTCCATTAATCTAAGGATAAGACTACAGAATAAAACTAAAAAAAAAAAAGTAAGTTTCTTCTTTTTTTTTTTTTGTTAATCAATGAGAGCTTGTTATGTTGCTCAGGTTGGCCTTGAACTCATAGCCTCGCCTCCTCGAGCGCCAGGACAACTGGCCGGAGCCACTGCAGCTCCCGAAAAAAAGTAAGTTTCAAATTGGGAAAATGAAAAAGTTCCAGAAACCAACAGCGGTGATGGTCGAAGAACACTGTCAATGTACTTAATGCTGCTGAACTGTACGCTGAAAACAAACAACCAACAACTCCTTGTTTTGGGCTGTAAGAACTACATATTTTAAAATGGCCAAAATGGTGAATTTTGTTACGTATATTTTATCAAAAAAAGTAAATAAACAGCTACAATAAGACATGATAAGACAATGCCCTGGCAACATTTAAGAAGTACTAACTGTGAATGAGGTTTCAGAGATCAGGTGTGACTTGAACCTTGAATGCAAGCGTAGTAGCAAAGAGGAGCAGAATTCATATAAGAATATTCAGAGAAACTTCAATTCGTTTGGGATGTCTGCAGCATATGGCAGATGTTAAGAAGTTGAGATCAAGCAGGAGAGGTAGGGAGGATCAGTTCCACAGAGCACCTTGAAGGATAAATGGATAAAAACCGCAACTGACTGCCCAGAGGCAATAAAAAACACTTTGATGTATTCTGGCCTGTACGGTATCTTGTGAAATCCCAACAGGGCAACAAGGGCTACTTAAGCGGAGTAGTGAGATGCAAAGTCAGAGCGCAGTATCCTGAAGGATACAGGGTACTTACAGAACAGCAACTAAGTGGAACTCATTGTGTTCTCTGAATAAACTGGACTTGTGAAAGGGTGACACACAACATAAGACAAAATGTTCTGTCTAATGGGTGTCTAATGTTTCGAGGGGTCCAGAAGAGTGTTTTGGGTGTGTGTGTCTGAAAGTAGAAAAACCTAATTATCTGAACACTAAGGGCAGAAAACTTACTTCTCTATGTTCAGCAATTGGCATAGTGTTTGGAACTATCAGGCACCCAAAGATTTGCTGGAAAAAAAACCCATTATGAAGGGGTCAATAACAAGGGGAGCTGAAGATGGGGAGGGGGCAGATAGAAGAATCATGAGTAAATAATAAAACTGATATGAGAAAGACATACACGATATATATTTTTAAAATTGTGCAATGACAAATGACCAAGTAACAGCATTAGGCATAAGGAGGCTTTTTTTTGGTACTGTTTACTCCTGCTCTCTTTAAAGTTTTAGTAAGAACAAAATCATTTCAACTTTCAGAATAGAAGGTACAGTGTGAATGCTTCAGGGAGATGTGTAACCACAGCAAACAAAATGAATTGCAAGGACAAGTATCCGGGAAGCCATGACAGAAGTCCGAGTGAGAAGTAACGGCAGGCACACTACGGGACTGGTGGCAGTGAAATGGAATGTGAATGACCAAGATTTTTAAGACAAAACCATGGCTGATTAAAAGTAGGAAGTCAGCAGAGTGGCTGGGTTATGGAAAAGGAATACTCACAAATTGATGTGAATTATTCCGATTAGAAAATGATTCTGCTTTCTTAAGATTTTGTAATTAGGAGTGATTCTGCCCTCCAGGGGACTTACAAGCAGTATCTAGAGACATTTTTCCTCATCACAACTGGGTAAGGGTAGGGAATGAGTGTCCTACTGTAATCTAGTAAATAGAAGCCAGGAATGCTACTAAACATCCTACAATGTTTAAGTACAGGATAGATTCCCATAATAAAGAATTTTGAAGATAGATCCCCATAATAAAGAATTTTGAGGCCCAAAATGTTAACAGTACTGAGGCTGAGAAACCATGTTTAAGACTAGTTACCGAAACTCAACTAGATTACCAAACTGCCAAAACTCAGAATTCCTAAGCAAAAGATTAATCAGACATTAACAAAACATTAGTTTAAACTTGTCATTAGTTTCTTCAAAAATGGATGGTGGAACCATTTCCGTTTAACGTTTCCTGCAAAATGTGTTTATCAAGAGCCCTGCCCAAATAGCATTTTTGTGGACAGCGCTGGGCATTTAAAAGAGGCACAAGACAAATGGATTTTCCGAACAATAAAATAACGGAAGCAAATGGCTGTGAATACTATGGGAGGCTTCATCACAGATGTCTGCCTTTTAAGACGTCGCATACGATGTCTGTAAATCACTGGCTCGGGTTTTGAGCTTTACCTCTCGTCCCCTGTGGTACAATCCCCTTTATTCTATCAGGGGACAAACAACAACACAACCCTTCTCTCACACAGACAATACACCCTGACAAACAAGTGACCCACAAACCACACTCCTCAAATGAAGGTAAAACTAAGGCTAGAAAACGTTCAACTAAAAGGCAATCCTCCGAAATTTTTTGCTGATCAAAGAAATAAGAATTGCTGTTTTAAAATATGCCACTGGCATTTCACACCTCTACACTGGACGACGTACTGCGAGGAGGGCAGAGAAGGAAGATCACCCCTACTCCCAAACCCGTAGTTATAAGGGCGGGTTATTAGAAGGGCGCCAGGAAGGTCTCCCTAAAAGATGGGGGCGGGGGGCCCGGGGAAGTCCCTATTTTGGTCCCAGCACTGACCAGGGAAAGTGCTCAGAAGGTTGAAGCACACGCAGGCCGTCCGTCAAGCAGACAACTCTTTCAGGGATCCTAATTAAGCGCGGAGGCCTGACTTTCCCTCCGAATCCGGCCCCAGGTGTTTCCAGCCCGAGCTTCCCCTCGTCCCTCCCCTTGCCACGCAGCCTCCGAAGACAGGAGCATCGACATACAAAGAGCCTTAAACTGCCCAGAACCACCGCCAGTCTCAACTCGTAAGCCAGGAGGCAAAACCCCCAAAGCTTCCCCACCCAGGGTAGACCTCTGGCCTTAAAGGTCCTTCCGTCCGGCACAGCCAGGTCCAATACCCTCCTTCCCGCGTCCGCGCTTACCCAATACCAGCCGGGCTACATCCGAGGGTAACAACATGATCAAAACCGCAGCGGGAACCACAATAAAGAACGAGAGTCAGGTTAGAGCAAACGCAGCGACAGCTCCGGCGCCGCATCTCCCGGTTCCAGTGGCGGCACTGAACCCGCGGCAATTTGTCCCGCCTCTTTCGCTGCATGGCAGCCAATTGCTTCCGCCAGAGAAAGAAAGGCGCCGAAATGAAACCCACCTCCGTTCGCCTTTAGAACTGTCGTCATTTCCGTCCTCACACTAGGAGGGGCGGGGCTGAGGACGGCGAGGAGGGGCGGGGCTGAGGACGGCGAGGAGGGGCGGGGCTGAGGACGGCGAGGAGGGGCGGGGATGAGGACGGCGAGGAGGGGCGGGGATGAGGACGGCGAGGAGGGGCGGGGATGAGGACGGCGAGGAGGGGCGGGGATGAGGACGGCGAGGAGGGTGGGTCCTCGCCCGCGAGCCCGAGCCGGAGAGCGAGCCGCAAACGCTAGGTCGTGGGTCATTGGTGGGTAGGGCGCAGGCGCGTTTGCTCCGACGGGCCGAATGTTTTGGGGGCGTGTTTTGAGCGGGGAGACCGCGTGATATTTGGCGCGCATGGGCACAACTTGCTCCGCCGCCGCTCGGCCTTGCTTCTTCCTCCAGAAGTGGGCGCTGCGCGGTCATGCCAGGTTTGAACCGGAAGCAGGAGTAGGTACCTGCGTGGCTAACGGAGAAAAGAAGCTGTGGCAGCGGGAGGAGGCCAGAGGAGCCGGGATCTGGGCTGCAGCCGCCGCCGCCGCCTTTGATGCCACTTTGACCTTCCGAGTGCAGCGGTAGGGACTAGGGACTAGGGACTGGGAAGCAACGCAACGGCTTCTGCGTTGGAAAATTCAGCCGCGGGCCAACCAGTCTGTCTTCACCCCAGACACCCAATCCCATGCACCCCTCCGGAGTGGCCCTTGGCTCGTCCTCACTCCATCTTTCTCGGCCTTTCTCTGAGTTCCTAGCGGATTTGCCAATAACCTCCTTTTAAGTGCCCTGAATTGCACCCTCCCTTCTGCGCATCCTTTCTTCGTGTCACGTTAGGGTTCAGATTTAACTACGAGACGTGACTAGTCATCTTTTGATCTCTCTCTCTCATAATTAGTACTTTTAGTCAGCGAGCATTTATTGATGTTTCAACTTTAGCTTCGAGGTTACGCTTGGGCTGTGGAATCGTAGGGCTGGAGTTAGTCTGACTGTCCTCCGTGTGGCCTCGCTCTACTGTCTAACTTGTGAAGATAAGTGAGATAATCTTGACCCGAGGTGAGCACTCGTGAGCGTTACTTGCTATTTTTGCCAGGTACAACGACAGTGGATTTTAATGTGTGTGATAGAGGAGTACTGTGATGGTAGAGGAGTGACTGGTTCTTTACAAACTCACCATCAATTCAGTTTGTGGTGAGACTTCGCAGTGTTACCTTGGCAGATGATAGAAGCCTTCCAGATGGAAGGAAAAAATGCGTGTAAAGGCACAAAGTGTAGGACCCTGAAGCTCCAGAGTGAGTTCTGGCATTGAATGAAATATATATATATATATATATATATATATATATATATTTTTTTTTTTTTTTTTTTGAGATGGAGTTTCGCTCTTGTTACCCAGACTGGAGTGCAATGGCAGGATCTCGGCTCACCGCAACCTCCGCCTCCTGGGTTCAAGCAATTCTCCTGCCTCAGCCTCCCGAGTAGCTGGGACTACAGGCGCCCACCACCATGCCCAGCTCATTTTTGTATTTTTAGTAGAGACGGGGTTTCACCATGTTGACCAGGATGGTCTTGATCTCTTGACCTTGTGATCCACCCGCCTCGGCCTCCCAAAGTGCTGGGATTATAGACGTGAGCGACCGCACCCGGTCTGAATGAAATATATTTTGCGGGTTTTCAACAGTTGTGGTTATAGGAATGGATGAGATCAAGAAGACAAAGCTGTTCTTTGGGGTGTGAGTGGAAGAACCATCGAAGGAGACTTTCGAAACAGTGATAAAGGAAGGGAGTATGATCATTGCTAACCTTTATTGAACACTTGCTGTGTTTCAGGCACTGTAAGCATGTATATAGGTCCTTATAAGTGCTCTTCGAGGTGGGTACTAGTATCGTTTTTCATTTTATCATTGAGAAACTCAGGTTTGAAGAGATGAGTGAACTTGTTTTAGATGATACAGTTTGTAAGTGGCTGAACCAGGATTTGAACTAATACAGTCTGACTGCAGAGGCCACACTCTTTGGCACTAGAAAAGAATGGCATGCTAAGGGCAGAGTTATTTCTAGGAAGATGGGATATAAGCATCATTGTCAGGTTCTGCAAAGGGATCAAATTGGTTGAGATCTAAAAAGAAACATTGAATTTATCAATTCAGAGGCCTAAGGAAGTAGGAAATCTGTATCTTCTCATTTGAACCTTGAGTGGAACCTAGATATTCTAAATTAATGTATAAATGAACTTCATCTTTATATGGTGACACGCATACTCTAGTTGACTACTTAATAGTTCCTCTACCTTTCAGTTCTTCCAACATACTGTGTACTTTTACATCGTAGAACCCTTTGGCTATGCTAGTCTCCTTCCCTGAAGTGTTGGTCCCCCTTTTTTTGATTGGCACCAGTTAGTTCACATCTTGGCTTTATTATAACCTCCTGTGCAAGATGTTCCCTGACAACTCATCTAAAATGATCCTCTCTACTGTTATTTTTTATTACTGTATTTTTGTTTCCTCAGAGGCATACATCACAATTTGGAATTCTGCATTGATTTATCAGTTGTTTATTGTCACTCTGCTGCCCAGATATACCTCGATGAGGGTAGGATTTGTATCTGTTTAGTTCATTATTTGTCTAGCTATACGTAGTAAATATTGTTTGCATGTGTCAGTGAATGAACATCTTCTGTTTATGTAGATAATACTAAACTATTTTGTTTTCTTCAAAGTAATCATTAAGAAACTGAAGAGAAGAAAAACAAGTTCAAAGAAGTCATAGCATGGGGAAAAAAAGTCAAGTTTAGGGCTGCCTCTTCTGGGAAGTGTCAAATCTTTAGTATATTTAAGAATAAAGGTGTCATCTCTTATGGTTCTTTGGATATTGCTAAGGTGTTTTCATTGGTTAGATTAACAGTTTCATTTTCCTTGTTGACTCAAGAGGGCTTTAAACTGAAACTGAAGAAGTAGGAAGATCTCTAGATAAAACCATAAGGAATGTGAAAGCAAAAGTGACAATACTTGTCCACAGGAAGTATATCATCAAATGAAAAGTACTCAAATAACAACCTGTAATCTACAGCAGAGTAAACGGAAGGTTGTAATAGTGTTGCGGGGGTTGGGGGAGGTCAGAAGAATGACCAGTGAATACAAATGGAGAAGAGAATTATGCTGGTTTTTTTTTGAGACAAGAGTCTCACTCTGTCACCCAGGCTGGAGTGCAGTTGTGCTATATCGACTTACTGCAACTTCTGCCTCCTGGGATTGAATGAAGCCTCCCCAGTAGCTAGGATTACAGGCATGTGCCACCACACCTGGCTAATTTTTGTGTTTTTAGTAGAGATGGGGTTTCATCATGTTTGCCAGGCTGGTTGGTCTCAAACTTCTGACCTCATGATCTGCCCACTTCAGCCTCCCAAATTGCTGAGATTACAGCCCTGAGACACTGCACCCAGCCCTGATAGACAGCTCTAGAATGTTCAAAGACAGGGCATTTATTTCGTAGTGAAGAGGGAGACCCAGGCATCTCAGATCAACTTCCCCTTTTCATTCCTAAGACTGTAAACTTCCCCTTTTCATTCTTAAGACTGTAAACTGAAACCCTTTTCATATGTAATTTCTGAGACTGTAAACTGGGACCCTTTTCATAGGTAATTCCTAAGACTGTAAACTGAGACCCTTTTCATATGTTAAGCTATAAACCTAAGATTCTTCCACTGTAACATCTAAAGTATAAGTCTATATAAAGAAGGAACCTTCCTTTGTTAGGGAGCTTGGCTGTTAGGCAACTATGCCACCTTGCTCCCGGCCGAATAAACTCCTTCCTCCTGTATTTGGTGTCCGAGAGATCCATTTCCCGTGAGATCCCGTTTCCCGCGGCTGCTCCTGCTACAGTAGGAGACATTTTTGCCTTCATAGGAATTGGACCTGGTCTCTTAGTTCCTCTCAATTTTGAGATTCTGTGAGATCGAATCAGGGCAGAGAACCGTACTTGATCTTTAAAGATTCAGTAGGATTTAAATGGATGGACAGGAGAAGGACTTTTGCTACCTTTTTTCATCTTCAGATATAGGTATGTGTAGATATAATATACATAAATATGTGTATTTTTCTCCATTTACAGACATTTATATTCTAATAAAAAACTTCTTTGTATTATATAAAGGTTTAGATCAGAACTAATAAGACAGAATGCTGTTTCTTTTTTTTTCCCTTTACTATTTTACTTTAGTTTCTATGGGTACGTGTGCAGGTTTGTTATATGGGCAAATTGCATGTTGCTGAGGCTTGTTGTACAAATGATCCTGTCACTTAGGTAGTGAGCACAGTACCTGATAGTTAGCCTTTCAAGCCATATCTCCCTCCCTCTCTGTCCCTCAAACAGTCCCCAGTGCTGTTTTTCACATCTTGTGTCCACGTTGACATGCTGTTCTTATCAGATTTTTTTAAAGGTCTTCAAAAGAGGGTTTGATTATATCAGAAGCCCCCAAAAGAAGAGAGCCACTACAGTGGAATCAAGGCATAGTCAAATATAGTTGATCTTTGACATTTGCAAAGGATACCACACAATAGCATAGAATTTCTTTCATTTCCTTTTAAAACAGGAATATTATTTTCCTCCTATTGTTATGTGTTAAATGAGAACGTAAATACCAGTTGAGATGGAAGTGCTAGGCAAAGCTTACTAGCTCTGATAACCTCCTACTTATGAGTTCCCAAGCATGTTTTAAGCCTTTGGCTCAGCAAAATGACACATCACTCCATATAAGCAAGAGTGCTTTTAAATGGTTCGTTGTCAATGTTAAATCCTTAAGTGCTCACTTCCTTATTTGCCTGGCTGTTTTCTATTCACCTTTCATGTCTCAATTTAAATGTCATGTTTCTTTGGTCTCAGAGTGATAGAAAGTAAATAATACGTTTTTTTTTTTCCTGAGACTGTCTTGCTGTCGCCCAGGTAGCCTCTGCCTCCTGGGTTCAAGGAATTCTCCTGCCACAGCCTCCCAAGTAGCTGGGATTACAAGCATGTGCCACTACGCCCAGCTAATTTTTTTATTTTTAGTGGAGACGGGATTTCACCATGTTGGCCAGGCTGGTTGAACTCCTGACCTTGTGATCCGCCTGCCTTGGCTTCTCAAATTTCTGGGATTACAGACTTGAGCCAGCCTACCCGGCATAAATTATACTGTTAATTTAATTCTGCTCCTACTGCAAGCAAAGCAAACATTTTTTGTGTTAGAGCATTATTTGTATAGATTTTAGGAAAATCTCTTCTTAAATATGAAAATATTCAGGAAAATTATTGTGCCATTGATCACAATGTGCCTTTAATTGTATGATTAAATCTAACTATAAATACCGTGGTATAAAATAATTATATATATATATTTTTTTCACGTCAAGCATATGAACCCGTTCACCTCTGTCTCTATATACACATATATGTATATTGTGTTCTTTTTTTTTGCAGACAGTGATGTGTGTTCTGAAATTGTGAACCATGAGTCTAGCACTTAATGATCTGCTTATTTGCTGCCGTCATCTAGAACATGATAGAGCTACAGAACGAAAGGTAGTAAATTACTTAAATTCAATTTTTCCTTGAAATAAGCGTGACTAGTAATCCATTATTATCTCCTTTTTCTTGTCAGAAAGAAGTTGAGAAATTTAAGCGCCTGATTCGAGATCCTGAAACAATTAAACATTTAGATAGACATTCAGATTCCAAACAAGGAAAATATTTGAATTGGGATGCTGTTTTTAGGTATTCTATTCAATTATTTTACTGTCTTTATTTTTCTCTTTTATATTTATTTCTGTTGTGATATTATTTTTGTGTGTAAGTCTTAAAATTTATCTTTGCTTCCTATATGTCATTGTGCTTTGCATATGAATTTGGCTTTTAATATTTATCCAAAATACAATTTTTTTTTTTTTGAGACGGAGTTTCGCTCTTGTTACCCAGGCTGGAGTGCAATGGCGCGATCTCAGCTCAACGCAACCTCCGCCACCTGGGTTCAAGCAATTCTCCTGCCTCAGCCTCCTGAATAGCTGGGATTATACAGGCACACGCCACCATGCCCAGCTAATTTTTGTATTTTTAGTAGAGACAGGGTTTCACCATGTTGACCAGGATGGTCTCGATCTCTTGACCTCGTGATCCACCCGTCTTGGCCTCCCAAAGTGCTGGGATTACAGGCTTGAGCCACCGCGCCCGGCCCCAAAACATAATTTTTAAAGGTTGTTCATATAGAAATTAAAAATTATAAATCATTTCTTCACTAAGATGTTTTAGACTTACCCTCACTCAAAATTGAGAGAGAATTTCTTTCTTATCAATTAGTTCACAAGACTTCAGATTAGAGAAAAAAATTATAATAAATGTTTGGATTTTACTTTCATACCTTTAAATATTACTCTGAGTATAAGTAAATGCCATGTGTTAAATGGTAATAAAACAAGTAAAGGAAGATTGGAATATTTGCGTATGAATTCAGTTAAAACCAACAAAAAAAGGCCTCAAGCAATGAAAAAACACGATTGCTGGATAGGAGCGGCAAACAGGGTTGATGCATTTTCACATTGAGGTATTTTCAACCATGAAATCCATTTATAACTAGAGACAGGTTGTAAGGATTTTAAATTCTGAGAGTATTAAATAAACTAGAAATAACATTTGTAGTCAAGAGGAAGGATGTATTTAGTTGCCAGTGTTTAGGACCGATGCGGTTTTATTTTTGGCTCCTATTTGGTATTAGATTGACTGTTACATATTTGAATGCATGTAACATGAAAAATTCATGCTCTTTTTCTTCTGGTTTTCTAGTTCATTTTAAATACCACAAATATAATTATAACCTGAAGATGAATACTGTTTTGTATAAGCTGATCCCGTGGGTCAGAAATGCACCCAGCACTCCTGGCTCGTTATGGATATCTTCTAGGCAGGCTTCATTTAATGGCTAGCAACATTACCAACTGCCTAAGAAACAGGTAGATCCTGTGCAGAATAACAGAAGGAGTTGAGAGAGTCCTCACAAGCATTATAAGCTTTTAATGATAATTTTAGAAGGAGGCAGTAAAGCAGTTGAAAGTCATAGAAGATTAAGGGCTTTGCAGACCAGACATTAAATTGGTGGTGTTTGTAGGAGTTAGGCCTTGAAAGAGATGTTTAATTGTTTTATTTGTTTTATTCATCTGGTATAGTATTCTGAGCCAGGTAGTTTAAAAGTTGCTCTTTGTGATGGCATGAATGGCTTTCGAAATTATTATAATTTAAGTAATGAGTTTCTGAAATTGCATTTTGTTTTCTTGAAGATTTTTACAGAAATATATTCAGAAAGAAACAGAATGTCTGAGACTGGCAAAACCAAATGTATCAGCCTCAACACAAGCCTCCAGGCAGAAAAAGATGCAGGAAATCAGTAGTTTGGTCAAATACTTCATCAAATGTGCAAATAAAAGTAAGTGATGTTATAAATGATAAATCAATGGCTTTCCAGATTACTGTTGCAGGAGTTTTTTTTTCAGATTATTTTAAGGACTTTAACTGCTGTATAAGTTTCTTCTAAATATAGTAAGATAAAAGTTGAGTATGAGTACATATAATGATTTTTATTTTTATTAAAAAAGTTTTTTTTCAAGGCTAGTCAGAGGAAGCAGTGGCAGTGGAGAAGAAACAAATCTGTAACTGGTTGTGATCGATTAGTTCTGAACACCACCGCACTCCAGCCAGCCTGATCTTTAATACTGCAGATTCAAATATTTGAGGAAATTTATGCAAGCATAGAATGACAGAAACGTGAGGATTGAAGGGATTGATTGATGTATTTAGAGATAGGGTCTTGCTCTGTCACCCAGGCTGGAGCGTAGTGGTGTGATGATAGCTCGCTGCAGCCTCAAGCTTCTCAGTTCCTAAGTGATCCTGCTGTCTTAGCCTCCTGAGTGGTTAGGGCTATAGATGTGCATCACCATGCCAGGCTCATTTTTTTCTTTTTTTAAAGAGATGTTATCTCACTGTTTTGCCCAGGCCGATCTTCAGCTCTTGGCCTCAAGCACTCCTCTCCCTGCTCAGCATCCCCAGTTATTGGCATTCCAGATGTGAGCCACCGTGCTTAGTGAAGGAATTAAAAATTACTGTTTTAACTACCCAGTCTTGGATTCCCTCTATATGTCCCCAGCCCTTTGGTAGAGGTATAGTCTTAATGATTGAATATACTTACAAGGCTCTCTTTTCCATCTTTGAATAGCATTAAGAGTATTAAAAACCCACTGGGGGCAGTGGCTCACTCCTGTAATCCCAGCACTTTGAGAGGCTGAGACAGGCAGATCGCCTGAGGTCAAGAGATGAGACCAGCTTGGTCAACATGGCAAAACCTCATATCTACTAAAAATAAAAAAATTAGCCAGGCATGGTGGCACATGCCTGTAATTCCATCTAATTGGGAGGCTGAGGCACTAGAATCACTGGAACCCGGGAGGCAGAGGTTGCAGCGAGTTGAGATTATGCCACTGTGCTCCAGCCTGGGTGACAGAGCTGGGCTCTGTCTCAAAAAAAAAAAAAGGTAATAAAAACAGTCTTTTGTTACTGCTTCTCCCTTCTGAGTATACCAAACACTCCTATTTATTTTTTCAGTGTGACATCCTCAGAGATGTTTGAAAGGAGCCACAGTACTTCCTGAGTCATCATCTTTAAAGTTCATACACTTACTCTCTTCAGCTCATATGACCTACGTTTTATGCCAATTTCTTCTGAATATTCTTCAGTTTAATTATCTGTCTTAAAGTGTGGCCTCTACTTACAGGGAAGGGGCCAGTAAAATAAACAAAAAGTGTGGGGCTCATTTTTTAAAATTCAGGATCTTACTCTGTCACCCAGGCTGGAGTGTGTGCATTGGTGTGATCTTGGCTCACTGTAACCTCTGCCTCCTGGGCTCAGGTGATACTCCTGCCTCAGCTTCCTGAGTAGCTGGCACTACAGACACAGGCCACCATGTCTTGCTAATTTTTGTATTTAATAAAGACAGGGTTTCACTGTGTTGGCCAGGCTGGTCTCAAACTCCTGACCTCAAGTGATTTTCCCACCTTGGCCTCCCAGAATGCTGGGATTATAGGCATGAGCACCTGGCCGGGACTCAATCTTTTAGGTATATTCTGCTTAGTAAGGAGTGAAGCTAGAAAACGAGTTTTCAAAGTAAGAAAAAAAAAAAAAAAAAAAGAGTGAAGCAAGGCTTACATGTCTTTCTTTCTGTACTTTTACTGATTAATTCTAAGACCACATAAGCTTCCTTGGCTGTCAGAATCAACACTTAAGTGCCATTACTAAGATTTAAGGGAAGAAACTACCCAAAAAATAATTTTTTTTCTCCTGATGAAACGGATATCTCCCATCTTTAACTTGTACGATTAATATTGCGAAGAGTTGATATTTTTGAACCAAAATGCAGGATCCTGGTTAGCTTTTGTAAGGAAATGGGCTTTACACATACTGAAAAGCTAGAGGTAGAAATGTGTGTTTAGGGACTCCAGGCCTCTTCACAGATGAGGATGTTGCTTTGTGATAACTCTTAAGAATCAGGAGGTGGGGGCACAGTGGCTCACACCTGTAATCCCAGCCCCTGAGGGGGCCAAGGCTGGTGGATCACCTGAGGTCAGGAATTGGAGACCAGCCTGGCTAACATGGTAAAATGTTGTCTCTACTAAAAGTACAAAAAATAGCCAGGCATGGTGGCAGGCACCTGTAATTCCAGCTACTCGGGAGGCTGAGGCAAGAGAATTGCTTGAACTCGGGAGGCAGAGGTTGCAGTGAGCCAAGACCGTGCTACTGTACTCCAGCCTGGGTGATGAGCAAAATTCCGTCTCAAAAAAAAAAAAAGAATCGGGAAAGCCCTGAAATTGGTAAATATTTAGTAGAAGTATGCAGATTATTAGTGAATGATATTTCCGAATGGCGTTATGAGAATTGAGTCTAAAGAACAATGATTTAGTACATTTTCCACCTCATTTTAGATGCCAGTATGTGTAGGTAGCTTGAAGCCCTTGTCAGAGACTCCAGCAGAGACAAAGGAAAGCTACGCTGCGATATTCTACACCCGATTTTGCTCTATGTGGTGCAAAATACTGTATTTGCTATACAAATAGCAAATGTAGTAGGTACTTAATGAGAGTGAATGACAGAAAGATAACACATCAGTTTTGTAGCCCACCAGAAAAGTTTGCAGCATTTACAGTAATTTTGCCTTGCAGTGAACAGCCCTTTTAATTGCAAAATTAACAATGGAGATTACATTTGAAAATGTATCAACATGTTGGTTTATAAGAAAGAGTTGGCCGGGCTTGGTGGCTCAAGCCTGTAATCCTAGCACTTTGGGAGGCCGAGGCGGGTGGATCACGAGGTCAAGAGATGGAGACCATCCTGATCAACATGGTGAAACCCCGTCTCTACCAAAAAAAAAAAAAGGCCTTAAAAGAAATAAAGAAGTGAAGGGTAGCTGAGAAGAAACAAGTAAGCAAATATTGTTCATTTCTCTCCTTTTTTTTTTTGAGACAGAGTCTTGCTTTGTTGCTCAGGCTGGCGTGCAGTGTTGTCATCTCGGTTCACTGCAGCTTCTGCCTCCTGGGTTCAAGTAATTCTAGTGTGTCAGCCTCTGGAGTAGCTAGGACTATAGGCATATGCCACCAGGCCCAGGTAGTTTTTGTATTTTTAGTAGAGATTGGGGGTTTCACCCCGTTGACCAAGCTGGTCTCAAACTCCTGGCCTCAAGTGATCTGCCTGCCTCAGCTTCCCAAAATGCTGGGATTATAGGTGTGAGCTACCATGCCCAGCCTGTTCATTTTTTTTTTTCTTTTTTGAGATGGAGTTTCGCTCTTGTTTCTCAGGCTGGAGTGCAATGGTGAGATCTCGGCTCATTGCAAACTCTGCCTCCCAGGTGCAATCGATTCTTCCGCCTCAGCCTCCCATGTAGCTGGGATTATAGACATGCACCACCACACCTGGCTGATTTTGTATTTTTAGTAGAGATGGGGTTTCACCATGATCATCAGGCTGGTCTTAACCACAAGTGATCCACCTGCCTCACCCTCCCAAAGTGCTGGATTACAGGTGCGAGCCACCATGCCCCACCTGTTTGTTTCTTTATGTAAGCATTTGTCTGCTTTCGTACAAAGCTTAGAGTCTAGATGATGCAAAACTCAGCTGTGAAAAATGTGAAGTTCCCTAAGATTTCTAAAAGTCTCTGCAGGTAGGCTGGGCGCAGTGGCACATGCCTAATCCTGGTACTTTGGGAGGCCAAGGCAGGCAGAGTGTTCAAGCCCAGGAGTTTGAGATCAGCCTGGATAACGTGGCAAGAGCTCCTCTCTACAAAAACACAAAAATTAGCCAGCCGTGATGGTGAACACCTGTAGTCCCAGCTACTTAGGAGGCTTAGGCAGGAAGATTGCTTGAGCCCAGGGGGCAGTGGTTGCAGTGAGCCAAAATTGTGCTACTGAACTCCAGCCTGAGTGACAGAGTGAGATCCTGTCTCAAATAAAAAGAGGTCTCTGCAGGCAACTGAGTTGTACTTTTAAGAAGGATTTGATCCTAGAAGTTTGAGACCAACTTGGGCAACATAGGGAGACCCCATCTCTACAAAAACTTAAAAAACTAGCTGGGCATAGTGGCGCTTGCCTGTAGTCCTAGCTACTTGGGAAGCTGACGTGTGTCAGTCCCTTAGACCCAGGAGGTCAAGGCTGCAGTGAGTCGTGATGGGCCACATGCACTCCAGCTTGGGTGACAGAGCAAGACTGTCTGAAAAACAAGCAAAACAGTGAAACAAAGGTCAACACATTTCTTGAAACAATTCCCATATTTGGTAGAGGAAGGAGATACATTGGGATAAAGGACATAGGAAAATATGATTTTATTATAATATTAATTTCTGTAGTTATTCACCACAAATTAATTTTTATTAAGCATTTGCTATTAGGGCGGTCACTGGGCTTTTATGTCAGAATACAGAGATTAATTCTTCTGCCTAAGGATCTAATAATACAATGGTTGTTTTAGATAAGAAAAATGTTGTAAAGACTGTAAGAGATGCAAAGAGGACCACATGGCTGTGCATTTCATAACCGGACAATGCCTAAAATTATGAAATGAGCCATGAGTGAAGATGATTTTGCAGTTATATCAGTGTATATTTATTTACCACAGTCTGATACTTGTGAATATAGCTAGTCTCATCATATGAAAACCCTAATCCAGAATAATATATTCATGTTTACATGATGCACTGTGCTCTGCTCGTAGTTACAGCAATAAATACGTTCAATTTAAAATGGTCAGTATTGAAATAGGGCATTTCCACTGTGACATAAATATGATTTGCTGAAAATGAGAATTAAAGTATTTTTAAACATACTTTGTTACCTTCAAGAGTATGTGTCTAGTAATGCCAAATTTTCAGAATCTCTAATAAGTAAATAAAATGGTGTTAAAGATGGCAACAGGGGTCATGCACGGTGGCTCATGCCTGTAATCTTGACCTCTTTGGGAGGCCAAGACAGGAGAATCCCTTGAGTTCAGGATTTCAAGACCAGCCTGGGGAACATCATGAGAGATTCTGTCTCTCTGAAAAATAAAAATAATTAGCTGGGCATGGCGGGACAACATCTATAGTTCCAGTTACTCAGGGGGCTGAGGTGGGAGGATCCCTTGAGCCTGAGAGGTTGAGGCTGCTGAGGGCTGTGATCATGGCACTGCACACCAGCCTGGGTGATAGAGCAATACTCTGTCTTAAAAAAAAAAATTACAGCTTGAGATATTTGTATGCCATAAATGCTACTATAGGACTTATAACTAATTCGGCTTTCCAAGGTAAATATTCTTCTCGTAATCTTATGTTATTTTAATAAATTCATTCTTTATAAAGAGTCCTAAAAAACTTGGGATCAGTTTTGGTACAAAACCAGAAATTGTGAATTATTAAGGATATAATTGTTTTAAGAATGATTGCTTTTCGAGTTGGGCAGGTCACTTGGGGTCAAGAATTCAAGATCAGCCTGACCAACATGGTAAAATCCCATCTCTACTAAAAATAAAAAATTAGCTGGGCGTGATGGTGTACACCTGTAGCATGTTGGTGCAAACCTATAGTCCCAGCTATTTGGAAGGCTGGAGTGGGAGAATCACTTGAACCTGGCAGGCGGAGGAGGCTGCAGTGTGCTGAGATTGCAGCACTGCGCTCCAGCCTGGGCGACAGAGCAAGACTGCTTCATAAAAAAAAAGAATGATTGTTTTTGCTATAAATTCCGAATAGAGGCATTGGCAAACTTGCTGTGTAAAGAGGCCAGATAGTGAATGTTGTTTACTTTACAGGCCATGCAGTCATCTCTGTCTTAATCACAAAAGCAGCCGTGGACAGCAAATGACGGGATGTGACTATCTTCCAATAAGATATTATTTGCAGAAACCAGTAACTGGCTGAATTTTGCTTGGGGACATAATTTGCCAATTTCTTCTGTACAGAAGAAGGTTAATTAATAGTAATTTCCCAAATGGAATTATTTAAATAGTTGTCATTCCAGGTGTCTTTTATTTTTGTTCAAATGTACGTTTTTCTTTATTTGTTTTATTTTATTTTTAAATAGGAGCACCTAGGCTAAAATGTCAAGAACTCTTGAATTATATCATGGATACAGTGAAAGATTCATCTAATGGTGCCATTTATGGAGCTGATTATAGCAACATACTACTCAAAGACATTCTTTCTGTGAGAAAATACTGGTGTGAAATATCTCAGCAACAGTGGTTAGGTACGTTTGGAAGGTTGTTCTTTTTTGTGAATTTTCCTCCTAAAATGAAACTTCACCAAAGAAAGCACTCTTGTCTGTATCTGTCTGTATCCCCCAAGTGACCTGACAGTGTAACAGTACTTTAGTAATATTATATAGTTATCAAACCTGACCCTTAATTTTTATTTATTTATGTAGCTTCTGAATTAAGTAACCAATAATATATCAGAGCTGGAATTACAGTTGAAAGATGTCATCTCCATTGTCAAGGAGTTGACAGTGGCAGAAGAAAACTCAAGTAAACCAGAGATTATAATGCACTATGATACAGATATATTTGGGTGCAGTAGATAGACAAAACAATGACACCTAAACTCAGCCATGATTCAAGTAGAAAGGGAGAGAACCAAGAGAGAGAAGTATGGTGAAAGTGAAAGCAGGCTGGGTGTGATGGCTCGGGCCTGTAAACCCAGCACTTTGGAAGGCCAAGGCAGGTGGATTGCTTGAGCCCAGGAGTTCGAGACCAGCCTGGGCAATATGGTGAAACTCTGTCTTTACAGAAAATAGCAGAGGTAGTGGCTCATGCTTGTAGTCTCAGCTACTTGGGAGGCTGAGGCAGGAAGATCACCTGAGTCCTGGAGGTTGAGGCTGCAGTGAGCTGTTCTCACTTCACACTGCACTCCAACCTGGGTGACAGAGTTAGACCCTATTTCCACTAAAAAATAAAAATAAAAGTGAAAGCAAGAGAATTTAAAGTTCAAAGGGGTGTGGCTAACATTTTAAGTGTAGTAGAAGGGGACACAAGTATCCATTGGATTAGGCACTTGGCACTCTACTCCTAAGGTCATTGAAATGAATTATATTAGAATAGAATGCATTAGAAGAGAATGTACAGGACCTAGTGACTCACTAGATGTGTAGAGTGTATGCTAGGGAGAAATCTGGGATTGTTGCCTGTTTATAGCTGGGAGGTACTGAGAGACTACAAAGGAAAGAAGTTATGATCAGAGACTGAAATATTTCAGTTTATTGATTTCAAAGATGGAATATTTCTGGGTTTGAGAGTAAGTAAAAGTAGGATTTGACATTAACAAGATGACTGAGTCAGATGTCAAAGTCTTCTGATATACCAGCTCTAAAAGTTTAGAAGCTTTTTTTTTTTCATGGAAAAGTGTTTAAGCTACATTTTGCTTGCTAAACTAAAAGACATTTGTCCATATTTTTTATTGCCATTATTTCAAAATGAGGTACATGCGAACCACAAAACTACTAACTAATTGGTACCCTCACTCTGCATTACATTCTATCATTCCCACAAGAATAAACTCCTTCTCAGCTATTGTACTAATTTCTTAGGAGTCATTTGGAGCCTTTCTGTTACTCTGACCACAAGGTAGGCCGTGTCTGTACTAGGGCCCTCAACAAGCCTAGAGACAGCCTTTGGGGAATAGCCTGGTGATATCTAAGATACTCATCCAGGTCTTTCCCCAATATGGCTGGTCATATTTAGGACATTTTAGATGGTCACTTATAACCATGGCTGTCACTGAAACCAAGGCACTCTCTCCCCAGTCCCCTTACTATATTCTGTCATCTAGTGTGTTCTCTGAAACCCCCTTTTTATTTGTAAACGAACTACTGTTACTGCTTTTTTTTTTCTAAGCTAACCTTTGCTACTTCTTCCTGGATGTTTCTTCTTATAATCAGCCTTTTTGTCAGATATTTTTTTTACTTAGCTTCCTTCTCTAAAACTTGCTTAGATGAGGACTCTGTGGAAGAAGTGAAGTCAGTGCTCAAAATATATATTTGGTAGAGGTGGGGATTAAAGCCCTGACTATGGATGAGATTTCTATATAGAGTTCAGGGTGAGATGAGAAGAATGGCCTAAGTCAGCATTTCTGTATAAATTTTGGAATCAGCTTATTTATTCCTGCAGAAGATCTTGCTGGGATTTTGATACTAATTGCATTGAAATGGTTGAACAATTAGGAAAGAATAGAAATCGTAACAATGTAGAGTTTTCTATTCCATGAACACTGTATCTCTCTCCATTTACTTAGGTTGTTTGTTTGTTTTTTGAGACTGAGTCTCTCTCTGTCACCCAGGCTGGAGTGCCAGTGGCATGATCTTGGCTCACTGCAACCTCCACCTCTTAGGTTCAAGTGATTATACTGCCTCAGTGTCCTGAGTAGCTGGGATTACAGGCATGTGCCACCACAGACAGCTAATTTTTGTATTATTAGCAGAGACAGGATTTCATAATGTTGGCCAGGCTGGTCTCAAACTCTTGACCTCAGGTGATCCGCCTGCCTTGGCCTCCCAGTCTGCTGGGATTACAGGCTTGGGCCACTGCACCAGCTACTTAGGTCTTTTTTGATTTCTTTCACTAGTGTTTTGTAATTGTCAGCAAAAATTTTTTTTATTGTAAATTGAGAATTTTTTTTCTTTAATTTCATTTAAAAAAAAATTAGAAACAGGATCTCACTTTGTTGCCTAGGCTGGTCTCAAACGCCTGGGCTCAAGTGATCAAAGTGTTGGGATTATAGGCATGAGCCACCATGCCCAGCTGCAAATTGACATTTATAATTGCATAAACATAAAGATTTTGTGTATGTTTTGTTAGATATATACTGCAGTAGTAAATTGCATTGTTTTTAACATTTTGATTTTCAAATTTTTCAATGTACAAAAATTATACAAAAGTACAGTTGATTTTTATATAGCAACCTTGTATTTTGGGATCTTGCTAAAATCACTTATCCATAAATCTAGTAGCTTTTTTTGAATGTTCTTTGGGATTTTCTTTGGAGACAAACGTCTTCTGTAAGCAGTACTTTTTTTTCCTTTCTGAGCCATGTGTCTTTTATTTTGTGCCTCATTACATTGGCTAGGACCTCCAATATGATTTTTTTAATTGTGGTAAACTATATATAACATTTATTATTTTAACTATTTTTTTTTTTTTTTGAGACGGAGTTTTGCTCTCGTTACCCAGGCTGGAGTGCAATGGCGCGATCTTGGCTCACCGCAACCTCTGCCTCCTGGGTTCAGGCAATTCTCCTGCCTCAGCCTCCTGAGTAGCTGGGATTACAGGAACATGCCACCATGCCCAGCTAATTTTTTGTATTTTTAGTAGAGACGGGGTTTCACCATGTTGACCAGGATGGTCTCGATCTCTTGACCTCGTGATCCACCCGCCTCGGCCTCCCAAAGTGCTGGGATTACAGGCTTGAGCCACCGCTCCCGGCCCCGAATTTCACTCTTTAAAAACTGAACACTATTCTGTTGTGTGTATATGCCGCATTTTGGTCATTCAGTCATCCATTGGTGGATGGACATGGGTTGTTTCTGCCTTTTGATTACTGTGAATAATGCCACTATGAACATGAATACAAATGTCTCTTGAGTTTCCTGCTTTCAGTTCTTTTGATTGTATACCCAGAAGTAGAATTGCTAGATCATGTAATTCTATATTTTAATGTTTTAAGGAACCAACATCCTGTTTTACACAGGAGCTACACCATTTTACGTTCTCACCAGAAGCACACGAGGGTTTCAGTTTCTCTACATTCTCACTAGCCTAACTAATAGAAAATGAGGATTCCTCTTCCAGGCCTTGAAAGCTCTGCATAGTTTTACTTCTTCCAACTTGTCTAACTTAACTAAAGCTCTTCTAATTTCTGTGCTCAAGCTACACTGTTAATTACTCAGTTTCTCAAACCTAGACGTTTCCTTTTTTTTTTTAATGGACTTTTATCTTTTAGAGGAATTTTAAGTTTATGGTAAAACTGAGTAGAAGGTTCACTGGACACACACAGCATGCCCTACAGTCAACATCTTGCACCAATGGTACATTTGTTATAATCAGCAAACCTATGCTGGGACACATCATTGTTACCCAAAGTCCGTAATTATGTTAAAGTTCACTTTTGGTAGTGTAGATACTATGGGTTTTTTCAAGTATAGTGACATTTTAAAAGATCTTTTTCTGTATCTAATGAGATGGTCATATTTTTTTTCCTCTGGGGGAGAATGGTAACAATTATTCACTGTTATGGTACCATACAGAATAGGTTTATTGCCAGAAAAATCCTCTGTGTTTTCACCTGTTCATCCCTCCCTCCTTGCAAACTGTGGGAACCAATGATCTTTGTGCTGTCTCCATGGTTTGGCCTTCTCCAGCATGTCATATACAGTTGTGCGTCTCTTAATGATGTAGATATATTCTGAGAAATACATCATTAGGCAATTTATTTGCTGTATGAACATCATAGGGTATATTTATACAAACTGAAATGGTCTAATACTACACACCTATGTTGTATCGTATTACCGCTCCTACACTACAAACCCCGTAGCATGTTACTGTACTGAATACTGTAGGCAGTTATAACACAATGGTAAGTATTTGTATCTCTAAACATATATAAACATAGAGAAGGTACAGTAAAAGCATGGTATAAAGAATAAAACATGGTAGACCTGTCTAGGGCACTTACCATGAATGGAGCTTGCAGGAGTGTGGTAATGTAAAGGCCTGGGATATTACTGTATACTACTATAGAATTTATAAACAAGCTGCGCTAAATTTAAAAATAGATACTTTTCTTCTTCAATAATAAATTAACACTAGCTACTATAACTTTTTTACTTTATAAACTTTAATTTTGTAATAACACTAAGCTTAAAATACAAATGCATTGTATAGCTATACAAACATTTTTTCTTTATATACTTATAGGTGTTTTTTCTTTTGTTCTATAAGCTTTTTAAATAAAATTATTACTACTCTATTTTTTCCTTTAGACTTTTTTTGTTGAAAACAGAGACAAACACACACATTAGCCTAGGCCTGCATAAGGTCAGCATCGTCAGTATCACTGTCTTCCATCTCTGCATCTTGTCCCCCTGGGAGATCTTCAGGGATGTGCATGGAGCTTTCATCTCCTATGATAATGGTGCTTTATTCTGAAATGCCTCCTAAGGGACCTAACTGAGATGTTTTACTGTTTTGTTTTTTAAGAGGAAGAAGGAGGAATATAGTATAAAATAGTAATAAAAAACATAGTAGAGTATGTACATAGACCAGTAACATGGTCATTTACCAGTAACTTAGTCATTTATTATCATTGACAAGGTTTTATGTACTGTACATGATTGTATGTATTCTACTTTTAAATGACTGGCGGTGCAGTGGTTTTTTTTATACAAATATCACAAATGCTTGTGAGTAATTTTTTATATTATGACATCACTAAGTAAATAGGAATTTTTCAGTTCTGATATAATCTTACGGTACCACCTTTTCATATTTCCATCTGTCATTGACCAGAATGTTATGTTGTTAACATAGTATGTGACTGTGGTTGGAATCATAACCGTATGGATCCTCTTCACATTGGCTTCTTTCATTTAGTAGTGTGCAGTTAAAGTTCTTCCATGTTTGTTTTGTTTTGTTTTTTGAGTCAGGGTCTCTGTCACCCAGGCTGGAGTGTGGTGGTGAGATCATGGCTCACTGCGGCTTCGAACTCCTGGACTCAAGTGATCCTCACACCCCCTTCCAAGTACCTGGGACCACACACAAAAGCCATCACACCCTGCTAATTTTTCATTTTTAGTAGAGAGAAGGTCTTTCTATGTTGCTTAGGCCAGCAACTTGAACTTGGCCTCCCAAAGTGTTGGGATTACAGGTGTGAGCCACCACTCAGACTCTCCATGTCTTTTTATGGCTTGATAGGCTGAGGTGGGAGGATCTCTTGAGCCCAGAAATCCAAATCCAGCCTGGGCAGCATAGTGAGACTTCTGTCTCTTAAAAAACACACACAAAAAAGAGAGAAGACCAAAGTTACTGATATTAGAAATGAAATGAGATGTAATTACAGATCCTGTAGATATTAAAAGGATAATAGGGAAACACTATAAACATCTGTATGGACACTAAACTTAATTTAAATGGGCCAGTTCCTCAAACCTTGATTTGATACATTATCAAAAGTCATCCCATATAAAATAATCCAATAGCAAATAGGTTTTTTCACTAGTCCCATAACTATGAAGAGAAGAAATTGAATTAAATTGAATTAAAGAAATTGAATCTATAATTTAAAGCCTTTCATAAGACAAATGAAGAACAAGATAAGGATGTGCGCTTTCACCACTCCTTTTCAACATTGTATTACAGGTTCTAGCCAAGGGCAGTTAGACAAGAAAACAAGCAGGCGTACAGATTGGAAAGGAAGAAACAGAACTTCCCTTTTGGAGATGGCATGATTGTCTATAGAGTCCCAGTAAACACAAGTATAACATTGTATAATAACGTTATTTGGGAGCTGGGCGCAGTGGCTCACACCTATAATCCCAGCACTTTGGGAGGCTGAAGCGGGTGGATCACTTGAGGTCAGATGATAGCTTCCTCCGAAACAAAGGACAGGTTTACTTATAAGCCTATCCATTATGAAAAGCCTGCGGTTTCTCTGTTATAACTCAGTCCACTGTTTTCGTGGTGTCAAGTGTCCCACTTCATCTTGCCTTTGGTATTGGGGAACTGAAGCAAAAATTAAGGTAGTCTGGCTACTATCATTGCAGTGAGAAATAAATTCTCCTTTTTCTCTTATCAAGAATCTCATGTCTCCTGCCAGCACCCATGAAACTGTCATGTTGATTTGTTAGGTTACAAGCAGGGTAAAATCTCAGCCAACCACAGTGGCTTATGCCTGTAATTCTAGCACTTCGGGTAGCCAGAGCAGGTGGATCACTTGAGCCTAGATGTTCAAGACCAGCCTCGGCAACATGGCAAAACCCTGTCTCTACCTAAAATACAAATCAGTTGGGTGTGGTGGTGTGGGCCTATTGACCCAGCTACTTGGGAGGCTAAGATGGGAGGATCACCTGAGTCTGGGGAGATTGAGACTACGGTGAGCCATGATCTTAGCACCACACTCCAGCCTAGGTGACAGAGTAAGACCCTACCTTAACAAAATAAGAAACAAACCAAGTAGACTAAAATCTCATATTCTTTATAAGTCTCAACATATTTTATGGACATTTTTAATCAAATAGTATTATTATTTTAAAGTGTAGAGGCCAGGCCCAATGGCTTACGCCTATAATCCCAGCACTTTGGGAGGCCGAGATGGGTAGATTACTTGAGGTCAAGAGTTTGACACTACATGGTGAAACCCCATCTCTATGAAAAATATAAAAATTAGCCAGGCATGGTGGTGTGCGCCTGTGGTCTCAGCTACTTGGGAGGCTGAGGCATGAGAATTGCTTGAACCCAGGAGACAGAGGTTGCAGTGTCCAGCATGGACGACAGAGGAAGACACCGTCTCAAAACCAAACCAAACCATGGAGTATGTACTGTAAGTGCCTTGTTAGGCCTGGTTGAAGGAACATAGGCTTAGATAAGTCAACTAATGTTTCTGCAGTCTGGCTCTTAAACTGTTGCTCTCACAGCAGTTTATAGTTGTTCCTGTCTTAAAGGCATTTTATATAAGATAAAATTAAACATTGACCGAGTACTTTCAGTGTGATAAAAATAGATTAGTGCAGGTTTAAAATCTTTTCTCTGTATGGGATTATGGAATGTATAAATTGTGATATTTAATACATTTTGATGTTTAAAAACATGACTAATAACTTTTTTTTTTTTTTTAAAGAATTGTTCTCTGTGTACTTCAGGATGTATCTGAAACCTTCACAAGATGTTCAGAGAGTTTTAGTGGCTAGAATAATTCATACTGTTACTAAAGGATGCTGTTCTCAGACTGATGGATTGAATTCCAGATTTTTGGATTTCTTTTCCAAGGCCATTCAGTGTGCGAGGTAATCTAATCTCTTTTTCTTTTGTTTTGTATTGAAATATTTTTGACCTTCTTGCAAGACCATGTTTTAGATTCAATAACTAAAAATTCTACCTTTAAATAAAGCATTGATCCATCATAACAGAACTAGTGGATTCCTAAAGAGACAACCAAGTCCAGCACTTCCTGAATATCCAATATGCAGAGCACTCACACTCCATGATGTCCCCAGTGGGAGATGTGTCCTGCTGCTGTTCTGATGACCAGGAAACTTAAACAGCTTCTTAATTGTTACATTTCCCCCATTTTGAGGGTGGCTGTAATATATTGAGAATAAGATAGAATAGGGATATATTTAGGAAGTATTCCTGTTGTACATTTGTTTGGCATTTAATTTATAATGTGGAACATTTTATAAATGTTGCTCCAGATCAGTTTTGTTTATTTTTAGACAATGTTTTAGCAGCAGGGAGAGCTAACAGAAGTGGCCTCTTAGCACCAAATAAGAACTCATTTTTTGTTAGGTTGAAATAATGCTGTGGTTTGTTTTTAATGAGTAGTTTTGAAATTAAGGCTTTTGTTTGAATATTAACGTTTTTTTCCTGCAGCATGCCATTTCATAGCTGTCTTTAATTTGTGTACTTTGTTCCCCCTGTTATACCCAGTTGAGTTTGTTTGTTTTCTCACAGACAAGAAAAGAGCTCTTCAGGTTTGAATCATATTTTAGCAGCTCTTATTATCTTCCTCAAGACTCTGGCTGCCAACTCTCGAATTCAAGTGTGTGAATTAGGAGATGAAATTCTTCCCACCTTGCTTTATATTTGGACTCAACATAGACTTAATGATTCTCTAAAAGAAGTCATTATTGAATTATTTGAACTGCAAATTTATATCCATCATCCAAAAGGAGCCAAAACCCAAGAAAAAGGTATAAAGGAAATGTTTATTGTTTTCAGTGTGCTTCTTCATTCACACATAAAGGCTGAAGTATAAAATTAGTGTTCTGGGAGGATATGACTTTCCTCTGGATTGCTCTAGTTGATAATGTTAATTAGTCGTGAGAATGTTTTTCATTGAGTTTTTGGAATTTGAAGCAGTGGTAGCAAATTCTGTTATGCCTTACCGTTTGTTCAGTATGATGTTAGGTATTATGGGAAATACAAACAAATATGAGACATTGTTCCCTCTAGGAGCTGATTATGCATCGATACTTCAATACCAAGGGGTCTGGCACAGACTGTAGGGCAAAAGAATTTAAAGAAAGCAGGATCTTGCTTATCCACCTATTGATTTTATTAAAAGATAAAACATAAATTGGACTAAAACCAGTCAGATTATTCAGCTCTTGAGGAAGATCCATACATATTACTTTCATAGAAATGTGAGGCAGAAAAAGGGAAATTACTGCCTCACGCCTCATAGTTACTCTAGGGCCTCGTTTCCCGGAAAAAAATGAATCACTTGTTCTCCTTGATTCCTTCATATTTTTCCTACACTAAGAAAGTATTGCTCAGAAGGTGCAGTGCTTTTCAGTAGTGAGGAGCTTTATTGGCTGGAACTGGAGTTTCCTCATGCTCTGTCTATAACTGCCTTTGGGCTTTTGCTGGCCTTTGGTCCAATTCATCAAGGCCAGTGTAATGACTTTCCTAAGACAGCGTACTACACTGAGTAATAGCAGCTATAGTGGAGGAAATGTGTTATAGCCACTTTTCATTTTTTGAGACAGAGTCTCACTCTATTGCCCTGGCTGGCGTGCAGTGGCATGATGTCAGCTCATTGCAACTTCTGCCTCCTGGGTTCAAGCAATTCTCCTGCTTCAGCTTCCTAAGTAGCTGGGATTACACGTGCTCGCCACCACGCCTGGCTAATTTATGTGTTTTAGTACAGATGGGGTTTCACCATGTTGGCCAAGCTGATCTCGAACTCCTGAGCTCAAGTGATTCACCCACCTCGGCCTCCCAAAGTGGTGGAATACAGGCGTGAGCCACTGCATCGGGCTGTGTAGCCACTTTTATCAAAAGTAGCTGTGTATGTGTTTCTAATATGTATATTGAGGTAATGTGTAACCCATGAAACCACTATAAGTGAAAGAACAGTGTCTTTTTATAGTTTTTCATCTTGAACCCACCTCTCACCTGGATGCAGATCAGGCTTATTAGGAGGTGATATGATATGTCTAGGGATTTAGTTAACTGCATATTTAGGATGAATTTAAAATTGACAGGATGCTGAGGATGCCAGAAAAGCTGATGTAGTTTCAGACTACATTAATAGATTTTATGGAACTTTGTTTACGGGAAATAATAGACATTTGTTCCACATACTAGTCAGACCACAGTTGGAGTATTACGTTCACCACATTTTGTACAGTCAGCATTTCAAGTTGACTGGAATATGTGTTGGGAAAGATGACTGAAATGGTGAGAAGTCTGGTTAATATGTCATCTGTATACTAGTTGAAGGAACTGGTAGTATTTTTCTCTTTGGCCAAAAAACGGTATACAGAGAACTTGGTCCTCATGAAAGAGGGAACCTATTAATCGTATTTGCCTCAGGTGGGAGAATAAATTGGAGAAAGGCAGATTTTAGGTCAGAATATGGAAGAAATTTATACGAAATACAGTTATTTAGGCCAGGTGTGGTGGCTCATGCCTGTAATTCAAGCACTTTGGAGGCCAAGGTGGGTGGATCACCTGAGGTTGGGAGTTCAAGACCAGCCTGACCAACATGGTGAAACCCTGTCTTAAAAAAAAAGAAATACAGTTATCTAAATGTAAAATGGACAGTTAGGAAATAGAGTTTGTCAAGGATCTTGTCAGACGAGGCGTTAGTACTGAATGGAAAGTTGGACCAAATGTCTAACGTTGATGCAGCTTGACAGCTGAATAATTTTGTGGGAGCTAGCAGTGCAAACAGAGTACATGAATAAATTACATTTCAATTTTTTGGATTACAGGTGCTTATGAATCAACAAAATGGAAAAGTATTTTATACAACTTATATGATCTGCTAGTGAATGAGATAAGTCATATAGGAAGTAGAGGAAAGTATTCTTCAGGATTTCGTAATATTGCCGTCAAGGAAAATTTGATTGAATTGATGGCAGACATTTGTCACCAGGTATAGTAAGAAGGTCATGCCACATTTAGAAAATTCCTGTTAGTTTTTTTATTTTTAACTGGGCTTTTAAAACCTGTGTTCTCACAAAAAGCTTATAAAATGACTCTATACATGTAACTATTTCTTTCAAAATATCAGAATTTTTTTGGAATTACCCTTTTAACTTAAAAGTTAATGCTTTCGCAGCTATGGGCTTAGTGAAAACTAGCAATCAACTTTTCCATTCGTAAATGATTGCCTAAATAAGGTGACTATAATCCCAATGTTTTTTCCTTTTTCCTTTCCTTCTTCCTTTCCTTTCCTTTTTCTTTTCCTGTTTTCCTCTGTCGCCCAGGCTGGAGTGCAGTGACATGATCTTAGCTTACTGCAACCTCTGCCTCCCCTCCCAGGCTCAGGTGATCCTCCTGCCTTAGCCGCCTGAGTAGCTGGTACTACAGGCATGTGCCACCACGCCTAACTAATTTTTTTGTAGAGGCAGGGTTTCACCATGTTTCCCAGGCTGGTCTAGAACTCCTGAGCTCAAGTGATTTGCCCACCTTGGCCTGTGAAAGTGCTGGGATTACACGAATGAGCCACTGTGCCCAGTCTGTTTCTTTTTTTGCAATTGAGCTAGAGTTCACATAGCTTAAAATTCATGATTTTGAACTGTACATTTCTGTGGTTTTTAGTATTTTTACTATGTGTACAACCATCACCACTAATTTTAGAACTTTTTTTTTTTTGAAACGGAGTCTTGCTCTGTGCCCCAGGCTGGAGTGCAGTGGTGCCATCTTGACTCACTGCAACCCCTGCCTCCCAGGTTCAAGTGATTCTCCTCTCTCAGCCTCCCAAGTGCCCACCACCACGCCCAGCTAATTTTTGTATTTTTAGTAGAGATGGGGTTTCACCCTTTTGGCCAGGCTGGTCTCGAACTCCTGACCTTGTGATCCACCCGCCTTGGGCTCCCAAAGTGCTGGGATTACAGATGTGAGCCACAGCGCCCGGCCCAAAACTTACTTATCATCTCCAAAGAAACCTCATACCTACTTAGCATTCAGTCACAATTCCTTGCATCTTCTAGATCCTAGTAATCAATCAATCTTGGTTTTTGTGAATTTTCCTGTTTGGGACAGTTCATTTAAATGGAATCATACAACATGTGTCTGCTTTCTTTCACTTAGCATAATGTTTTCAAAGTTCATCCATGTGTTACCGTGAATCAGCACTTCATTCATTTTTATTGCTGAATAATATTCAGTTGATATACTCCATTTTACTTACCCGTTCATCACCTGATGGCCTAATGTTTTTTAAATAAAACTGTTTTCCCCAGATATTTGGTTAATATACTGGGTAGTAATTTCACTCTGTCAAATATTTTCTTAATGGTAAATTTTAAAAATTGAATCCTTTTGAAAGTAAAGGTTTTTGCTTTGCTTTTAGATTTCTTGGTGCTTTTAGTAAGTGTTCCCAGGAAATAAAACTAATGTATTACTCGGTAACACCTGCTTTCTTAGAGTGCCATTACTGTCATGCAAGCTGTTTGTTTTTTACCATGTTATCAGATTTATGTGTTTCTATAATTTGTTACTCTTGCTTTAGGAATTCCCTGTATCTTCATTTCAGAAGGAATTTGTTTTCCCCTAATGAAATATTTTAAGACAGTGGCAATGAAAAAAGTGGATTTGGCTGGGCACAGTGGCTCATGCCTATAATCCCAGCACTTTGGGAGGCTGAGGCGGGTGTATCATCTGAGATAGGGAGTTCAAGACCAGCCTGACTTACATGGAGAAACCCCGTCTCTACTAAAAATACAAAATTAGCTCGGCATGGTGGTTGCATGCCTGTAATCTCAGCTACTCTGGAGGCTGAGGCAAGAGAATCACTTGAACCCAAAAGCCAGATGTTGCAGTGAGCGAGATTGTGCCATTGCACTACAGTCCCTGGGCAACAAGAGTGAAACTCTGCCTCAAAAAAAGAAAAGAAAAAGAAAAAAGTGGATTTATTTTTATTTTACAGGTTTTTAATGAAGATACCAGATCCTTGGAGATTTCTCAGTCTTATGCTACTACACAAAGAGAATCTAGTGATGACAGTGTGCCTTGCAAAAGGAGGAAAATAGATCTAGGCTGGGAAGTAATAAAAGATCACCTTCAGAAGTCACAGAATGATTTTGAACTTGTGCCATGGTAAAATGTTATCATTTTCTCATTTAGTGTCATTTTAGTCTCTTATTTTTCAGAAAACTTTCAATGGAATCCTTTAATCTCAGCCAGAACTAAGTCATGTGTCTACTCCTAAACCTATTACTACCAAACGGATATGTGATTGCCATGACAAATGAGATCAATTATTAATGGCTCATTTGCTGGGGCCAAGGGTGGGGCTACCTTTTCTAGTCATATTGTCATAGCAAGTTAAGAAGGCAGACTGGCCTAGCAATTAGAAATGTGTACCTCATGGAATTCACTGAATTGTACACTTCAACAAAAGATTTTAGCATACATAGAACCTTTTAATAGAATTAGGAAGAAGTTAAATATAACCTTAAGAAATAACAATAATTTTTACTTTATATGATGATAGTAAGTTATTTTCTCTTATTTTTCTGTCTTCCTTATTCTCATATGACATTCACATATATTTAAATAATTAAATAAATTATGGAATACTTTGGAATCCCAAAATATTAGGTCTGGTAAGGATGTTTAGAATTTGTCTAGTTCAGCCTGTTGCCTTTACTGAAAAGAAACTGAAATGCAGAGACGTTAAGCAGGTTGTGTAAGGACAGAGATTTACAGATTATAGTCATAGATACCTGTTGCTTAAGTGCATGTTTATATGGTTAAGGGTAGCTATTTAAGATTTTTCATTTGGCCATCTAGTCAAGAGTTATTTATTGAACACCTGCTATGTGCCAAGTGTTAGGGATATAGAGATGAATAACATAAGATTCCTGTTCTTAAGTACCACACATTCTAGAAAATACATAGCAAATATTTATCAGATTAACTGAATTAATATAAAGGAAAAACGGTTTTTTGGGTTTCTTTGTTTTCCTGTTTTAGAGGAATAGTTTTGGTGACTAAAGAGCAAGGATGAGGCCGGGCATGGTGGCTCACGCCTGTAATCCAAGCACTTTGGAGGCCAAGGCGGGCGGATCACCTGAGGTTGGGAGTTCAAGACCAGCCTGACCAACATGGTGAAACCCTATCTTTAAATAAATAAATTAAAAAAAAAAAAAAAAAAAAAAAAAGAGCAGGGATGTACAAGATAACGCAGAAATAAAATCTTGCTAATTTATTTATTTATTTTTTTTTTCTGAGATGGATTCTTGCCTGTCACCCAGGATGGAGTGCAGTGGCATGATCTCAGCTCACTGCAACCTCTGCCTTCTGGGTTCAAGCAATTCTCCTGCCTCAGCCTCCTGAGTAGCTAGGATTACAGTTGTGTGCCACCATGCTCAGCAATTTTTGTATTTTTAGTAGAGACGAGATTTCACCACTTTGGCCAGGCTGGTCTTGAACTTCTGACTTTGCGATTCACCCTCCTCAGCCTCCCAAAGTGCCGTATTACAGGCATGAGCCACTGCGCCAGGCCCAAATATTGCTAATTTAATATCCTTTAAAATATTTGTTTGAGGGAAACTTAACAACTTACCCAGATAGCCAAAATGTTGACAATTTTCCTGCCACTTTAGAAAGTAGGACATAGTAACTGTTAAGAGCCAGTTTATCTTGAGAGTGCTATGGAAATGATGACGGTGATTCTCTAATTAGGATATTACAAGGGTAACATGTCTATATATTTCCTTGTAGTTTGTTAATGCAGTTTAATAGTTTTCAAATTATCCTTTTTATTTTTAGGCTACAGATTACAACCCAATTAATATCAAAGTATCCTGCAAGTTTACCTAACTGTGAGCTGTCTCCATTACTGATGATACTCTGTCAGCTTCTACCTCAACAGCGACGTGGGGAACGCACACCATATGTGTTGCGATGTCTTATGGAAGTTGCGTTGTGTCAGAACAAGAGGTCAAACCTAGAAAGCTCACAAAAATCAGATTTACTGAAACTCTGGAATAAAATTTGGTGTATTACCTTTCGTGGTATAAGTTCTGAGCAAATACAAGCTGAAAACTTTGGCTTACTTGGAGCCATAATTGAAGGTAGTTTAGTTGAGGTTGACAGAGAATTCTGGAAGTTATTTACTGGGTCAGCCTGCAGACCTTCCTGGTAAGTTTAACATGCATTACATCATACTTTACAGAAGCACACACACTCTCTCTCACACATACACACTCTCACACATACACACACACTCTCACATACACACACACACTCACACACACACACATACACTCACACACACACACACACACTGCAGACCTTCATGGTAAGTTTACAGAAACACACACTCTCTCACACACACACACACACACACACACTCTCTCTCTCTCTCTCTCTCTCTCACACACACACACACACACTCTCTCTCACACACACACACACACACACACTGCAGACCTTCATGGTAAGTTTACAGAAACACACACTCTCTCTCACACATACACACTCTCACACATACACACACACTCTCACTCTCACACATACACACACACACTCACACACACACACACACACTCTCTCTCTCTCTCTCACACACACACACACACACACTGCAGACCTTCATGGTAAGTTTACAGAAACACACACACACACACCAACCCAACATTTTGGCTACCTGGGTAAGTTGTTAAGTTTCCCTCAAACAAATATTTTAAAGGATATTAAATTAGCAACACACACATTTCTCTGTCTCTCTCTCTCTCACACACACATACACACACACACACACACACACATATCCCTGATCATTTTCCTAGTTTGTTACTTCAGTTAAAGATTTTAAATTCTATTGTTACTTCAGTTAAAGATTTTAAATTTTATGTCAGATGCTTTTCTTGTTTGGCCAAGAAGACTTAATAAAATGCAGAAGTGAATTTAGTTTCAAATGTTGAGAAATTATTAAAGCCTAATTTTAAGGAATTTCTTTTTTTATTAAAAAAATTTTAATTGATCTATAATAGAGTTACATATTTTCCAGGTACACGTGGTAATTTGATACACTCATATAATCAAATCAGGATAATCAGGATATCATCACCCAACGTATCTTTTCTTTATGCCAGGAATGTTTGAATTACTCTCTTGTTATTTTGAAATGTATAATAGATTAATGTTACCCATCTCACCCTACTCATCTATCAGATACCAGGTCTTATTCGTTTTAATTGTATATGTGTATCCAAAAGAATTTCTTTAAAGAATTATAAAGAGTTTAAATTTCTTTTATGTGCAATTTATCATTATTTATTCAATAGCTTTGTTCTTATTGTAGTACTACACACTGCTAATAAAAGAACTTTTGGTTTTTTTTTTGAGACGAAGTTTCGCTCTTGTTGCCCAGGCTGGAGTGCAATGGCACGATCTCGGCTCACCGCAACCTCCGCCTCCTGGGTTCAGGCAGTTCTCCTGCCTCAGCCTCCCGAGTAGCTGGGATTACAGGCACGCGCCACCATGCCCAGCTAATTTTTTTTGTATTTTTAGTAGAGACGGGGTTTCACCATGTTGACCAGGATGGTCTCGATCTCTTGACCTCATGATCCACCCGCCTCGGCCTCTCAAAGTGCTGGGATTACAGGCGTGAGCCATTGCGCCCGCCCAAAAGAACTATTTTTTAATCAAGAATCTTTCCAAATGTAATCAGACTTTCCACAGTTTTTATGTTCATTTGGTCAGCTTAACGAAATGGATGTGCCAGGCACTGTCCTAATAGATAGACAGGTCTGTGCCCCCAGTAGCTTGCTTTTCACAATTGTCCTTTGTTTTGTTATAGTCCTGCGATATGCTGCTTGACTTTGGCACTGACCACCATTATAGTTCCAGAAACAGTAAAAATGGGAATAGAGCCAAATATATGTGAAGTAAATAAAAGCTTTTCTTTAAAGGAATCAATAATGAGATGGCTCTTATTCTATCAGCTAGAGGATGACTTAGAAAATAGTACGGAAGTGCCTCCGATTCTTCACAGGTAATTTAAGTTCATTACATGCTGCTGGTTTTTTTGTTTATCAGGCTCTCCACCTACTTGATGCCAGGTGGCTTTTTATTCTATACTGATAGTGCAGAATTTCCCAGATCTAGCCTTAATTATTCAATATTCCATTTGTTTTTACAGTTATCAGAGTCTGTATGCCTGATTGCTTCTGAAATAAAGGGTCGTCTCACTGTGAGAATATGGGGGGTATGCATATAATTCTTTGAGCATTTATGTGTTCCTCTATGATTTTTTTGTTTTTTTTTTTTTTTGAGATAGAGTCTCACTCGGTCATCCAGGCTGGAATGCAGTGGCACAATCTTGGCTCACTGCAACCTCCACCTCGTGGGTTCAAGCAGTTCTCTGCCTCAGCCTCCTGAGTAGCTGGGATTACAGGTGCCTGCCACCATGCCTGGCTAATTTTTGTATTTTTAGTAGAGACGGGGTTTTGCCATCTTGGCCAGACTGGTCTTGAACTCCTGACCTCATGATCCACCCGCCTTGGCCTCCCAAAGTGCTGGGATTATGGGTGTGAGCCACTGCACCTGGCCTCCTTTCTGATTTTTTAAATAGAATATGGGGGGTATGCATGAAGAATGTACATATAATTCTTTGAGCATTTATGTGTTCCTTTCTGATTTTTTAAATGAGTAAGTCCATATATCTGACTCATGTAGATCCTGGATCCTTTCTCATAATAGGAGTGTCTTCTGGGTGAAATATGTTTTATTAATGAGGAGAGGAAATAAGGAAGACAAAGCAGGATGTAAGCACCAGGATAAGGGAACTGAGTCACTTGTCCACTTAACCTTTCCACAGATGGTAATTGGAACCAAATGATTGGAGAGCAAACCTCTGAATGGATCCATTTGCTTTTGCTTTAATTTTATAACCTTCTTTTATTTCAGAAATGACCATCAGACATGATCTTGTTTCTAAATAGTATTGGAAACGTTAGTAACAATGGTTGTCCTCCTTAAATTACCCTTTTAGATATTAAGAAATTCAGTGTAGATGAAAGCAGTTTTAATCTAGGGTCCAAATTTCAGCAGTCAAGAATTATAGCTAAACATGGATGTTAAAGTTTAAAGTATTCTTAACATGACTTTTGGTCTTTTAAGTGAAGCTTCTTTTTTTCTTTATAGTAATTTTCCTCATCTCGTACTGGAGAAAATTCTTGTGAGTCTGACTATGAAAAACTGTAAGGCTGCAGTGAATTTTTTCCAAAGTGCGCCAGAATGGTATGTTTTCTAATATTGTTCTTTGTCATTTTAGGATATAGCTTTAATTACAAAGTGAATAATTTTAGCTGGGTAGTAGCTGCATCTTAATAATTATAAACTAAATTGGTCCCCCAAAATCACAACTGTTAGCCAGGGAAAAGGTTGTTTTAATTCAGTGATTGTAATCTATGTTTTGTAACATTAGATGAAGGTTACTATTTTTTAATGCTGTCTAATATGTGACAAGTGCCAATGGGAAAAATTGAATGGTTATACCGGGAAATTAAGAATATAAAATTTATATGAAATAAGTTCTTAAAGGTGCGACCCATTTCTGTACATCAACTGTGATTTGACTGTTAGCTTTAAAAACTAATGATAATTGAAAACAAAAAATAAATCTAAACCTGATTTTAGTTGATTGACTCAAAAGACTTAGGTTGCATTACTGTGACTGAAAATGACTCACTGGCACAAAGATTCCTTATCTCCCTCAAGAGGGCAAAAAATGAAAAAAAATTTTATTTTTTGCAGAAATTGATGGTGAAAAACAAATAAATACCAACCACAATAATGAAAGTTTAGTTGGAAGATTGTTACTTTTCTAACCAAAAGGATGCATAACTGCTTAACCATACCAGATATTAAAGGTTTTTAAACTTATGCTTGTTACTCCCTCTGCTTGGTGAAAAAACAGATATGTTTTCAGACAGTGTTATGCTCAACATTTATATACGGTGTTTTAAAAGACAATTTCTGAATTTGCCTTTGAAATTGTAACTTGTGGAGGAGCAGGCCTGCATCCTGCCGGGACAGCTCTGCTACTTGCAGCCACCTCAGTGGCTGCCTCTCTAGCCACCTCCAGAGGGATCTGGATGAGGAGGAAGTGGAGGTGTCACCGGCCTCGGCCTTTGCCCAGTCCTCTGTGGGCACTGAAGGGGACTACAGTGTTGACCGTTACGGGTGCTACATGTTTGCTTTCAGAGCAGTAGTGTGCAGAAGCGTGGAGGGGGATGGCAGGACGGCCTCATCCCTATGACAGTGACTCCAGTGATCCAGAGAATTGGGATCAGAAATTGCATAGTAGACTTTGTAAACTTTATCAACATTCAAGTACTTCCTTACGTGTTGGTAAAGGAGGAGTTGACCAACATGAGTCTACATGTGCTAGTCAGGGACATGAAAGATCGAGAGACAGACGAAGGACAAGTGACAGATCACGAGACTCATCCCATGAAAAACAGAGTCTCAACTCACTCCTTGTATTAGAAATGTGACCTCTCCTACACAACAGCACCACATTGAATGAGAAAATGATCACAGTTCCTCTCGTCCAAGCAGTCCGCATCTTTAGAGAGCACCCCCAAATGGTTCCATTAGCAGTACTGGGAACGGCAGCAGAAACAGTAGTCAGTCAAGTTCAGATGGTAGTTGTAGGACAGCTGGGGAGATGCTGTTTGTATATGAAAATACAAAAGGAGGAGCTCGGAATATAAGAACGTCAGGACTAGTGACACTAAAAGAGGATAACACTACATTTGTTGTAGACTCATCCATTTTTACTGCACAGCCAAATACAACGTTGGGCAGGATGTTTGGACCTCGCAGAGAACATAACTTTACATGACCCAATGAGAAAGGAGAGTTTCAGGTGGCAGAGGGAATTGGTTCCACTGTGTTTCAAGCTATTCTAGATTACTATAAAACAGGAATATTCCATTGTCCTGATGGCATATATCTATTCCTGAACTGAGAGAAGCATGTGACTATCTTTGTGTCTCTTTTGAATATAGTACTATTAAATGTAGAGATCTCAGTACCCTAATGCATGAGTTATCAAATGATGGTGCTCGAGGACAAGTGGAATTTTATCTGGAAGAAATGATCCTCCCTCTCATGGTAGCTAGTGCTCTGAGTGGGGAACAGGAATGTCATATAGTGGTGCTTTCAGATGATGATGTGGTTGATTGAGATGAAGAATATCCACCACAGATGGGAGAAGAATATTCATAAATTATTTATAGCACAAAATTATATAGATTTTTCAAGTACATTGAAAACAGAGATGTGGCCAAGTCAGTTTTGAAGGAGAGGGGTCTTGAGAAGATTAGATTGGGAGTAGAAAGTTATCCTACCTACAAAGAAAAAATAAAGAAAAGGCCTGTAGGCCACCCAGAAATGATCTACAACTATGTCCAAAGACCCTTTATTCGAATGTCCTGGGAGAAGGAAGAAGAAAAGAGTCGGCTTGTAGACTTTCAGTGTGTAAAGAGTAAATCTATCACCAGTCTTGCAGCAGCTGCGGCAGACATTCCCCAAGACCAGCTGGAAGTCATGCACCCAACTCCGCAAGGGGATGAGCTGGACATTCTCCCTGTCAATCCCCCTTCTGGCACAGTGACCTTGATCCTGATGCACAGAATCCAATGCTGTGCTGCTGATGTTCCTTGAAACCATAACATGCTACTCTTCACAGTGACGTTGTACTCTCCTCATTCTGCACTGCAAGGCCACTCTTCTTCATTGTGAGATGCACGTAACAATGTTTAGGATATTGCAGTGTAGGGTTTTTTAAAGACCAAAGGTAGCTGAATGGTTTTTTAAAATGAATACAACTCTGCCATCTTGAAGTTCCAGTTATATTTGTATTTGATTACCAGTAGGTTTGTGAAATTGGTTCTTTATATGAGGGATGGTCCTTTTTCACACATCTAGGTCTTTTCAAAAGTGGTGGAAATTGGCAGCTGGGGTACTTTCAGTTTGGACTGATAATCATTACACCCCAGATAAAATACAGAATATTATAAAGTTGCACTTTATAAATGGTGGTTAAATGGAAATGTTCAAGCCATTTTATAGTTGTGATGCACAGTATAACCTAAGCAAGTGCTTCTCTCAAAGTATTCCTTCAGTAAAATCTGTATAGGTTGCTGCCCTTGATGAGCAGAAAGTATTTATCTTGGGCTTATCTAAATGATCAGAATGAGATTTAATGCCCATATCACATCAGTTCAGTTATCTCCAGTCCCGGTTCACCCTTCAGAGTGAGTCACATGCAGGGAGTGTGAACGTCAGAGGTGGCTTATGATCCAGTCTGCCTTATCCTTAATCTGTCACAGACACTTATTTACTGATGCTTTTTTTCTTAAGAGACATGGGATAGGAAAATGAAATGTTTGCTCCTCATTTACTAAATGATTATAAACTCAAGTTTTTCATCAAAATAAAATTCCATTTTTTTTTTTTTTTAAGAAAAAGAAATTGTAACTTGTATTTCTTTGGTCTATTAGTAAAATTGCTACTGACTAATGAAATTTGATACAAGTAGCTTTCAAAGTCCAAAGAAGATAAGCTTTAAACAATGATCTATTAATTGTATAAGTAATCTTTGAATGATGTAGATACTGTGTTGTTTTCCTTTGTAATATGTTGCTAATATATAGAGGCAAAGCATTAGGTAGTTTGTTTATAAATTAAAGATCTTACTTTCTTGAAGTGAACAACACCAAAGAGATAAAGAAGAACCTTCATTTTCAGAAGTAGAAGAACTGTTTCTTCAGACAACTTTTGACAAGATGGACTTTTTAACTGCTGTGAGAGAATGTGCTATAGAAAAGCACCAATCTAGTATTGGCTTTTCTGTCCACCAGAATCTCAAGGAATCACTGGTTCGCTATCTTCTGGGATTATCAGAACAGCTTCTAAATAGTTATTCATCTGAGGTGAGATTAAAAGAACTAAGCTTATACTTTGGTAAACTGTTAGGAAGGAGAAATAGGGGCAGGAGAAACACCAAGAGTTGTGGGAGGCTTGGTTTTAAAAGCAAAATGGCAGTAAAGGGCTACAAATTGGGACAACTTAGCATAATTAAAGGAAAACTCAAAAATAATAATTTGAGTACTTCCTTTGTGCTGGGAACTATGGTAGACATAAAAGAATTCCTCGTGTAGGAAAATGGGGAATAGCAAGAGTCTGGGCATAGGGATTATATGATGAAAAAAACCTCTGAATACAAAGGAGGGAGATGTAACAGTAGGAGAAAAGAACACAATTTAAACAAATAATAGATTTTGGTGGCATTTGAAGAGGGACGAGGGACTAGTAAAGACAATAAATGGACTAGCAATTATTTTAGATGTCATCTAGGAATTTCCTTTAGCCTCATAAAATCACAAATTCTCTTCATATATGCTGTTCTCTTGCCCAAACTCCCATTTTTAAAAATGTGAAATGTCTTTCTACCTATTTCTATGTATTCAGATCATCCACATGTGAAAATCCTTGCTAATACCTTTCTTAGAATCTGCGAAAGTGAGATTCCAAGACTTGTTCTTTTTGAGACGAAGTCTCGCTCTGTTGCCCAGGCTGGAATGCAGTGGTGTCATCTTGGCTCACCAAAGCTTCCGCCTTCTGGCTCAAGTTCTCCCGCCTCAGGTTTCTGAATAGCTGGTACTACAGGCACATGCTGCCAGGCCCAGCTAATTTTTGTATTTTTAGTAGAGATGGGGTTTTGCCATGTTGGCCAGGCTGGTCTTGAACACCTGACCTCAGGTGATTGGCCCACCTCGGCATCCCAAAGTGCTGGGATTATAGGCGTGAGCCATCGTGCCCAGCCTTAATTTTTATATTTTTAGTAGAGTTGGGGTTTTACCATGTTGGCCAGGCTGATCTCAAACTCCTGACCTTGTGATTCGCCTGCTTTGGCCTCCCAGAGTGATGGGATTACAGGCACGAGTCACGGCGCCTTGCCCATGTAAACTCTGTAAAGGGCATACATATTTTTATTAATCTTTGTATCCTCCACAGTGCCTTGTTACATGGTAAATGATTAAATGAAATGAAGCCTGTAATCTCTTCAAAGAAGTGAATTCAGTAGCCAGGGAAAATGACCTGAGAAGGGACAGTGTGCCTCTTTCTGATCTTTTGCTGACATTCTTCTGTGCCACAATTGTAACCACTTTCAAGTAATTTAGTTTTGTGTATTTTTTCCTAGAATGCCATTTCTGACCCTGTAGGAACAAAAAATCAGAACATCTTGTGTGTAACTTAGCAGATTCTTATGTAATTCTATAAAATTGTCTAAACTGTTTTTTGGGATATAGTCTCACTGCTGCCCAGGCTGGAGTGCAGTGGCACGATCTCAGCTCACTGCAACCTCTGCCTCCTGGGTTCAAGCAATTTTCCTGCCTCAGCATTCTGAGTAGCTGGTATTATAGGCACCTGCCATCACACCTGGGTAATTTTCTGTGTTTTTAGTAGAGACAGTGTTTCATCACATTGGCCAGGTTGGTTTTGAACTCCTGACGTCAGGTGATCCTCCTGCCTTGGCCTCCCAAAATGGGATTACAGACATGAGCTACCGTGCCCAGCCAGCTGTCTAAACTTTATATACTAGAAAAAAATGCTTTATGCTAGTCTGTGGGGTCTAAAAAGCTGAGTAAGTCAAGGCTCCTTTTCCTCAGAAGCTTAAAATGTCATTTTAATGTCTCTTTATATGACTCTAATTTCTACTTGTGTTCTAGGACTTATAGTCATTTATTTGCCTATCAACTTTTTTTCTTTTCTTTCATTTCTACCTCAGGCATTTAAGGGCCTACGTGTACAGTACACTTTGCACCCTAAGATGATATATTCTGCTTGGCCATTAGGAGATATTTAGGCTGTTTTTCTTGAGAATCCTAGTTATATTTCTACAGTGATCTCCTAGTTGTTTTTAGAGATATTCAGAATATGCCACCTTTAACTCAGTTAACTGAACTTTTGTTTTTTAATATGTATGTAGAATTTGCTCTTATAAAAGATAATTATAGAATATACAGAATTATTTATGAAATACATATTTTTTTTTGTGGTTTGTTTTAAGATTACAAATTCAGAAATGCTTGTCCGGTGTTCAGTTCTTTTGGTGGGTGTCCTTGGCTGCTACTGCTATATGGGTGTAATAACTGAAGATGAAGCATATAAGTCAGAATTATTCCAGAAAGCCAAGGTAAGAGAATTTATGCTAATAAAGTTTCTGATAAATTTGAATGAAATCTATTGCTGATAACATTATTGCATTTGTTTGGAAGACATTAAATTTTATGTAGGTTAACCCTTTCTCTTTTATTTATGTAATATGAGAAGAATTATACTGTGTATTTTTAAAACTTGAAATTACTATAATCCAACTATAAATAATAGTAAATGAAAAAATATCACATTAAAATCTAATCTCATTAAAATATTGATTTTTGTCTACTTTTTTTCTTTCTTTCTTTCTTTCTTTTTTTTTTTTAAGAGATAGAGTCTTGCTCTCTGTAGCCCAGGCTGAAGTGCAGTGGTGTGATCTGGGCTCACTGCAGCCTCTGCCTCCTGGATCCCGGTTCAAGCAATTCTCCTACCTCAGCCTCCCAACTATCTGGGATTACAGGCACGAGCCACCATGCCCAGCTAATTTTTGTATTTTTTAGTAGAGATGGGGTTTCACCATGTTGGCCAGTCTGATTGTGAACTCCTGACCTCGTGATCCACCTGCCTTGGCCTCCCAAAGTGCTGGGATTACAGGCATGAGCCACCCCGCCCGGCCTGTCTGTCCTTTTTAAAGTTTTCCCTGTGATCAGTTATATTGAAGAATCTTTGATTAAGGGTTAACACCCTTAATCAAGTAGGCTGTAAGCATGAAACTCTGATCTCTTGGTAGTACTAATTGTTAGTGATTTTTACTTATACTACGTGACTACGTGGAACTTCTAAAAACATTTCATTTTTTCTCTTGTGTACTTTTTTATTTTATAGAGTATGTCCAAGATCAAAGTGTACTTTTAAAAGCAATACTAAACTATAATTTTAACTGGAATTTGCATTTTTCCTTCTATTTGTAATAGTCTCTAATGCAATGTGCAGGAGAAAGTATCACTCTGTTTAAAAATAAGACAAATGAAGAATTCAGAATTGGTTCCTTGAGAAATATAATGTATCTATGTACACGTTCCTTGAGCAACTGTACCAAGGTAAGATTTTCTTCTTGTTTTGTGTTTTGAGATAGGATCTTTCTCTGTCACCCAGGCTGGAGTGCAGTGGCATTGTCATGACTCAATGTAGCTTGACCTCCTGGTTTCAAGCAATTCTCTTGCCTCAAGGTCCTGAGTAATTGGGACTACAGTTATGTACCACCTAGCTAAAATTTTCTTTTTACTTGATAGTATAGTCTGTGCAGGGGATTGATTACTGATTGGTGTTACTGTTTTGGTGTCCACTCATAAGTTTGTTCTTTACTTTTATTTTTATTCTTTTTTTTTGAGACAGTTTCTTGCTCTTTCAACGGGGCTGAATTGCAGTGATGTGATCACAGTTCACAGCAGCCTTGACCGCCTGGGCTCGAGTGATCCTCCCACCTCAGTCTCCCTAGTAGTTGGGACTACAGGTGTACACTATCATGCCTGGCTGATTTTTGTATTGTTTGTATTGACGGGGTTTTAAACCTTGCCCAGGCTAGTCTCAAACCCTGGGCTCAAGTGATCCTTCCACCGCAGCATCTCAGAGTGCTGTGATTACAGGTGTGAGCTACCATATTTGACCACATTCATAAGTTTACAAACTGATTTAAAATTAAATTGAATGGTACATAAAGGTAATATCCAGACAAATAAGCAATAGGAATTTGAGTTTGTCATGAAACTAATTTTATAATTTCAGGAAGTTTTCTGAGATTGTCTTACCACTTCTGTATACAACCATGTAGATGACTCTTTTATTCCCAGCACATTTCATTCATTTAATAAAAATTTGTTGACTCAAACTTTGGGGTATGCATAGCAGGGCTAGTGAGCAGCACAGCGATAACTCTAGCACATACTTTACTTTCTTTTGCTCAGATCGTCTCACATTACATTTGTTAGAAAGAGCGTAATCTTTGTTTTTATCTGCAGCAGGCCCGTGAGGTAGCCAAGCCAGTCCCCAGAGTATTGATAATAATTGGAAATATATTTGAAACCTAATACTAGGTACATGACTGTATATCAATTATCAACAGACTTTCTGTTTTGTAATGTGTTTTTCCTCCCTTTTGGTGTAAGTGGGAAAGGAGAAAAGTAGAAAAATAAATTCTAACCTATAATTAATTACAGCTTAATTATGTTTAGAGTCAATAGCTGTTACTTTAATGTTGTTAAAGCACAATGAAAGATGTACAGTATAGTAACGATCACTCTGAGGAGAGATGTGTTTTGGAAGCTGCGTATATCTTGGCCCTAATAGTAAACTATTTATCTACATTCCATTCAAGATAGAGAAAACATTGTCTGCCAAGAATAATTGTTTTTATTTCTTTGTTGCTTGGTTCTTTGTTTGTCTTAATTGCAGAAGAGTCCAAGTAAGATTGCGTCTGGCTTTTTCCTGCGGCTGTTAACGTCAAAGCTAATGAATGATATTGCAGATATTTGTAAAACTTTAGTAAGTATGCTTTCTATTTTGCTATCGTATTTCCATTCTAATATGCATAATTTTTTGGTTGAAATATCTTTGTAAATAGGGATGCATCTGAAAACATATAACATCTTACATTTTTATAAATGTGGAAATTAAATAGTTCTTTGTCTTGTGGGGAAATACACCTGATTGCTTCTTAATATCAATACCTACCATAGTGAGTGCCTGCCTTCAGTTTCTCAATAAATAATACACTGAATGATGGGGAACTAATCAGCCAGGCTTATACCTATTGCTGTGCAACATTGTACCAAAATTCAAAATAATTACTTGTTCTTTAAAAGTGACCAAAAATCTTGCCAGACAAGCAACATATTCTTATTGTAGTATTTATTTTTCTTCCCCACAAACGGGCTTATGCCACATACATTTTTTTGTCTGAACCATTGCTGGCCATACAAAGTAGATATTGAAATATCTTGAGTGAAAACATATTCTATAACTTGCTTATTTCCATTTTATGACACATCTTAATCATTTTCCATGTCACTGTACTTATTTTATAAGCTGTCTGTTATACTTTATTTAGCAGTGCATGGTATTCTATTGTGTGGTAACAGTGAATAGTATGCATGTATATAAAAGCCCATCTGCTCCTTTTATTTATTTATTATTTTTGAGATGGAGTCTCACTCCGTTGCCCAGGCTGGAGTTCAGTGGCACAATCTCAGCTCACTACAGCCTCTGCCTCCCAGGTTCAAGAGATTCTCCTGCCTCAGCCTCCTGACAAGCTGGGATTACAGATGTGTGCCACCACGCCTGGCTAATTTTTATATTTTTAGTAGAGACAGGGTTTCATCATGTTGGCCAGGCTGGTCTCAAACTCCTGACCTCAAATGTTGCTTTCACCTCAGCCTCCCAAAGTGCTGGGATTACAGATGTGAGCCATTCTTCCCATCTGCTATTAATTAACATTTTAAGTGATTTCTAGTTATTTGGGTTACAAAGACTTCTGTGGTACAGATTATTATACTTTTGTCTATTTGTATTTGTGTATATGATAGATGTAGGATAATTTCTAGCAATAGACTTGCTTGTTCAAAAAGAATGTGAATTTTACTTTTGATGGATATTGTCATTGTCCTCCAAAAAAGTCATACCAATTTAGACATTTCTCTACAGGCTTATCAACTTTGGGTGTTATAAAACTTCTTAATATGAGAAATAATTTTTAAAGTTTGTATATTACTTTGTTATATAGACATTTTACGCTTATACATCCATTTTCCTATTGTTGGACATTTAGTAGAAAAAGTACTGTAGCGCTCATACTTACTCATTAACCTTGAATTGTTTGATTAGGTAAATTTTTTTTTTTGAGATGGAGTCTTGCTTTGCCACCCAAGCTGGGGTGCAGTGGCACAGTCTTGGCTCATTGCAACCTCTGCCTCCCAGGTTCAAGCAATTCTCCTGCCTCAGCTTCCCAAGTAGGTGTGATTACAGGTGCCCACCACCACACCTGGCTAATTTTTGTGTTTTTAATAGAGAGCGTTTTACCATGTTGGCCAGGCTGGTCTCGAACTCTTGACCTGAAGTGATCCGCCTCGACCCCCAAATTACTGGGATTACAGATGTGAGCCACTGTGCCTGACCTGATAAGGTAAATTTTAAGTACAACGTGGTCCTGCAAGAAGCTATCTTGAACATCTTTGTTTCTCTTCCTTAAAGGCATTCACAATCAAAAAGCCATTTGACCATGGAGATGTAGAATCAATGGAAGATGATACTAATGGAAATCTAATGGAGGTGGAGGATCAGTCATCCATGACTCTATTTGATGATTACCCTGATAGTAGTGTTAGTGATGCAAATGAACCTGGAGAGAGCCAAAGTACCATAGGTAAATATATATTTACTGCTTGGGATTTCTTTTACCTCTTTATATTAATTTGGCAGTGTAAGAGTCCTCAGTGATATCGATTTTATGCTTATTTCATTTTCCCTTAGTCTAACCTTTTAGGATTATTCCTATATACTTTAAATTTTTCTGATTTTTACTCAAATTTATTAGTTTCCTAGTTTATTCTTCATAGGAAGAACTTAAGATAACTATTAAAGATATAGTCCCAGCTACTCGGGAGGCCGAGGCAGGAGAATTGCTTGAACCCAGGAGACGGAGGTTGCGGTGAGCCGAGATCGCGCCATTGCACTCCAGCCTGGGTAACAAGAGCGAAACTCCGTCTCAAGAAAAGAAAGATAACTATTAAAGAAATAAAAACCATATGATAGGTTATTTGGACAATAGAAAGCAGGAAATGAAAACTCACCCATCATACCATTGCTTTAACCTTTTTCTATTATTTCGCTGTAGAACCTTTCAAAATTGTAATCAACATCAACATTCACATGTTATTAATGCCTGTTTAATATTAATTATAAGTATTTTTTCCATGTGGTTGCTTGTCTTGATAGTCATATTTTTTAATGGCTTCACCATTTTTCAATCACAAATACCATAATTTATTTGACATTTTTTATTGTCAGAAATTTAGATTCTTTTGTTTTTTCCTATAATAAACACGACTGCAGTGATCATTTGTCTAAAGGGATTTTTCCCCCCATACTTTAAATTATTTCTTGACAACAGAATTCTGGATAATTTTTTAAAAAGACTTTTAAAGTTTTTAGTATATAATTAATTTTACTATAAATCTGTTTTTTATATGCTTTTTTTTGTAAAGAGGAGGACATTTGGGGCTGTTGTGCCCCTCTCTGAATGAGTGCTTTTTGTTTTTAGGTGCCATTAACCCTTTAGCTGAAGAATACCTATCAAAGCAAGATCTCCTCTTCTTAGACATGCTCAAGTTCCTGTGTTTGTGTGTAACTGCTGTTCAGACCAATGCCGTGTCCTTTAGGGCAGCTGACATTCGGAGGAAGTTGTTAATGTTAATTGATTCTAGCACGCTAGACCCCACAAAATCTCTCCACTTGCATATGGTGAGTTACCTTAAATGAACAAGCTCTTGGATTGTATCTGATGTTGCTGACTGAATGTAAAGAATCACATGCTGTCTTTGAAGAATTGGAATTGCTCTTTTGAGAAATGAACCTGAGGCTAGTTGACATTTTTTCTTTTAATGTGCTGTGAACAAATTTAGGAAGATGCTGAAATATTAAAACTTAGATGGGTTTTGGATAGATTTATTCTCTTTAGGTTTAATTAATTATTATATATTATTTTAATTCGGCTAAGAAACATAGATCCTGAATGTAAACATAATACATAACATTGTGTTTGAAGCTGGAATCTTGTTTTTACCTTAGTTTATATATTTTCAGCTTTTTGGATTTGATTTCAAAATGATAGTAAAGTTACAAGAATACTACAAAATACTTCCATATACTCTTGATAAGCTTTTACAGTTAACATGTTACCACTCTTGCCTAATATTCCCTCTCTCCACATATACTCACACACAGATACACACGTTATTTTCTCTGAACCATTTTGAGATGAACTTGCACACATGGTGCTCCTTACACTTCAGGGTATATTTCCTAAAAACAAGGGTACACTTCTTTTAGCCACAGTATAATCATCAAAATCAGGAAGTTAACATTTTATCATTGCACTTAGGTGCATAGTCTGTTTAGTCTCCTTCAATCTGGAACAGTTCTTTTCTTATTTAATATGACCTTCATATATTTGAATAGTACGAGTTCATTGCTCTGAGTTTGTCTGTTTCCTCATGATTAGATTTATACTTTGATGAGAATTTTACAAAAGTAATTCCTCTTTTGCCTTCACCCCGTCCATTTATCTGCATGTTGATATCTAAAATCCAAGCCAGTATCACACGGTTTACCCTTTTTTCTGTCCAAATTTATACATTTCTTTTTTTCTTTGAGATGGAGTTTCACTCTTGTCGCCCAGGCTGGAGTGCAGAGGTGTGATCTCAGCTCACAGCAACCTCCACCTCCTGGGTTCAAGTGATTCTCCTGCCTCAGCCTCCCAAGTAGCTGGGATTACAGGTATGCGCCACCATGCCCAGCCAGTTTTGTATTTTTTAGTAGAGACGGGGTTTCTCCATGTTGGTCAGGCTGGTATTAAGCTCCCGACCTCAGTTTCAGACTATAAGACTTAACAGTTTCAGAATCTTGCTCAAGCTCTTAACTGCAGCACACAATACAAGCTAGACTTTTGCATTTTCCTTCTCCAATCCTCACAGTTATCTGGCCAAGTAAGTGATAAATCCCCACTTTACAGATGAGGGTACAAAGGCCCTAGATGATATAAGGCAAGTTTTTTAACCAGAAAAGTTAAGGCTTTGATACTGGGACTTGAATTCTGCTGTTTGACTTCAAAGCCTTTTGTTTTTACTATACCCCTCTTAAAAATTTACAGCTGTATGTGTGTGCATGTATGAATTTATGTTTATATACTTTTTTTTTTTTTGAGATGGAGTCTCGCTCTGTTACCCAGGCTGGAGTGCAGTGGTGCGATCTTGGCTCACTGCAACCTCTATCTCCTGAGTTCAAATGGTTCTCCTGCCTCAGCCTCCTGAGTAGCTGGGACTACAGACCCCTGCCACCATGCCTGGCTAATTTTTGTATTTTCAGTAGAGACGGGGTTTCACCATATTGGCCAGGTTGGTCTCGAACTCCTGACCTTGTGATCTGCCCTCCTCAGCCTCCCAACATGCTGGGATTACAGGCATGAGCCTGCCTATGTTTATATACTTTTTAACGTAAATGATTTGTGAATAAACCTGACTTTTTTCCCTCCTACCATCTTAGTATCTAATGCTTTTAAAGGAGCTTCCTGGAAAAGAATATCCCTTGCCAATGGAAGATGTTATTGAACTTCTGAAACCACTATCGTAAGAAATTAAAACCTTATGTTCACTTTAAATTTATAAAATAACTGATGTGTTCTGTTAAGCTGATGAAGTTAAACGTTTTTCACCACAGCAATGTGTGTTCTTTGTATCGTCGTGACCAAGATGTCTGTAAAACGATTTTAAACCATGTCCTTCATATCGTGAGAAACCTAGGTCAAAGCAATATGGACTCTGAGAACACAAGGGATGCTCAAGGACAGTTTCTTACAGTAATTGGAGCATTTTGGTAGGTACAGCTTATTTTGTGGTCTTATTTGTCTTTTGTTATCTGTGGATACAAATGCAAATTTTGTATCTACATCAGTGATTTCTTCTGATCTTCCTACATAGCTAATATATCTTTTAAGAATAGCAGAATATAATTTGGGTTTCCCTCAGTTGCTTGAAAAACTACACTGCTTTTTTTTAAAGCTTGGCTTTCTAAGCTGTTTAACTCATCTCCCTGCAAATTTTGAGTCATTTAATAGTTTGACATATATAGTGAATAAAGGAAGGATAACAAGCCAAAATCAGTTGAATTGTTCATATTCCCAAAGTGAACAAATTGGCCTTGTCACTATCTGGTTATTTTATCTATATTGTCACATTCCGAGATAACACCATGATACTTACAGAGGAACACATATATATAATTTAGAACCCTTGTACTATTTGACTGATGAGTAATTCTAAATCAATAGAATGTTTTTTGTTTTTTTGGGGATGGAGTCTCACTCCATCACCCAGGCTGGAGTGCAGTGGTGCGATATGGGCTCACTGCAGTCTCCGCCTGCCAGGTTCAAGCAATTCTCCTGCCTCAGCTCTTGAGTAGCTATGATTACTGCCACCACGCCTGGCTAATTTTTTTGCATTTTTAGTAGAGATGCGGTTTCACCATTTTGGCCAGGCTGGTCTCAAACTCCTGACCTCAAGTGATCTGTCCACCTCAGCCTCCCAAAGTATTGGGATTACAGGCCTGAGCCAGTGCACCCTGCCTGAATGTGGTGTTGAAATCTTCGATATACCAAACAAAACCTTAGCAATTTCTTTCTAAAGTAAGTTGACTGTAATGTGGTTAGCCATTCTATGGTAGCCCCCCAAAAAAGAGTCATGATGGTATAAAACAAATCATTTGTGCTAAAATGAATTCTTTCAAACCGATTTCTTTTAGCTTGAATTTTTGGGAAGGTGAGTATGTTGGCATATTCCATATCATGACAAATAAGTTTAGCACAGAAAGACATATTGGAAGCAACTTATAATAACCTTGATATTCGGTGAATTTTCTGAGTGCTTTTACTGGAATGATTATTTGACTTCCAAAAACTTACTTAATTTCAGGCATCTAACAAAGGAGAAGAAATATACATTCTCTGTAAGAATGGCCCTAGTAGAATGCCTTAAATGTTTGCTTGAGGTGAGTTTTTGCATTTTATTAGTAAGATCTCCATTGAAAATTTTAAAGCAGTTTTTGTTAAGGAGTGAATTTTCTCTATTTCATGTTCAAGCTCAGTTCTTTTTGCACAGGCTGATCCTTACTCAAAGTGGGCTGTTCTTCACGTGGTGGGAGAAGACTTTCCTGTAAATGAAGTATTTACACAGTTTCTTGCTGATAATCATCACCAGGTTCGCATGTTGGCTGCCAAGTCAATCAACAGGTAATAGGTCAAGTATTCGTGAGTATGTGGAATGCTGCGGGCAGCAGTAGTGTCTCGCACACTAACTGCTCACAGTTGCAATATTAAAAATAACTGACACTTACTGAGTATATACGATGTGCCTGGCATTTATGTTTTTTCTTAATCCTTACACTTCTATCACATAGATTCTATTATTTCCTTCAATTTCTAAATGAAACTGTGACTTAGTGAGGTAAAGTAACTTCCTTATGCCACAGAGCTAGTAAGTGGTTGGCTTGAGTTAAGTGTGCCTACTAACACAGGAGATATGGACTGTTTGAAAATTACTGTGATTTTTATGTGAGTTTATGAAATGATAATTAGCACATTTTACATTGTGCTAATTACACAATTATATTTACTTGAGTGAACATCCAGTATAGCCCTGGGGTGATTCTATCATGAGGATCTTTTATGTTTGAGTACTGGAATACACATATATTAATTCGGTCTTGTTTTTGCTTTTGTTTTGTTTTGTTTTGTTTTGCAACAAGAGTTTCGCTCATGTCTCCCAGGCTGGATGGAATGCAATGGCATGATCTTGGCACACTGCAGCCTCTGCCTCCTGGGTTCAAGCAATTCTGCCCCATCCTCCTGAGTAGCTGGGATTACAGGCGCCTGTCACCACGCCTGTCTAATTTTTGTATTTTTAGTAGAGCCAGAGTTTCACCATACTAGGCCAGACTGGTCTCAAACTCTTGACCTCAGGTGATCCACCTGCCTCAGCCTCCCAAAGGGCTGGGATTACAGGCATGAACCTGCAGTCATGTGGTTTTTGTCATTGGTTCTGTTTATGTGGTTGATTACGTTTACTGATTTGTGTACATTGTACCAGCCTTGTATCCCAGGGATGAAGCTGACTTGATCATGGTGGATAAGCTTTTTGATGTGCTACTGGATTCGGGTTGCCAGTGTTTTATTGAGGATTTTCACATCGATGTTCATCAGGGATATTAGCCTGGAATTTTCTTTTTTTGTTGTGTCCCAGCCAGATTTTGGTGTCAGGATGATGCTGGCCTCATAAAATGGGTTAGGGAGGACTCCCTCTTTTTCTGTTGTTTGGAATAGTTTCAGAAGGAACAGTACCAGCTCCTCTTTGTATCTCTGGTAGAATTTGGCTGTGAATCTATCTGGTCCTGGGCTTTTTTTGGTTGGTAGGCTATTACTGCCTCCATTTCAGCACTTGATTGGTCTGTTCAGGGATTCGACTTCTTCCTGGTTTTGTCTTGGGAAAGTGTATGTGTCCAGGAATTTATCCATTTCTTATAGATTTTCTAGTTTATTTGCATAGAGGTGTGTATAGTATTATCTGATGATAGTTTGTATTTCTGAGGGATCAGTAATGATATCCCCTTTATTGTTTTTTATTGTATCTATTTGATTCTTTTCTCTTTTCTTCTTTATTAGTCTGGCTAGCAGTCTTGTCTATCTTGTTAATCTTTTCAAAATACCAGCTCCTGGATTGCTAGACTTTTTTGAAGGGTTTTTCATGTCTCTGTCTCCTTCAGTTCTGCTCTGACCTTAGTTATTTCTTGGCTTCTGCTAGCTTTTAAATTTATTTGCTCTTGCTTCTCTAGGTCTTTTAATTGTGATGTTAGGGTGTCAATTTTAGATCTTTCCTGCTTTCTTCTGTGGGCATTTAGTGGTATAAATTTTCCTCTAAACACTGCTTTTTCATCCCAGAGATTCTGATATGTTATGTCTTTGTTCTCACTGGTTTTAAAACCTTAATTTCATTATTTACCCAGTAGTTATTCAGGAGCAGGTTGTTCAGTTTCCCTGTAGTTGTGCAGTTTTCGGTGAGTTTCTTATGAGTCTTTTTCTATGGAAAGAAAGTTCTTGCAGCTAGCTTGGTGTCTGCCACCAGGGCCCTGGTAGTGTAGGCACCCGAGGGAATTTCTGGGTCTATGGTTGCGAAGACCACGGGAAAAACGTAGTTTCTGGGCTGGAATTCACCATCCTCAGGGCACAGTCCCTCATGGCTTCCATTGGCTAGGGGAGGGTGTTCCCCAACCCCTTGCACTTCCCAGGTGAGGTGATGCCCCACCCTGCTTCACCTCACCCTCTGTGGGCTGCACCCACTGTCTAACCAGTCCCAATGAGATGAGCTGGGTGCCTCAGTTGGAAATGCAGAAATCACCCAGCTTCTGCATTGATCTCATTGGGAGCTGCAGATTGGAGCTGTTCTTATTCAGCCATTTTGCTGTTCCCTTGTTTTATTTTTCTTCAGCTTTTCTGATAACTTGAAACATTCTAGTTTAATATATTTACGTCTCCCTTTCCACTTGTATATAAATTCCTAAAAGGCACTGGTTTTTTGTCTGTTCTGTTCATTGCTGTATTTTTAGTTCCTAAAACAATATTTGGCATGTGATAGGTATTCAATAACTGTTTATAAAATAATGTACTTGAAAAAAAATTACAAGATCCTATAAAAACATCAAAGCTGAAAAATCATTTGAGTAATTTACTGTTCAGATCTTTCATTATGTAAGACCAATAATAAAGATCACTATATTGTTCCAGCAGCCGCATAAAGTATTAAACCTGTTTCAGTGGTTGAATATGCTGGCAGTAATGTTTTCATAAACTAGATTTTGTGTCTGCCTCCTTCGGTTTGGAACTCTTTTCAGTAAGAGTTTCCATTGTAAGAATTTCTAATGAATATGTTTAGAAGTTCAAGTTCTTACTAAATATCGCAGATAAAAGATAGCAAATACATGCTGGACTTTAAGGACTGAGGTTATATGAGACTGAGTTGAATGTGATAAGGCAGCAGTGTAGTGGTGGCATTGAAAAAAATGGAACAGTCACAAAGTATAAATTCAAGAATGACAAATAGCATTCTTTTTTTTTTTTTTTTCAATTTTATACTTGTTAGATTTTTTCTTAGTTCATTTGTGTTGCATAAAGAAATACCTGAGGCTGAGTATTTATAAAGAAAAGAGGTTTATTTGGCATATGGCATCTACATCTGGTAAGGGCCTCAGACTCATGGCAGAAGGCAAAGAGGAATCAGTGTGTGCAGAGATCACATGGTGAGAGAGGAGGCAAAGGAGTGTGGGGAAGACAGTGCCAGGCTTTTTTTTTTTTTTTTAAATAACCAGCTATTGTGGGAACTTAATAGTGAGAACTCACTTATTCCCTACGCTTAGGCCTTTATTCATGAGGGATCAGCTCACATGACTCAGACACCTCCCATTGGGCATAACCTAATGGGGATCAGATATCAGCATGACATTTGGAGGGTTAAACATTCGGACGATAGCAGATATCTGATGTTTAGCTATTTTAAAAGCAGTTAGAGAGACTAGAAGAATCAGAGGAACTTAATTATAAAAACTTTGATTACTAAAAAAGGATAACGGATGAAGTTGATTAAAGAGTTGAGTTAGCCTTAAATAAGTGGCTGCTATGCAGAAGGCACACTGATGAACCTTTTACCATCACATAAAACAAAATTTTAATGGTACATTAAAACATTAACCTACCCACTTTCAGAGTGATTAAATATTAGAGCAGGTTGACACTGGAATCTCTGGACTCAACTAATTGGTATTTGGCCAGAGAACAGTTTATCTTTTCTGGCTAGTTTGAGTTCAGTGCTGTTCAGATTTGGGCAGTAGTTAAAAGAGATTTTAAGACCCTCTTCAATTCTAGGAGAAAATAGATTTTTTATTAAAGACGTTAATACTAAGCTGCTGGTCTGAACCTATTTAAATAAACTCAGGATTTGTTAGTCTTTAAAAAAGAGCTAGTATGTTATGTCTCACAGAGTGATTTATTTTTGTTTTGGAATATGCTTTGGATTAAACAATTATTTCCCTTTTTGTTTGTTTGTTTGCTTGTTTTAAGATTATTCCAGGACACAAAACGAGATTCTTCCAGGTTACTGAAAGCACTTCCTTTGAAGCTTCAGCAAACAGCTTTTCAAAATGCATACTTGAAAGCTCAGGAAGGAATGAGAGAAATGGTAATTTTAAGTAACGTGTATTTGCTATTATCATACGCTTGCTATGAATATTCTATAAATTACCAAGTTTGGCATAACAGTGTTTATAATCCAGTAGTTACTATATAAAACTGCTCTAAAACAACTATATGAATTCAATGAAACTCCATTATTTCTAGGATACAGTGGGTCAAATCATAGTAAGTTCTTTTGGTTTAACTTAATTTGTAGCATTTTTATGGAGAAACCCAAAATTTAATTGAGTTTCTTTGGGAGTATAAATGGCTTCCTTATTTAAAAAGTCTTTCATGTGTGATCTGATTAAAAACGAATTAAGGGAACAGGTGACAATTGGAAGAAATGGATTGAGAAAAAGATCAAATTATGGTGTTTCCAGTGAAACTTGTGATATTTCACATTGCTGTAGAATATATGGTAATAATTGTCTTAGGATTCAAATTTTTTCATATATTTATGCCCTGATTTGTTTCTTGTGAGTACTTAAGATAGTTAAATGACTGTCAAATCTGTGATAGCAGGAAATTGGAAAAGACAGTTGAAGGAATGTGAATTTAGAAAAGAATTTCAATAGATTAGAAAGATAAGTGTAAGTAACATAAATCTAATAGAGATAATGTATATTACACATTTTAAATCAGCCTGTTAACTGCAAAAAGGGAAAATACTGATCTGACAGCAGTTCCTTTAGATAAAGACCTAAGAAGTTTTACGTCTTGAGATTATAGTATGAATCAGCATTGTATTACAGTTATCAAAAAAGGCCAACTCTATCTTATACCACATTAATAGAAACATTGTATGAACAAAGTTGATATAAGAACCTGGATCTTCTGTAATTTTTACTTTATTTATTTTATATTTTTAATTGTTATGGATACATAGTAGGGGTGTGTGTGTGTGTATTTGTGAGGTACATGAGATGTTTTGATACAGATATACAGTCTGATTATTTCAATGTGATGAAATAATCACATCAAAGAGAATGGGATATCCATCTCCTTATTTATCCTTTGTGTTACAAGCAATCCAATTACACTGTTTTAGTTATTAAATGTTTCTGTATAGCCAGAATGTTATAGATCTGTGTCTTATAAAAAATGGGTGAAGGAATTGACTTAGTGGAAAGGTCATAATTGTTTTTAAATGTGTCAATGCTTGTGATTTAGTAAAGGTATTAGGTCCTTACTTTTTCTTGTAACAAAAGAAATATGATTAGTGAATAAGAGGTTCTCTAAATGTGGAATAGCTAGTCAAAAAATCTGGAGTTCAGTTGGGATTTTATAATTGATTGTTAAACATTTACGTTTTACCTTATGTTATTTATTTTTTTTTTAATTTCTTTTTAAGTCCCATGGCGCTGAGAACCCTGAAGCTTTGGATGAAATTTATAATAGAAAATCTGTCTTACTGATGTTGATAGCCGTGGTTTTATCCTGTAGCCCTATCTGTGAAAAACAGGCTTTGTTTGCTCTATGTAAATCTGTGAAAGAAAGCGGATTAGAACCTCACCTTGTGAAAAAGGTACATGTGGATGAATATTTTATTATAAGCTTCCTTGGGTCACTGTGAAATAATTTTAAAATTTAAAGCTAGATTTTCTAAGTGGCACTTATTTAAGACTAAGAAACAATTTTATTTTTTGGGTTGGGAATATTGGAAAGCAGTTATATGAAAACTATTCGTATGTTTTTTCTTTTTCTTTTTATTTATTTATTTATTTAATTTGTAATTTTTTTTTTCTTTCATAAAAACTATTCAAATGGTGTATTTATGTATAAGCATTGTTGTTTCTTACATTCGGTTTAAGAGCATTTCACAAGGCTTTCATTGAACTAACAAGGGTGAATGACTTGTTCACCACACAGACCAGGCTTTTGGAAATAGTAATTTTTGAGGGAAACATATGGACCCAAGAGCACTATAGGTGTTTTGCCCAGTAGATTCTTGGGCAGCACATTGGGGTCTAGCAGGGCCAGAAGTCAAATTTTACAGCTATCAGGCTTTTAATTTCAATTATTAGGGGAGAAGGACTAGGGACCTGCCTTGTAATTATTACATCAGCACAGTATTATAGAATGTTGGCCCCTTCTCTTTTGCATCACCTCAGCATTTGTGGTTTAGGAAGTTCCAGGCCTTGCCATTGCAGATTTTCATGTGATAAGTCAATGGTAGGTCAGTGAACTGACACTCCAGTTAACATTCTACCAGCATAGTTTCCGTGGGGCTCTATAGTAAGCCAACCTGTAATTAGTTAACCTTTTATCTCTCAGTATGAAATTTGTTTATATGCAAATACATTACCTAATAGTTGTAAGTGGTATGTATTCTGTGGATTTTTTAATTTGGATTTAAGACTGAGAGGAATGATTTTGCTTTATTTTAAATTATTTATTTATTTTGAAAGACAGGGTCTCACTCTCACCCAGGCTAGAGTTCAGTGATTCAATCATGGCTCACTGCAGTCTTGACCTCCTGGGCTCAAGCAGTCCTCCCAAGCCGCCTGAGTAGCTGGGACTACAGACATGTGCCACCATGCCTGGCTAATTTGTTACACAGATGGGTTCTCGCTGTGCTGCCCAAGGTGGTCTTGAACTCTTGGGCTTAAAGCCCTCCCTCCTCGGCCCTCCAAAGCATTAGGATTGCAGGTGTGGACCACCATGTCTGGCCAGTAATTTTACTTTAAATCTACCTTTAAATGTAACCAAATGTTGGAAACTCTCAGCATATTTTTGTTTTTATTTACCTAACATTTATTGAGCGCTTGCTGTGTGTCAGATGTAGTGCCAGTGGAGTACATTTTCTTCCTTATCATCCCCATCTCAGAGATGAGGAAATCAAGAAAAGTTAAAAGAATGTTGTTTCTAGGTCTTACTCTAAATAATATTAACAAGCATTTAAATGATTTATTTTTTTCATTTTTCTTAACAAATTGACTTTTTGGTTTCTGCAGGTTTTAGAGAAAGTTTCTGAAACGTTTGGATATAGGTGTTTAGAAGACTTTATGGCTTCTCATTTAGATTATCTGGTTTTGGAATGGCTAAATCTTCAAGATACTGAATACAGCTTATCTTCTTTTCCTTTTATTTTATTAAACTACACAAATATTGAGGATTTCTATAGGTAAGTTTGCATATAACATGTGAAATTTGTTTAGTTTAAAGTTAGTTAACAATGTTTAGCAAGTCCCCATCACCAGCACCACATAAACCATGCCCATACACATGTGTGTGTGAAGGCCACATGGTTCGAGTAGCAGGACAGCTTGTTTTAATAAAAATGTATTTAGTGGCTCACGTCTGTAACCCCAGCACTTTGGGAGGCCCAGGCGGGCAGATCACAAGGTCAGGAGATTGAAGCCATCTTGGCCAACATGGTGAAACCCCATCTCTACTACAAAAATACGAAAATTGGTTGGGTGTGGCAACGCATGCCTGTAATCCATGCTACTCGGGAGGCTGAGGCATGACAATCACTTAAACCCAGAAGGTAGAAGTTGCAGTGAGCCAAGATTGTGCCACTGCACTCCAGCCTGGTGACAGAGCAAGACTCTGTCTCAAAAAAAAAAAAGAATGTATTGAAGGGAGTCACTGGACTTCAGATCTGGTCCTGGCTGTGCCAACAACCAGCTATGTGACTTTGGTCAAGCCACATAAAGACCCTCTATGCCTTGGTTTTTTAATCTGTAAAGTGAAGGAGTTACACAAGGAGATTTTTCAGGTCCCTTTAAGCTTTAATATTTGATCATCTTTCCTTTGAAAAAATTGAAGATAAATTACTAGTACCTGGTTATTTCTGCCTGGTTTTTCTTTTCTGTTGCTTGACTATAGGCTATTGAATCATTACTTCTATTAGATTTAGAAACTTAATGTAAAGCTTTATTTTGCTGTCTTTAACTCTGTAGAAGAAAAATTTGAAAATGGAGAGGTTTGAAACAATAAAAAGTAATATTTAGGCATCAGGATGATGGGAAGGCGTCTCATACTTGTTGAGCATGCTCTGTGCTGTGGACTTTGCTATGCATTTTACAGGTAGTGTATCTCAGATGAGTTTCAGGCTCGTCCTAATAGAGCTTTCTAGTAGATTATGAGTTGTATGTCGATAGTCTCCTTTAAGAAGGATAGTCCTATAAAAGTAAATTTAGTGGTCCTTACAGTTCATTCATTTTGGCAGAGCAATATAGTCATTTCTTTGTATATGTGAGGGGTTGGTTCCCAGATCCCCCGTGTATGCTTAAATCTGTGCATACTCAATCCCCAGATTGAGTGAAAAGTCAGTCCTCTGTGTATACAGACTTTCACCTCCTGTGCATACTGTTTTTCTATCTGCATTTGGTTGAAAAATATGCAAGTATAAGTTCAAACCCATGTTTTTCAAGGGCCAACTACATTTACATTAGTTTGAATTTATAATTGCTTCTACATTTTCTTTTACAATATTTTTACATAAATTATTTATGTATAAATTGATTATACAGAATAAATAAATATAAATTCAAATCTCCATTTTTATTTACTTGTTTTCGTTTTACTTTTTGCTAAGGGTGCTACTGAACAAAGTCCCCATTTTAAAATCATGTAATTATAATGATGGTATATTCTAAGCTTTCTAATTTTTTTAATGTGACTATTTAGAATTTACTTAATTTTTCCATTTCAAATTAAAGAATGTTTAATAATCTAGATAAAGTGTGATACTTTAATGCTGACGGTATTAAAACAGTGTATTATTTTGAGAACTATTTTATAAAATTTTACTTGGAAAAGTTATATATAACCTATATTTTAAATTTTTATATTTTTAGATCTTGTTATAAGATTTTGATTCCACATCTGGTGATTCGAAGCCGTTTTGATGAGGTGAAGTGCATTGCTAATCAGATTCAAGAGGACTGGAAAAGTCTTCTAACAGACTGCTTTCCAAAGATTCTTGTCAATATTCTTCCTTATTTTGCCTATGAGGGTACAGGAGACAGTGGGATGGCACAGCAAAGAGAGACTGCTACCAAAGTCTATGATATGCTTAAAAGTGAAAACTTACTGGGAAAACAGGTACGGCTTCAATTTCTATCTACTTTTTGTTACCTGAATGATCTGCGATATAAGCTTTAAATTTTAAGTCTATTTATTCTTTTTTATATATTGAAACTTAGCTTGTTGTAATCATTATCTAGCACAGCCAACCCATGAATTTTTTTGGTTATGTCGTGTTCTCTCCCTCTGATTGCCTTTTAAATAAGTATAAGTGTATTAAATTGGAAATAACCCAAAAAATAATTTGAATAATTTTCTTATGCCATTTAAAAATTATTTTAACTGCAGTAATACACAAATGCAAGCTGGTTGTTAAAGTCAAGGAATACTAAACAGTGTATAGAAAATCTTCACTTCCTCTTCAGTCTCACCAAGCTTTCCACTTTCCAAGAAAAAGAAGCATCCCTCATTCCTATAGTTCTCATATCCTGCTCTTTGTTTTTTTATGGCACCTATTACCTTCTAACATATGATACAATGTACTTTGTTTTTGTTTTTGAGACAGAGTCTCACTCTGTTGCCCAGACTGGAGTGCAGTGGTACAATCTCAGCTCACTGAAGCCTCTGCCTCCCAGGTTCAAGTGATTCTCCTGCCTTAGCTACCCAAGTAGCTGGGACTACAAGTGCGGCCACCACACCCAGCTAATTTCTGTGTTTTTAGTACAGATGGGTTTTTGCCATGTTGGTCAAGCTGGTCTTGAACTCCCGACCTCAGGTGATCTTCCCACCTCAGCCTCCCAAAGTGCTGTGATTACAGGCATGAGCCATCGTGCCCAACCACAATATACTTTTGAATTATGTTAATTGTTTATCAGTCGTCTCTACCATAAGTTCTCTCTCTTTTTGTGGCTAATGTATCTCAACCACATAATATATTTTTGGAATTCATTAAATCTCTGTCAAAAGGAGTTGAGTAAGGAAGGATTTAACAAGCTCGTTTGTTTTATAATAATATATACACATTTCAAAATTTTTTGAAGCAACTTATAGTAAAACATACATGTAAATATTTTTTTAAGCTAGAACAGCTGTGGTCACTCCGAATTTATTCATGTACTTATTTATTTTGGATACTTGTAAGGGATAACTAACCAAACTTGGTTAATATTAGATAAACTTCAAGAGAGGTTTTTTTTTTTTTTTTTTTTTTTTTTTAGTTTCCTGGTTATCTATATTGAACTAAGAAATGGAACAGCAAGTTCCCCGGTTGCTTAGGTGAACCCATTCAGAGCTGCTTGTAAGTCTACAGTCTGGAGGGAAATGGTGAGCAGAGGACTGCTTTCCCAAAGCCAGCCTGAACAGAATACAGGCACTCCAGAGGTTATGGAATTTGAGAGACACTCAGCCTCTAGCCACCCTGTTCCATCTCCCAGCTTAGTCTTCTGATCACCCTTAATCTTACTATTCTTTTATTAATGTCTTCAAACCAAAAGAGCAATTTTTAGAACCTGAATAGGTTTCGGAGGGAAAAGTAATTACATTAGACCTTGACTGAAACACTAGCCTCAGGAATGAAGAGTGGCCAAAATTAAATAATAATTTTTTAGCTTTTTGGTTAAAGACATAAGTTAAATTCTTGGCTGGGTGTGGTGGCTCATACCTGTAATCCCAGCATTTTGGGAGGCCAAGGTGAATGGATCACCTGAGGTCAGGAGTTGGAGACCAGCCTGGCCAACATGGTGAAACCCCATCTCTACTGGGCATGATGGCACATGCCTGTAATCCCAGCTATCTGGGAAGCTGAGGCAGGAGAATTGCTTGAACCTGGGAGGCAGAGGTTGCAGTGAGCCAATATCATGACACTGCATTCTGGCCTGGGGCACAGAGTGAGACTTTGTCTCAAAAAAAAAAGACAGAAATTGTATAAAACACACACACAAAGCAAGGAAAGAATGAAGCAACAAAAGCAGAGATTTCTTGCTAATGAAATTACACTCCACAGGCTGGGAGTGGGCCCTGAGCAAGCGGTTCAAGAGCCTGGTTACAGAATTTTCTGGTGTTTAAATACCCTTTAGAGGTTTCCCATTGGTTACTTGATGTACACCCTGTGTGAATGAAGCAGTGGCCCATGATCAGTCTGATTGGTTGTGGGAAGGGACCAATCAGAGGTACTTTCAGTTTCTCATCTGCAGCAGTAAAAGGGAGGGGGTTGCAAAGGGAGTAGCCTCTGCTCCTTTTGTTACCTGAGCATGGAAAGTTGGGGTTTTCCTTTTGATTTTGTTCTAGGAAGTCAGCATGGATTGTCCTTAGGTTCCCTGCCTCCCGATCTTATTGCTCTGCCTCATTTACATTAGTTTCTTTCTTGTCACCTTCTAAAATATTTTTTGTTATTATGAAGTATATTTTTGAACTTCCTTATGCATTAAGTAAATTTGCCATTTACGTTAGATCACTCTAATTCCTTATTTGGAAAGTTATTAAATTTACCCTGAATACTTCACAATTCTCATTCATTTGACTTACGTGTAACATAGCAGACTTATTCTTCATATTTAGAGAATTTATGTCTTTTGCGAAGCTACCTGCCTGTAGTGGGAAGGAGATTCATGAAAAGTCCGAATCTGTTGGGGAGGGTTTTATTCTACTATTGATGAAAGGGGATGTGGAGAGCAGCTAGCCTTAGAATTTGAGATGGCACTCAGGTAGAAGTCTGGGAAGAAGTTATGCAGGGAACAAAGATGAGATTATTGCCAGTCACTGGGAATTCTTAACAGTGAAGTTCTGTAAGTGAGACAAAATTCCCAAATAAAGTCAAGAGTAAAATGCAGTTAGAGGAGTAATTATAGATCAGTGTGGGAAATTTGGTTGGCAGAAAAATTACCAGGTCACAAAACTTAATGATAGACCTGAAGTCTTATTTAAAATGATTCTTTAAAATTAAAGAGTTGGATTAAGGGGGCCTTGTTTGGCTAGATTTTCCTGCTTTTCCCTCTTAGTCTACAGGTTGGCTGCATAGAATAAAAATGTAGAGTTAGTTATAATCTTGTAGATCTTGGACTTTGGGTCATCCGTTTTCTTTTACAGTCACTGAATAATTTTGGAAATAAGGTAATAGCATATGCCTTTTGAGCTGCCTTGAAGTTCACAGATATAAAATCTTAAATATATTTTAATTTTGTGCCCTTGCAGATTGATCATTTATTCATCAGTAATTTACCAGAAATTGTGGTGGAGTTATTGATGACGTTACATGAGCCAGCAGATTCTGGTGCCAGTCAGAGCACTGACCTCTGTGACTTTTCAGGGTATGTACATTTACACTTAGAAAACTAGCTGCAACTTCACAAGTTCTTAAAAGAAGTTAATTGGTGGTCACCTTCAATGTCTATTTCAATTTACAGACATCATTTCAAAAAGTCTGTTTCTTTAAAAATAGCCACCTTTGAATTGGAGTCATTATCTGTCCTCTTTTGCTATAGTCGTCTCACAGTAACTACTTTGTTGGCAAACCCGATAACCTTTTCTTTGTCTTTCTGTAATATTTGAACATTGTGCCATCTGCTGTCCCTTGAAATTTTTTTCTTTATGTACATTATTCCTAGTTATCTTCTCTTTATCTATAACTTGCCTTTCTAGATCACCTTTTCTTTTTTTTTGAGTCTCACTCTGTTCCTCAGGCTGGAGTGGCATGATCTTGGCTCACTGCAGCCTGCCCCTCACAGGCTCGAGCAATCTTTCCTTCTACCTCAGCCTCTAGCTGGGATGACAAATGTGCACCACTACACTTGTCTAAATTTTTATATTTTTGGTAGAGAGGGGTTTCACCATGTTGCCCAGGCTGGTCTTGAACTCCTGGCCTCAAGTGATCCGCCTGTATTGGCCTCCTAAAGTCCTGGCATTACAGGTGTGACCCACCATGCCCGGCCTCACCTTTTCTTTATTGTACTTTATTGTCTGTACAATTTAATTTGAATGTGAATGTCTCTGGGTTGTATATGAACATTTGAGTTATTTTCCCAGCTTGATTGTAAGCTACTATTGTGCCTTACTGTGCTGGGTGTATAAGATAGTAAAATAGTAATAATATCTGAGAAAGTCCTTTCATGCTATCTAAATAAGTGTTGATTGCCGTGTCTTAAAATACTGCTTTTATAGTACTGGCATAGGGCTTTGATTCTGATCTGAAGTAATACTGAGGCTCATTTGTTTAATTGCCTTTTAACTTTATAAGATTTTTTTAAAGAAAATAATGTTAAGATCCTTTAAGATTATTTAAGTTATTGAGGGCGAAAGGTATTTAGATAATCTGATTTATGTATCTGTGCTGTGATATGTCATTTGTGATTTTATTAAAACTAATTTTTTCATGGAAAAGTAGTTTTTAAATTTGGGGGTTATTATAATCTAAATTTTCATTTTGGAAGTTCACTGGTCTATCAACAAAACATTTGAAGATAGTGACTGCATTTTTTTCCCATAACTCTGTTAGGGATTTGGATCCTGCTCCTAATCCACCTCATTTTCCATCGCACGTGATTAAAGCCACATTTGCCTATATCAGCAATTGTCATAAAACCAAGTTGAAAAGCATTTTAGAAATTCTTTCCAAAAGCCCTGTAAGTATGCATGATGAGCATAATAATAGAGCATTCCTTCTTTTTTAGCTTAAAACAATCTTTATAAGTACATCTTAAAGAGGCAAAGTAAACAAATGAAAAATTTATCTAATAATTTAAAAAGGAAAACATTAATTTACAAGTTTAAATCTTGGTATTTTACTTGTCAGCATTAATTGAAATATGTTACATATGAGGCCAGAATCTTGTGACATTTAGTCATATGTTAGCTCAGGGAATATATTTACTTTTTCATAGGAATATACCATTTAATTATAGTTTACTTTCTGAAAATTAAATAAATTGGCAATAGTTTAAGAGTAATTTTCTTAATGTAACATTTTGCACTTCATATCAAACCCAAATCAAAATTCTGCTGTTTTAAATACAAAATGTGTAGGTATTCAAATATTTGAAGAAAAATATAAAATGTATTTATTGTTGTTGAGTATATGTAATTAAACAAGTTTTTACTAAATCTGTTTGCTTTCTAGGATTCCTATCAGAAAATACTTCTTGCCATATGTGAGCAAGCAGCTGAGACAAATAATGTTTATAAGAAGCACAGAATTCTTAAAATATACCACCTGTTTGTCAGTTTATTACTGAAAGATATAAAAAGTGGCTTAGGAGGAGCTTGGGCCTTTGTTCTTCGAGATGTTATTTACACTCTGATTCACTATATCAACCAAAGGTAAATAATACATTTGGACCAATATATAAGCAATCTTTCTATCCTGTTTTTTTTGGGAGACAAGGTCTCACTCTGTCACCTAGGCTGTACTGGCGCTCTCACGGCTCACTGCAGCCTTAGCCTCCTGGGTTCAGATGATCCTTCCTCCTCAGCCTCCCAGAAGGAGCATATCACCATGCCTGACTAATTTTTTGACTTGTTGTAGAGATAGGGTTTCACCATATTGTCCAGGGTGGTCTTGAACTCCTGGGCTCAAGTGAACTGTCAGCCTCAGCCTCCCAATATGCTGGAATTACAGATGTGAGCTACCATGCCCAACTTATCCTGTTCTTTTAATTGAAAGTTTATATGCTTCTGAGAAAGAGGTAGATGCCAGAGTGCTGCTTTCTAAATTTTGATTTTTTTTTTTTGAGAGTCTTGCTCTGTCGCCAGGCGTCAGGCTAGAGTGCAGTGGCGCCATCTCGGCTCACTGCAATCTCTGCCTCTCAGGTTCAAGCAATTCTCCTGCCTCAGCCTCCCAAGTAGCTGGGACTACAGGTGTGTGCCACCATGCCCAGCTAATTTTTGTATTTTTTAATAGAGATGGTGTTTCACCATGTCGGCCAGGATGAATTTTGCTTTTTAAGAAGTCTCTTATATTTACCCATTAGTTTCTAAAATTGCAGTACTTGGCCTGGGAAACATAGTAGACCTCGTTTCTACTAAAAATTGAAAATTAGGGCCAGGTGTGGTGGCTCATGCCTATAATCCCAGCACTTTGGGAGGGTGAGGTAGGTGGATTGCTTGATCCCAGGAGTTGGAGAACAACCTGGGCAACATGATGTGAAACCCCATCTCTATAAAAGTTTTTTAAAAATTAGCCAGGGACTGTGGCATGCACCTGTAGTCTCAGCTACTCTGGAGGCTGAGGTGGGTGGATCACTTGAGCTCGGGAGGCAGAGGTGGCAGGTTGCAGTGAGCCAAGATTGTGCCACTATACTCCACCTGGCAGACAGAGTGAGACTCTTGTCTCAAAAAAAAAGAAAAAGAAAATTATCCAGGTATGATGACACATGCCTGTAGTTCTAGCTACTTAGGAGGCTGAGGTAGGAGGATGGCTTGAGCTCATGAATTTGAGGCTGCCAGTGAGCCTTGACTGCATGACTAAATTCCTGCCTGGGCAACAGAGCGAGACTTTCACTCAAAAAAAAGCACTACTTCTCCAATTCTAGAAATCTTAAGAAGGATTTTCAACATTTTGGTACTAATGTTCTAGCTATGGATGTCCTTAAATAAACTCTACTGTGGAATTGGGGTTGTATGTTCAATTTAGCATCTCTAATCTTGTCCATTGATTTTAATGAGATTTCCATTCTTTTTTATTGTGGTAAAATAGGTAACATGAAATTTTTTATTTTCACCATTAAATGGCCAGTTCAGTGGCATCAATTGCATTTCCATTGTTGTGCAACCATCACCACTATCTGTGTCCAAAACTTATCATAATCTCAAGCCAAACCACTCTACTCATTACACAATAACTCCACATTTCCCCTTCCAACTGGCCGTTGAGAAACTCTCATCTATTTTCTGTCTCAACAAATTTGCCTGTTGTAGTTATTTTATCGGCTCACTGCAACCTCTGCCTCCCAGGTTCAAACAGTTTTCCTTCCTCAACCTCCCGAGTATCTGGGATTACAGGCGCCTGGCACCACACCGAGCTAATTTTTGTATTTTTAGTAGAGATGGGATTTCACCATGTTGGCCAGGCCGGTCTTGAACTCCTGACCTTATGATCCAGCTGCCACGGCCTCCCAAAGTGCTGGGATTATAGGCATGAGCCACTGCACACAACCTATTGTAGATAGTTTAATCTAGAGTTGTACAATATATGTCCTTTTGCATTTAGCTTATTTCACTTAGTATAGTGTCTAGATTCATCTATGTTGTAGCATGTGTCAGAACTCCATTTCTTTTTATGGTTAAATATTCTTTTATATGTGCTTAACTGTCATCTGTTGATGAACACTTGGGTTGTTTTGTCGATTATGAATAATGCTGTGATGTCCATTGGCATACAGGTGTCTGCTTGAGTCCCTGTTTTCAATACTTTTGAGTATACGTAGGAGCGGCACTGGGGGGGTCATATGGTAATTTTATGTTTAACTTCTTGAGAGACTATCCAGCTGTCTCCACAGCAATGGCATCACTTCACGTTCTATCTACAGTGCACGAGGGTTCTGATTTCATCACATTCTTAGCTATGCTTGTTATTTTCTATTTATTTTATTTTATTATTATTTTTTAAAGATGGGATTTTGCCCTGTTGTCCAGCTGGCCTTAGTCTTCCTGCCTCAACCTCCCAAAATGCTGGGATTACAGGCATGAGCCACCATGCCTGGCCTGTATATTTTCTTATCTCCATTCTAGTAAATGTGAAGTGGTATCTTATTTTAATTTTGATTTTCTGTTTCTCTAATGACTGGTGTTTGTTACAGAACATCTTTTTGGGTGCTGATTGACCATTTGTCTATCTTTATTGTGGAAATACCTATTCAGGTTCTTTGCTCCGTTTTAAAAACTTTAATTGAAGAAACTTTTTTTTAGAGACATGGTTTTGCTCTGTTGCTCAGACTGGAATGCAGTGCATCATCAAGCCTCACTGCAGCCTTCAAACTCCTCTGCTCAAGTAGTCCATCTGCATCAGCTTTCCTAGCAGCTAGGACTGCAAGCATGTGCCACTAAGCTCGGTTGATTTAAAAAAAATGTGTAGAGATGAGGTCTTATTATGTTGGCCAGGCTGGTCTCAAACTGCTGGCCTCAAATGATTCTTCTGTCTTGGCCTCTCAACACACTGGGATTACAGGCATGAGCCACATTGCCTGGCATGTTCTTTTAATTTGGTTGGTTTTTGTTGTTGAGCTCCAGGAGTTCTTTAGATATTCAGATATCAGATATGTAATTATCAGGTATATCTCTGATAATTATGACTGTGACTATCACCAGATAAATGATTTGCAAATATTTTTCTCCTTTTCTGTAAAATTGTTTTTTTACTTTCTCAGTAATGTCTTTTTTTTAAGACAGAGGCTCACTCTGTTGCCCCAGTTAGAGTGCAGTGGCACATTCTCGACTCAGTGCAACCTCTGTCTCCTGGTTTAAAGCAGTTCTCTTGCTTCAGCCCCCAAGCAGCTGGTATTACAGGTGAACACCACCATGTCTAGCTAATTCTTGTATTTTTAGTAGAGACGGAGTTTCACCATGTTGGCCAGGCTGGTCTCGAACTCCTGACCTCAGGTGATCCACTTGCCTTGGCCTCCCAGAATGCTAGGGTTGTAGGGGCAAGTGACCATGCCTGGCCTCAATAATGTCTTTTGATGCCCAATTTAAAAATTTTGATTAGTGCAATTTATCTTTTTCTTTTCTTTTGTTGCCTCCCTCCCCCGCTCCTTTTTTTTTTTTTTTTTTTGGTGAGAGTCTTGCTCTATCGCCAGGCTGGAGAGTACAAAAAATTAGCCGGGTGTGGTGGTGCGTACCTGTGGTCCCAGCTACTTAGGATGCTGAGGCAGGAGAATTGTTGCCCATTTTTGTAGTGTCATATTAAGAATCCAACTGTCAAATCTAAGGTCATGAAGAATTACCCCTATGTTTTATTTTCAGGTTTTGATTCTTATATTTAGATAATCTATTTTTAGTTAATTTTTATATATGGTATAAGGTGTAGGAGTTCAACTCTTCACTTTTGCACATGGAAATCTAGGTGTCTCAGCATCATTTCTTGAAGAGACTATTCTTTCCACATTAAATGACTTGATATCCTTGTCAGTTGACTGAGGTATATGGGTTTATTTTTGCACTCTCAATTCTGTTCTATTGGTCTTTATGTCTGTCTTATGTCAGTACCACACTATTTTTATTGTAGCTTTATAGTAACTTTTGAAATCAGGAAGTGTGAAGCTTCTAACCTTGTTCTTAAACATTGCTTTGACTATTTGGGAACCTCTGCAGTTCCATATGAATTTGAGGATCTACTTTTGTGTTTCTGCAAAAAAGTCTTTTGGAATCTTGATTGTAATTACGTTGAATCTGCAGATTACTTGGGAAGTATTGACCCCATCACAATATTGTCTTCCAATCCTGAACGTGGGATATCTGTCCATTTATTTGAACTTCTTTAATTTCTTTCACCAGTGCTTTATAGTTTTCAGTTTACAAATCTTTTACATCATAGATTAAAGTTATTCCTAGGTATGTAGTTCTTTTAGATGTTGTTGTAACTAGAATTCACTTCTTAATTTTTTTTTCTTTGGATTTTCATTTCTGTTGCATAGAAACAACTGATTTTTGTGTATTGATCTTGTGTCCTGCAACTTTGTTGAATTTGTTTTTTAAAATTTCTAGTAGCTTTGTTAATTCTTTGATAGTTTCTGTGTGTATAGGATCAGGTCATAAGTGAATAGAGAGCATTGTTCTTCCTTTTCAATTCGGATGCTTTTCATTTCTTTTTCTTATCTAATTGCTCTGGCTAGAACTTCAGTATAGTATTGAATAGCAATGATGAAAGTGGGCATCCCTTGTCTTGTTCTCAATCTTAGAGGAAAGCTTTCGATTTTTTACCGTTGAGTATGATGCTTGCTGTAGGTTTTTCATAAGTCCCCTTAATTTTGTTGAGGAAGGTACTTTCTATTTTACTGAGTGGTTTTTTAATCTTGAAAAGGTGTTGGGGTTTTGTCAGATGCCTTTTCTGTGTCTACTGAGATGATACAGTTTTTTCCTTATTCTATTAATGTGGTGTATTACATAAATTGGTTTTCTTATATTGAACCACTCTTGGATTCCTAGAATAAATCCCACTTGGTCATGGTGTAGAATCCTTTTAATACAGTGTTGGATTCTGTTTGTTAGTATTTTCTTGAGAAGTTTTGCGTCTTTTTCATAATCGGTTTTTGATATTGTCTTTTTTTGTGGTGTCTTTATCTCACATTGATATCAGAAATGCTGGCCTCATAGAATGAATTAAGAAGTGTTCCCTTTTATTGTAATTTTTTGAAGAGTTCAGGAAGGATTAGTACTAATTCTTTAAATGTTTGGAGGAGTTCACTAGTGAAGGCTTCTGGTCCTGGATTTTCTGGCATGTTCTTTATTACTGATTTAATATCCTTGCTTGTTACAGATCTGTTCATCTTGAGTCTGTGTTTGTATATTTTATTTTCCTAGGAATTTGCCCATTTTATCTAGGTTATCTGATTTGTTAGATATAATTGTTCATGGTATTCTCCTATTGTTTTTATTTCTGTCTTTTTTCTTTGTAAGTCTGGCTCCAGATGTTTGTCAGTGTTATCTTTTCAAATAACTAACTTTTGGTTTTGGTGATTCTTTCTAATATTTTTCTATTGTATTTTATCTCTACTCCTTCTTCTACCTTTGAGATTACTTTACTTTTTTCTAGTTCTAAAATGTAAAATTAACTTACTGAACTGAGATCCTTTTTCAGTGTAGGTGTTTATTGCTACAGATTTCTCTCAGCACTCTCAGCTGCATCTCAGCACTCTTTGCTGTACGTTGTGTTTTAATTTTTATTCGTCTCTAAGCTTTTTAAAAATCATATTTAAGAGATAGTTGTTTTAAAGTATTTATCTGATAATTTTAATGTCTCAGAAATTTTTTCAGATGGAGTCTCCCTCTGTCTCCCAGGCGTGAGTGCAGTGGTGCAGTCTCGGCTCACTACAACCTCTGCCTCCTGGGTTCAAGTGATTCTCCTGCCTCAGCCTCCCGAGTAGCTGGGAATACAGACACCCGCCACCACACACAGCTAATTTTTGTACTTTTAGTAGAGACAGGTTTCACCATGTTGACCAGGCTGGTCTCAAACTCCTCCTGATCCACCTGCCTCGGCCTCCTAAAGTACTGGGATTACAGGTGTGAGCCACCACACACAGCTGTCTCAGAAACTATTTCTGTCATTATATTTTGTTCTTTTGAGTGGACCATACTTTTCTATTTCTTCTTATGCCTTGTGAAATGTTTTTGTTGGAAACTAGCCATTTCAGTATTTTAATGTGGTTAACTGTGGAAATCAGTTTTTCTCCTTCCCTAGAGTTTGACTTTTTTTTTTTTTTTAAGATTGTTGAAGGCTATAGTAGTCCATTTGCTTCATAAATTTTAACCAGCTATTTTTTCAGTCTGTATTTCTTACCTGTGTGGTTACTGAAAGCTTTGTGCCTTAGCTTGTGTTTAGATAGTGTTTGATAGAGATTTCCTTGGATGCCAAGCGTGTTGGGATGAGGAAGCATGAAATAGAGGAGAAAACTTTTCCTAGTGTTTGCAGATTAGCTTTGTGCTGTGATTCTTCTTCAACACTTAGCCATGCTTATATTGCTTACATTGCCCCATATACAAGCTTAAGATCTTCTCTGGTCTTTTCCAAACAAGAGTCTTATCTTGAGCATGTGTGTGGCTTTCTAAATTTCCCCTAACTTGTGGGTGCTTTTGAATATTCTAATTTCCCAAAGAAACACTCCCCCCAGCTATTCCTCCTAGGCTTTAGGCAGCCTCTTCTATGTCTCAACAATAACCTTTTGCCCTATGCACCTCCAGATTGTGGTTCAGCTTTACAAAGCTTCAAGCAACACCCATGTCATTTCCACCTTGTATGAGGTTAAGCAAAACAGAGCCACACACTTTATATCAGTCCTTGGCTCCAGACAGGTTAGAGTGACATACCCAATAGTTTGCAAATAATCTACTTAGCTCCGTGAACCACCGTGAGCCAGTGTCTCACAGCAAGGATAGAGTCTGCTGCTTTTGTGATTGTCAAACACAGTGGGGTGGACCAAGACAAGGAAAGTCACCATGAAGCTTTCCTACTGTTTTTCAGTTGCATTTTTCTTGATTCAGTATTTTCTTGATTACTGTAAACATTTCTACTTTTTTACAGAATTCTAACAAAATTAGTTCTGACAATTTTGCCTGTTTTTCAGTGTTTCTGTTAAAGAGTAGGAGCTTAGAGCTGCCTATTCGGCATTTTTCTGATGTCACTTCTGATTTTGACTAATAAGACATTAAAATATTTATGTCAAGGCATATAAGAATTAGAGATGCTGAGTAAAAGTGATTTCTGAATGAATGTATTTCAGAGTAATTTTCCAGAACTTACTGGTTGTTATATATATTTTTTTATCCGATATTAGGCCTTCTCGTATCATGGATGTGTCATTACGTAGCTTCTCCCTTTGTTGTGACTTACTAAGTCAGGTTTGCCAGACAGCAGTGACTTACTGTAAGGATGCTTTAGAAAACCATCTTCATGTTGTTGTTGGTACACTTATACCCCTTGTGGATGAGCAGGTGGAGATTCAGAAACAGGTAATTTTCAGAGTCATCTTCAAAATGGTATTCAAAATATATTTATAAAGTATTGTTAGAAGTATTTGAGTGTTTTATGTTTACTTGTATAATTGGTGATTTTAGTGAGAATATTTTTGTGAAATGATTGGAAAAATATTCTTAATGAATTAACCCTTGGAATCAATTACAGAGCACTTGGTACTTTTGATCTAGTAAATAACCTGAGAGTTTTATCTATTATGCTAAAGTATAGAGGTCGTCAAAACTAGGTATAGCAGTTCACAACATTATGGTCGTATGTGAGTTACTACTTATATAAACTGTTTGATTAATATTGGCATTTTTTAAACCTCAGTACCCACCTTGTAGGTAGTAGTACCTTACATAGTTGTTGAACTATTTGAAAACACAGAAACTAAAAGCTGGATATCTTAGACGTAATTAGAGCATTTAATCTGATCTAGGTTAGTAGTTTTTATTATTTATTAGAGTGAGTTTTTTGGCTTACTGTAAAATTAAGTATTTATTGCCTTATAATTTTTTCTTTTTAAATTATATTTAGGTATTGGACCTGTTGAAATACTTAGTGATAGATAACAAGGATAATGAAAACCTCTATCTCACGATTAAGCTTTTAGATCCTTTTCCTGACCATGTTGTTTTTAAAGATTTGCGTATTACTCAGCAAAAAATCAAATACAGTAGAGGACCCTTTTCACTCTTGGAGGTAATAAAAATCTCATTATCTACTATTTTCTATTAGGGAACATAGACAGTAGTACTTTTAAAAAATCTGTAATGCTTTAGCAGTAAAAAATGGAGTGTGATTAAAAATATATACGTAGGCCAGGCATGGTGGCTCATGCCTATAACACCTGTACTTTGGGAGGCTGAGGAAGGAGGATTGCTTGAGCCCAGGAGTTCAAGACCCACCCTGGGCAACATGGCGAAACCTGTCTCTACAAAAAGTTAGCCAGGCTTGGTAATACGTGCTTAGAACCAGCTACTCAGGTCACTGATATGGAAGGATCACCTGAGCCCTGGAAGTCAAGGCTGCAGTGAGCTGAGATTGTAGCACTGCACTCCAGCCTGGGTGACAGAGTGCGACCCTGTCTTCAAAAAATGTGTGTGTGTGTGTGTGTGTGTCTGTGTGTGTATGCGTATACACATACCTGTCACAGCCTGTGTGTGTAGCAGTAAGCTGAGATTGCAGCACTGCACCCCAGCCTGGGTGACAGAGCGAGACCCTGTCTTCAAAAAATGTGTGCGTGTGTGTGTGTGTCTGTGTGTGTATGTATATACACATACCTGTCACACAGCGTGTGTGTGTAGCAGTAAGCTGAGATTGCAGCACTGCACTCCAACCTGGGTGACAGAGTGAGACCCTGTCTTCAAAAAATGTGTGTGTCTGTGTGTGTATGCGTATACACATACCTATCACACAGTGTGTGTGTGTAACATGAGATCTACCTGCTTAACACATTTTTAAAAAATGAATCTTAATGTATCTCTTTGCATTGAAGTCAAAGTATAAATATCAAAACTTCCTGGTAAAGATCCAAATTTAAGTTTTCAAGGAATGTGACATAAACCAGTTTTGATTTTAACACATACGATCCTAAGATCCACTGACAGCTCAAAACTATCATTAGATCTTTTCAATGTCAGTTTAATGTTTGTGTTAGAGATGATGTTTAACTTTTGAAAGCATATTTCAAGTTTTAATCTTTATAAACCTCAAAATTATGTATAGGTATAGTCTTCCCTATAAATCTTAATTATAATTTTTAAATGATAGTCTGGATCTGACTCTATATAAATATGAAAACATATTTACATATGTTAAGATATAGAGTTATACTACTAAAGAGAAACTTAAGCATTTCCCTCCAGTTAAGTATGCTATAGCAATCTTGAAATCTGTGTTACCATGAGAGAATCGATTAGAATTTAAAGGATTAGGCCAGGTGCAGTGGCTCATGCCTGTCATCCCAGCACTTTGGAAGGCTGAGTCGGGCAGATCACCTGGGGTCAGGAGTTCGAGACTATCCTGTCCAATATGGCAAAACCCCATCTCAATAAAAATACAAAATTAGCTGGACATGGTGGCACATGCCTGTAAATCCCAGCTACTTGGGAGGCTAAGACACAAGAATCACTTGAACCTGAGAGGCAGAGGTGACAGTGAGCTATGCCAGCACCCCTGCACTCCAGCCTCAGTGACAAACTGAGACTCTGTCTAAAAAAAAAGAATCGAAACATTTTAGGGTTTGCAGTGGAGGAAGTAATTTATTTATTTCTTGTTTGGTAGTAATAGTGACATGAGTCAGTGTCTATAAAAGGCACTTAATAATTTTTTTCTTTTATTAAGTTTTACTTCACAAGCTTAACCAATACATGTTAAAAGCCAGTTACATTGTAATGGTTTTTCTCTTTTAGGAAATTAACCATTTTCTCTCAGTAAGTGTTTATGATGCACTTCCATTGACAAGACTTGAAGGACTGAAGGATCTTCGGAGACAACTGGAACTACATAAAGATCAGATGATGGACATTATGAGAGCATCTCAGGGTACTAATTTTAATGAGATGGGTTATTTCTGGCTGTTTCTTTTTGAAAGAATGTTTTGTAAATTCTTGCTCTTGCTTTCATTATCACAGACTTAGTTGAGACTCTCATCATTTAGTTCAGACCCTCATTTCTCATCTAACTGTAAAACTGGTCCTAACTGGTCTCACCCTGAACTCTTCCTATTTTATTAATCCTCTGCCAGAACAATGTCTCTAAACCCAAATATGAGCCTGTTTTTCTACTGCCTAAATTTTTTGTTTTTTTTTTTTAAGAGACAGAGTCTCACTGTGTCACCCAGGCTAGAGTGCAGTGGCCCTTCTCCTGGAGTGCACCATTGTAACTCACTGGATCCTTGAATTCCTGGGTTCAAGGAATCCTGTCTCAGCGTCCTGATAGTAGTGACTATAGGCACAAGCCACTACACCTAGCTACGTTATTTATTTATTTATTTTTTGTAGGAACAGGGGTCCCATTATGTTGCCCAGGTTGGTCTCAAATTACTGGCTTTAAGCAATCCTCCTGCCTTGGCTTCACAAAGCACTGGGATTAGAGGCATGGGCCACTGCATCTAGCCAAGCTTAAACATTTTTAACATCTTCCAACTATGTAAAGGAAAATTTTAATTTCTTAGAGCCAGGCATATAAGTTAGCTTTCTTTGCCTTCTAGTCCAATTTATCTGAAAGAAATATGTATGATTTTAATACTTTAGTCATGTGTGTTATGTGTGCGTATATATACATATATATTTGTAAATTTTTTAGGCTGGCATTTTACTTATGAAAACATCTATGTTTATGTTAATTTGATTTGAAATGTACATTATTATAGTATTTGGGAAACTTTCTACTTTAAGTTTTGATTTTCATCTTCCTATAACAATTTCATATTTCTCTTATGTTGTTTTACCCTCAGTAGTACTTTTTAAGATGAATTTTAGTTTTGACTATCTGAGCACCGAGTTTCTAGTACATTTGAGATATATAAAATATATGTAAGTAGAAACACAACTATTTCTTGTTCTTGTGTTCTTGAGTATTTTATGGGCTAGATCTGCCTTCTGCATTATAGCCATTAGGCATTTGGCCACTTAAATGAAGTAAAATTAAATGAAATTTGAAGTTCAGTTTTTTTCATTGTACTGAACACATGTCAAGTTGTCAGTGGTACATTTGGTCAGTGGTGGTCATTGGATGGTTTAAATTAATGACATTTCCATCATTGCAGAAAGTTCTGTGAGACAGTGCTGGTCTTAACTCTAAATGTTAAATGTTAAAAAGCCAAGCAGGCTCCCAGGTCCCTTCTAGCTTTAGTGTTGAATGACTCTTGTGCTTCTGTTTGTGATTTTGCTCAAGTATTGACTTAATCTGCGCAATTTGTTCGAGACATTTTATTTTCTCTGTTGTCGAATATTGTTAATTACTTTCAAAATAATTTGTTGTATAAAGATGTTCATATTCATTCCCTATGTATTTTTTGAGCTACTCATGACTTAAAACTTTTTTTTTTTTTGAGACGGAGTCTTGATTTGTTGCCCAGGCTGGTGTGCAATGGCACAATCTCGGCTCACTGCAACCTCCACTGCCTGGGTTCAAGCAATTCTCCTGCCTCAGCCTCCTGAGTAGCTGGGACTACAGGCGTGAACCACCATGCCCGGCTGATTTTTGTAATTTTAGTAGAGATAGCCTTTCACCATATTGGCTAGGCTGGTCTCAATCTTCTGACCTTGTGATCTGCCTGCCTTGGCCTCCCAAAGTGCTAGGATTACAGGCATGAGCCACCATGCTGGCCAACTTAAAACCTTTTTTAAACTTTATAAAAGTTTTCTAGTCAGATAATTTAATATATATGTAATTATAAACAAAAGTGTTGTCTTCATGCTAGTTTAAACTAATTATTAAAAAATTATTTCTAGATCATCCACAGGATGGGATTATGGTGAAGCTAGTTGTCAATTTGTTGCAGTTATCCAAGATGGCAATAAACCACACTGGTGAAAAAGAAGTTCTAGGTAAACTACAGTCATGCACTGCATGGTAACATTTCAGTCAACCATGGACCACATGTAGGACAGATTATAATACTGTATTTTTACTGTATGTTTTCTGTTTAGATAAACAAATACGATTGTGTTATAATTGCCTATAAATCACCTGATTGAAGTCACCTTGAAGCTCTCCTGATGGTTTTGCTTCAAATGAGAAAAATAGGAGGAATAAGTAGTGTTTCACAGATTCTGCTATCTTTCTTCAGCAGTCTTCCTTAACTTTTCAGTAGGAACCTAGTATCTAGAGTACTTTCTTTTTTGTAGACTTTTAAAAATTAAAATATATCCTATGTATAGAAAAGTATACAGATAAAAAAATACCTAACTTGAAGAATGTTAGGTATTTTTTGTCTGTATACTTTTTTTTTAGACAGAGTTTCGCTCTTGTTACCCAGGCTGGAGTGCAATGGTGTGATCTTCGCTCACCGCAACCTCCGCCTCCTGGGTTCAGGCAATTCTCCTGCCTCAGCCTCCTGAGTAGCTGGGATTACAGGCACACGCCACCATGCCCGGCTAATTTTTTTGTATTTTCAGTAGAGACAGCGTTTCACCATGTTGACCAGGGTGGTCTTGATCTCCCGACCTCGTGATCCACCCGCCTTGGCCTCCCAAAGTGCTGGGATTACAGGCTTGAGCCACCGGTCTGTATACTTTGAAGTACAGTCTAAGAAATGGAATCTTACCAGAACCCTAGAAGTTTTCTTTAACCAGAAAATTTACCTCATTGTCTATAGTGGCACTACTTTTAGGAACAGATCTGATTTGCAACAGAAGCCCTAAGTGGCTTTCCTGTGTAGCATAAAATTAATGTGGTTTGTACTCACAGCTAACATCATATTCAGTGGTGAGAGATGAAAGCTTCCTCCTTAAGATCAGGAATGAGACAAGGTTGTCCACTTTCACTACTGCTGTTCAACATTGTACTGGAAGTTCTAGCCAGAGCAATTAGACAAGAAAAAGAAATTAAAAGCATGCCAATTAGAAAGGAAGTGAAACTATCTGTATTTACAGATGGCATGATCTTATGTATAGAAAATCCCAGAGAATCCACAGGAAATCTGCAGTAGAGCTAATAAATGAATTCAGCAAAGTTGCAGGGTACAAGATCAACACATAATTAGTTGTGTTTGTATATACTTGCAGTGTACAGCCCAAAAAGAATTAAAAAAGCAATTCTATTTGCAATAGCTTCTAAAAGAAATAAATACCCAGGTATAAATTTAATCAAAGAGGTGAAAGACTTATATAAATTCTGTTTGTTAGAAGTGAGTCACTAAGTACAGCCACACTCAACAAGAGGGAAGTTAGGCTCTACCCTTTGAGAGAAGGGCTCTCAAAGAATTTGTGTACATATTTTAGTAAATACTATCATGATGGAAAGAGCATGAAGAGCCCTCCAGGATGCTGAAAATGTCCTGTCTTCATCTGGTTAGGGAGAACACAGATAGAAAAAAATGTATGGTCGTATGCATAAATTTTCATTGACCTGTGTGTTTAAGGTTATGGAATTTATGTGTGTGATATCTCAAAAAAATGTTTTAACAGTTTTAAGGTTGATTCTTTTTTTTTTTTTTCCTTATGTCGCCCAGGCTGGAGTGCAGTGGTGTGATCTTGGCTCACTGCAACCTCTGCCTTCTGGGTTCAAGCAGTTCTCCTGCCTCAGCTTCCTAAGTAGCTGAGATTACAGCTGTGCACCACCATGCCTGGCTAATTTTGTATTTTTAGTAAAGACGGGACTTGACCATGTTTGTCAGGCTGGTCCCGAACTCCTGACCTCAGGTGATCCGCCTACCTCTGGCTCCCAAAGTTCTGGGATTACAGGTGTGAGCCACTGTGCTTGGCCTTAAAGTTGATTCTTGAAGTACAGCAAAACAGCATTATAGTTTTGAAATTAGAAAATTTCAGTTTTATGTATGATCTCTTACCTGTGACTCTACTGAAATAGAATTTCTATATGTAGAGGCTGTTGGAAGCTGCTTGGGAGAAGTGGGTCCTATAGATTTCTCTACCATAGCTATACAACATAGTAAAGATGCATCTTATACCAAGGCCCTTGAGTTATTTGAGGATAAAGAACTTCAGTGGACCTTCATAATGCTGACCTACCTGAATAACACACTGGTAGAAGATTGGTGAGTATTTACTGATGCCTTATGTCTGATCTCACTTACTTAATATGACATTCATGGAGAATAATACCTCACACAAATTGATCCTCTCAGTAACTAAAACTTTGTCCTTTTATTAATCTCAGTGTCTTTATGAAAAATCTTGTATCATTATTAATTCACATAATTATTGACCATGCTATGTGCCGGACACTTGATATAATGGTGAACATTCCAGACAAGGTCCCTCTTAGAGGTTTTAGTGGACTAGACAAATCAACAATAAATTAGAATAATACCAGTTGGTTCTACACAGAAGATAGGGGAATATAAAGGGAGCTGTTTTAGTCTCTTGTCAGTATCAGAGGTGCCATTCTCCTCTAAGCTAGGTCTTACTTTGATCTTTTTAAAATAAGCCATAAAGCAAAGATTGTTTAATAACCCTGGAAGTCTTAAGCTAATCAGACAGGGTTTTCAATTGCTTATTTATTCTCTATGCAAAACAGAATTCCACTAGATATTATTAAAATTTCAACTGGTTGGTTGAGATCACTTTGGTATGCATGCTATTTCTGTCTCCCTTATTTATTTATTTATTTGTTGATTGATTGGTAGCCTTGAGTTCTACATCACCATTATTTTTGGTGGTAGATTCAAAGGGTTTCCTCACTACTGGGCACCTTTCTAAGATAAATATATGTTTTGATTTTTTTTCGCTACTTCCCTTCCTCCTCTTGAGGAATAAATGATTGGCGGTAACGTCTACCTGCCATGTTTCCATTATTGATTTAATGTACCTATGCGTTTCTTTCTTCTGTTGTGTTTGTTTCATTAAACAAATTTGTATGGTTTCTTTCCCGATGTTTTATTATAAAAAGTTTTGGCTGGGCACGGTAGCTCACGCCTGTAATCCCAGCACTTTGGGAGGCTGAGGCAGGTGGATCAGGTCAGGAGATCAAGACCATCCTGGCCAACATGGTGAAACACCATCTCTACTAAAAATAGAAAACAATTAGCTGGGCATGGTGGTGCATGCCTGTAGTCCCAGCTATTTGGGAGGCTGAGGCAAGACAATTGCTTGAACCCAGGAGGCGGAGATTGCAGTGAGCCGAGATTGCGCCACTGTACTGCAACCTGGGTGACAGTGTGAGACTCTGTCTCAAAAAAAAAAAAGTTTTAAACATACAGCTAAACTGAGATAATTTTATAGTAAACACCCATACACTTATCATATAGTTTCTCCATTTTACTGCTGTCCTTGCTTTATCACTTCTAGCCATTCGTCTGTCCTTGTATTAAGATGTATTAATTCATCTCTCTCTTTTTTTTTTTTTTTTGAGACAAGGTCTTGCCCTATCACTTAGGCTGGAGTGCAGTGGCATGATCATACATCATAGATCGTAGCTCACTGTAACCTTGAATTCCTGGGCTCAAGCAGTCCTGCCTCAGCCTCCTAATGTGCTAGGTTTATATACATAAGTCACACCACATCCAGCCAGTTCATCTCATTTTTAAAAAGTATTTCAAGGTATATCAAGCACAGTTTTTGAAGAGAGTACCACAGAAAATTGGCAAGCATTAAATGTTTCATTTGTTTCATAGTAATTTGAAATTGGTTTTTCTGAAACAGATGCACAGAAATATTAGTGAGACTTAAGAATACTAGGAAGCAGGTACAAGGTTTTTGTACTTTGACTTTAGCATATGGAGACGTGGACCAAAGGATTCCCAGAATCTTTATGACTTACATGTATTAGGCCATGTTATTTTCAAGTATTTCTTTTTGTGAGTCCTTTTCATTTAGAGTAGTCACAATTAAACTTTATTGTATTGAATGAAGGGAAGTGCTGTTGCAGTGATTAGTAATTCACGTTTACTGAATGAAGTGAAAGTCCTTTGATAAGTTTGTTTCATACTGGAGAATTTTATAGATGTAAAGTTTCTTAATATAAATTTAAAATTTTAGTTTTGAAATTTTTGTGGTGGAGGTTAACATTCATCAAGATTAATAACAGGTGTATTTTATAAGCATTTGAATTATTTGTTTTTTCAGTGTCAAAGTTCGATCAGCAGCTGTTACCTGTTTGAAAAACATTTTAGCCACAAAGACTGGACATAGTTTCTGGGAGATTTATAAGATGACAACTGATCCAATGCTGGCCTATCTACAGCCTTTTAGAACATCGAGAAAAAAGGTGTCTTAAGTAATAAATGTTTATTGAATACCCACCGTATCTAGTAAAATAGTTCTGTTTGCTATGGGTCGTGACTGTTAAATTGCTTGAAATGGTATTGTACTAACAAGCTTTTCTATAAGAAATTTAAACCATACTTCATAAATCCAGGGAATTGGTTATTTTTTAATTTATTATGGCAGTGTAGAAAAGCTGAGACAGGTAACCTGAGGAAATAGTAGTTGATTTTGGGGCAGGGGAAATTCTTAAATATAGACCTTTTTTTTAAGAAATAGAAAACCTTATTTTGCTCCCATAAAAGTGAAAAGTTTTGAGTGTGGTTTATAGGTGTTGTGATCCACAAGTGTTTATTTCCATGGCAAGTTAACATATCACAATCCCCTGGTGAAATACAGGATGACCCCGTAGATTTCTCCCTTTTCCATGCTGGTATCATCATAAGGTTCCACTGTAAGTACTCGGTGAAGCCACGTTTAAGAACACTTGTTCCTTCCTTAGTCTCAGCATTCCTCTTTAATATTTTCTTTTCATAAAGTGACTGAGAAATACTCAGTTTAGTTTTCACCAGTTTAATTTCATGGCAGAAGCCCAGCATTGAAGCAGTACTTTCAGTGGATCATAAATACAATTTTGGTCTTAGTAAAATTACTAGTAATAGAAACCATTAATGAAGCTAGTTAATGTGTAATGTAGATAAAACCAGGAAAGCACTATAATTTTAACATTAAAAAATCTCATTTCATTTTGAAATCAAGTCTCTGTGGTAGATGTGGACTGGTTTTGTAGGTGAGACAGATGAGGCAAAGTTTGTGGTTTGTGTGATACACTACTAATGAGTGACAGAGCTGAGAGTAGAACCCAAGTTTCCTACTGCCTAAAACAGCAGTGTTGACATACCACACTGCCTCTTGTATAAGCATAAATGTTTTAATTTTAAAAGGTAAACATTGCTTCCAGATTTAGTTTTTACTGTATTTAGCTTTATTCGTAAACAGATGTGTTATACTCATTTTGTATAGGAAAAGTACAATGATTTCCAGTTCTTTTATTTGCATTTTCTAATCCCCTTCTTTCTAGTTTTTAGAAGTACCCAGATTTGAAAAAGAAAACCCTTTTGAAGGCCTGGATGATATAAATCTGTGGATTCCTCTATGTGAAAATCACAACATTTGGATAAAGACACTGACTTGTGCTTTTTTGGACAGTGGAGGCACAAAAAGTGAAATTCTTCAATTATTAAAGCCAATGTGTGAAGTAAGAAGATTAGTCTGATTTAATTCCTCATTTATGACATGTTTATTTAAAGAATGCTGTGATACTACACATCTTCACATAATATCACCCCCACTCAAACTGTTGTAGATTTATTAAAGTGAGCATCCGTATTCAGCCATAACTTTACACATTAGGTTTTAGCTTTGGGATAGCAACAAACTAGAGGAGTTCTAAGGGTGCCTTGAATAATTTGTTACTAATGATTGTTAAAATACTTTGATTATAAATTATTTACATTAACCAAAAGCCTGTTCTAACTTTGTTAACTTCTTCTGATAAGAGCACATTTATTTTCCTTGATATGCTTTCTTGAATAAGAAAAAGGAGTGGGGCAGCAATCAACATAGGTACAATTTATTCCAATAAAGATTAAAGGCGTATACGAAATGAAACAAAGTTTATACTCTTCCATCAAATGTGTAATCCGAAACAACTCACTCTAATGAGCTAAGATTTACAGAATTAATTTATAGCACTGTTAAACCTGATTCAACAGAAATATGAAAACACAGTATCTGACTAGGTCAAATGTCTGCCAATTACAGGTAACTGATAGGGAAGTATTTTCATGAAGTACGCACACTGAAAGCAATGTAAAATGCAGTTCTTATTCTCTAAAGAAAAAGTAGTAACAGTGAATAAAACATCACCTTTTCTATAATACTACACCACACTCACACCAATTCAGCAGAGTGGGACCCTGAACACACATATTTATTTCTCATTAGTGAACAAAGCTAAGTTTTTTTTTTTTTTTTTTTTTTTTTTTTTTGCCAATCAGTTTGAGCTTATGAGGTTGCTCAGGTTAGCCTTGAACTGATGACCTCGCCTTCGTGAGCGCCATGACCTCCGGCGGGAGCCACTTTGGACCCCAAAGCTAAGATTTTTATGAGGTTTTAACTTTGAGCCGGAAAATAAAATGTTCCAGATATACATATGGACTCACCCTATTTCTGGTAGTTTGAATTATCTAGCACTAAAACTGGCTTTTTGCCTTGTCTTTAGTTTGAAAAAGAAAGAGTGCAGTTAGTAATTTATAAGCTGTCTTAGGTGTGTGGAAATGATGAATATGATGGATATGGAGTGTAATGATTCATTCGTATGTTAAATAATGGAGTGCGGTGAATAGCAAAAATAAAGTTGAGTACTGTTTTGATGTGCCAGATCTATAGAGCGCTTTTCTGCTCTTTGGAATATACCACAAATAATGACCCAAATTTTATACCCAGAAATTAGGGCTCATTAAAAAATAAACACTGTTAACATGACTGTTGTACTTCTTCACTGAGGAAAGAAAATGCATAAAAATCAGATTTTTAACTTTTCTCTTAAACATCTGATACCTTTTCCCCTCATCTATCAAATCAGAAAGCTTCTCTAACACTTTCCAACTCTGAAACTGTATTTAAAGCGGTGATATAATTTCATTTCTGCGCAGTATTCTAGTTCATTATGCTAATGGCCTAGACTGGGAATAAACAGTTACAGTCACTAACATATATATTTGATATTGATATACTAGCCTAGTGTGCTTTTGTTTTAAATACCACCTGATGCATGTTTTTTGTTTGTTTTTTAGCAGTATGTTGAGTTTATGCCAGATTAATCTATACTCTTTTAGAAATTTAATATGTCAAACAGGGCATGAAAATTTTAAGTAAACTGTATTCATTTTACTTATGTTTACTCAAACTGTTGGGTGGATTTGTTTGTATATTCTAGGTGAAAACTGACTTTTGTCAGACTGTACTTCCATACTTGATTCATGATATTTTACTCCAAGATACAAATGAATCATGGAGAAATCTCCTTTCTACACATGTTCAGGGATTTTTCACAAGCTGTCTTAGACACTTCTCACAAACGAGCCGATCCACAACGCCTGCAAACTTGGATTCAGGTACTCTTATTAAATTTTTAACATTAATACTGTTAACTCCTCAGTTCTAGAGAAAGCTAGATTTAAGGCTGAATCCCACGAAAGGCACTTTACAGGCTAAATCTGTTACTGCTAGATTTGTTCCTTCATCTGTGGGATGGAGATAAAAGTTGCAACAAGTTTTCAATGAAATAATATGTGTAAAGTGCCCAGGATAATACTTGATGTATAGTATTCTTTCAGCATATTTTGGGTATTGATAATGGAACAACTAATAGAGCTTTCGATATGTGTCAGGCACTATGCTTGCACAGGCAATAGGAATGTGAAAAAGAAACACCCAACATTCTGGCAATGAAAAAACAAACACAGTATTTTAGGTACTGTGGTGCAGATATAAAATTTTCATATTTTTAGAGCTCTGGCCAACTCTATTTAAAAAGCAACCTTTGGCCGGGTGCGGTGGCTCATGCCTGTAATCTCAGCACTTTGGGAGGCAGAGATGGACAGATCACCTGAGGGCAGGAGTTCACTTGTACTTCAAGACCAATCAATTCTAATATATAAATGTTGATTTAATGTGATGCTTTGCCACAACTAATTTGCTCCTCCCAGTCCTTCCAGTCACTTCAGCAAAGGTTGTAGTTACTCAGTTCTTCCAATTGTTTCTTTTGCTTTTACTGCTACAGCCTTCCTTTGACATGGCTTTAATGTCATTTAGACTTTAGTTTGCTGTGCTTTATGTTTTCTGTATTTGCTTTTCTATTGGGTAACAGCCATGGCAAATCTACCATTTGGAAAAGTACATTATAAATTATAAACATAGACATGGATGCCCATTTTGTGGTCCTACTAGACTGTAAGCTGGTTTTCTGAATGATTCAGAATGTGCTTATATGAATTTTCTTTAGGCCACTGAAATGAAAATCCTGAAATAAAAATTCTCATAGAGGCTTTTAAACTACCTAAAATGTCTCTCTCATGTTTAACTAGGAAAATACAGGTATAAACGATTTAAGTATTATGTAATTTGCACTACTGTTAAAAACAACTTTTATCACATAGTTTAAGGTAATCATTGTTTATGACAACCTGGTAATTTGTTATGAACATGGCCAAGACTTTTTTCATGTTCATCACTTATGTATACATATTTATGCTATAGCCACTGAAAATAATTATTTTATCTGTGTATAATGCCAGTATTTTTATTACCTTATGTGAAAATTTAAACTTACATATAAAATTCTATTACTGAAAAGGAAAGTAAATGCATATTTTGTAAAATTTAAATGGTGTATCTTTTCTGATGGCTGTAAGTCTCACTGCCTTCACTAAACGTCCCATGTGCATCTCAGGCTCAGCTGTCAAAAAGCAAACACATCATCTTCTTCCTCTCTTCCCCCTGGCCTACTTCTTTTAATGTGTATGTACCTCTTTGACAAACAGCATTCAGTTGCTCACTCTAGAAACAGCACTCAGTTGCCTGCTCTAGAAACCTCTCTCACATATTTCACGGGATTGCCAAATCTTGCCAATTCTGTTATGAATCACTTAGTCCGTTTGTTTCTCTCTGCCCTTAGCATCCTTACTGCTTTCTAGCTTTATGACTTAGCACAGTTGAAATTCTTTCATGAAACTGTCCAAGCTATGCCTTGCTTCCAGCCATCTCAGATATTATTACCTGTAGCCTGTCCTTTCCTGCCCTCATGACTAAGCGTTACTCTTCTTTCAGGTATCACTTTTTCTTTTTTCTTCTCAAGACAGACACTCGTTATGTCACCCAAGCTGGAGTGCAGTGGTGTGATCTCAGCTCACTGCAACCTCTGCCTCTCAGGTTCAAGCGATTCTCGTGCCTCAGCCTCCTGAGAAGCTGGGATTACAGATATGTGCCAGCATGCCTTGCTATTTTTTGGTATTTGTAATAGAGACAGGATTTCACCATGTTGGCCATACTGGTCTCAAACTGCCTGCCTCAGCCTCCCAAAGTGTGAGGATTACAGGTGTAAGCCATTGCACTTGGCCAGTATCACTTTTTCTATGAAACTTTTCTTGTCTAGTTGAGGTTCCCTCCACTAAGCTTCTGTGGCATTTTAAACTTTCCTATTATGACACTTATCATACTTAGTTGTAATCTCCCGGGCTAGTCCATGAGTTCTCTGTGATCTGACATGGTCTGTCTTGTTCATGGTTATATACTAAGGACTTAGCACATAAAAGATCTTATTGAATCAATGAATTAGTCCTCCTCAAAAATAAAATATAAATTACAATGTAAGGTCTCACTTTGATTATAAGAGAAGAGTTTATTTTAAAAGCAAAAGAAATGCCATTAAATTCCTTCAGAAGCAATTTTGTGTTAGGTACTGCCCTCCAGAACCTTGTATCATAGTGGGAGACAGACACATACACAAGGAAGAAGGTGTGTAAGCAAGCATGCCTGGGACTGAGGGGAGATGTTTTTGTTTGTCAGAATCAGAGCACGTTTTCCGATGCTGTCTGGATAAAAAGTCACAGAGAACGATGCTTGCTGTTGTGGACTACATGAGAAGACAAAAGAGGTAATGTAATGAGTGTTGCTGCTCACGTTTAGAATCTAGCCTGTAACTTGTTAACTACTGGCTGAAGTTCAACACAATTATTTTAGGGAAAGCTGCTGTAAAGTGCTGTATGTAATTTGTGTGGTATTTATATTTCCTTGCGTAATCCATATCAGGATAGCACTTTGGTTAAATCAGTGTCAAGAACTCTCAATTCTAATACAAGCCGCAGCAGTAAGAGTGTTACCTTTGTTAAACTGGGCAGCCTTCTTGGCTTCAGTTTATTTCATCTGTATTAGTGATGGGATAGGAGCAGTATTCTTTCAAGTTACATTTCCTCTCTTTTTACTTTTGTCTTTGCTTTAGTTCTAAGAAGCAAATAGAGTTGTGTAAATATCTTCTTTATATATCTTTATTTTAAGATGTGAGTTTCTTTACTGTGTTCAGTGGTGTCAAAATCTGTGGCAATACTGTGCTGTGACAGTGTTTCTTTTCTTCATTCTGGTAAATTGTTTTATAGTATAGTATCTTTGTTCCTGTCACCAGTCGGGCGATTTTTAACAATGCAAAGTCTAACTGATCAGTACTGCTCGAGAATTGACCAGAACTCTAAAGAAATAGTGTAGTAGGCCTATAATTTAAAAAGGTAGAAATCGATGTCTCGTGAGTGTGTATGGCGGTGGTGGGAGTCTTTGGTAAAGAATGCGAGGGAGAGGGGAGTGAAAAATGGAATTTTTTTAAAGCCTAAATGCATTAACATCTTAAAAAATTAATTTCTATATATTCTTACACCATTCCTCTCCTCTAGTAGAAAAAGAAGTCTTATGCTTTTCAGTGTCTTTATTCTGGTTAGAAAGTTACTGATTTACCTTATAGTTTTATACCAGATTTTCTTCTGAGAAGGCCTATCAGAAGCTTTTTTTTAAAAAAAATTATTTAAGTTCTGGGGTACATGTGCAGAACATGCAGGTTTGTTACATAGTTATATACATGCCGTGGGAGTTTGCTGCATCCATCACCCTGTCATCCACATTAGGTATTTTTCCTAATGTTATCCCTCCCCTACCCACCCACCCCCTGCTATCCCTCCCCTAGCCCCCCACCCCCTGGCAGGCCCTTGGTGTGTGATGTTCCCCTCCCTGTGTCCATGTCTTCTCATTGTTCAATACCCACTTATGAGTGAGAACATGCGGTGTTTGGTTTTCTGTTCTTGTGTCATTTGGCTGAGAATGATGGTTTCCAGCTTTATCCATGTCCCTGCAAAGAACATGAACTCATCCTTTTTTGTGGCTGCATAGTATTCCATGGTATGTATGTGCCACAGTTTTTTATCCAGTCTATGATTGATGGACATTTGGGTTGGTTCCAAACCTTTGCTATTGTGAACAGTGCTGTAATAAACACACATGTGCTTGTGTTTTTATAAATGATTTATAATCCTTTGGGTATATACCCAGTAATGGGATTGCTGGGTCAAATGATATTTCTAGTTCTAGATCCTTGAGGAATCACCACACTGTCTTCCACAATTGTTAAACTAATTTGCACTCCCACCAACAGTATAAAAGTGTTCCTATTTCTCAACATCTTCTCCATCTATTGTCTCCTGATTGTTTTTTTTTTTTTTTTTGAGATGGAGTTTCGCTCTTGTTACCCAGGCTGGAGTGCAATGGCGCGATCTCGGCTCACCGAAACCTTTGCCTCCTGGGTTCAGGCAATTCTCCTGCCTCAGCCTCCTGAGTAGCTGGGATTACAGGCACGCGCCAGCTAATTTTTTGTATTTTTAGTAGAGACGGGGTTTCACCATGTTGACCAGGATGGTCTCGATCTCTTGACCTGGTGATCCACCCACGTTGGCCTCCCAAAGTGCTGGGATTACAGGCGTGAGCCACTGCGCCTGGCCTATCTCCTGATTTTTTAATGATCACCATTCTAACTGATGTGAGATGGTATCTCAATGTGGTTTTGATTTGCATTTCCGTAATGACCAGTGTTGAGCTTTTTTCATATGTTTGTTGGCTGCATAAATGTCTTCTCGCTATCAGAAGCTTTAAATGTAGCTGAGAGCATTTGTTTTCTTGGTGCTGGAGGCAGTTTTACCATTCATTTCAGACTTACCTTTGGAGTAGAATGGTGTTGACACTGGCAGGATTTGGAGAAGAAAAATTTCTTCATATTCCATTTTAATTCTGAATAAGATCATGAAGGAGATTCCTTGAGAAAATATGAATGGGATATAGAAAAAGGGGTAAAGACATGAATTCAAGTCCAAGCTTGTGCTGTGCAAAAATTACTTGTTATCCTGTACAGTATGTTGGGCGCAAACAAAGAACAACAATAGAACAACAACAAAAAATTACGTGAACCTCAGTCTTAGCATCTTTGAAAATCAGAATAAAGTTGGCAATGTCTTCCTTTCCATGGCAACTTATTTCACTTCTCTGAACTTCGAGTTTCTCAGAAAATTAGTATAGTTGAATGCTTGCTATGTAGTAGGGTGCCTTATTCATCAACTTTGCAGGCATTATTTAATGGTTGCACCCATTCTCCAAGGTCTGAGTTGTTCCAGCATTTACAAATAAGGAAACTGAGGTTTAAGAAGTTAAGTTGCTGATGATCACACAGCTGGTAGTAGGTAATATAACTAGATTTGAACCTACCTCTATTGAACTTCAACACCAGTGCTCTTAACCAATACCACGTCCCATCTCTATAATGCTAGTTTTGACAAAGATAATATCTGGCTGGGCGCGGTGGCTCATGCCTACGAGTACTTTGGGAGGCTGAGGTGGCAGATCACAAGGTCAGGAGATTGAGACCATCCTGGCCAACCTGGTGAAACCCCGTCTCTACTAAAATCCAAAAAATTAGTTGGGCATGTTGGTGCTCACCTGTAGTCCCAACTACTTGGGAAGCTGAAGCAGGGAGAATTGCTTGAACCCAGGAGGCGGAGATTGCAGTGATCTGAGATTTTGCCACTGCGCTTCAGCCTGGCGACAGAGCAAGATTCCATCTCAAAAAAAAAGTTAATGTCTAGGGTCCTTCTCATTCTCGACCTACCTATTAACAGACTGGAAGATTTTTACTAAGTAGCTCAATCTAGGCAATACATTAAGGAGAAAATAAGTCACATTAGGAACGACATGTATTTGTGTCTTAGATGAAACAATATTTTTATTAAATTGACTATTTTTAAATGTGTTGGGGTGGTGCTTGTGTGCACTTGTATTAATTATTCTGTGTATCCTATTCTTAGCCTGTGGTACGTGGATTTCTTGGTGGAGAGCAGATATGAACCCCAATTTTGTATCAGGTGATAGCCTATAGGTTTCATCAGATTTTCTGATGAGTTTGAGAGAAAAAAGAAAAACCAAAAAGATTATTAAATAGGACTCTTCAGCCATATTATTTTATAATGTTTATAGGCATATTTTGGGGAAATGTGGTTTTTGGGAATTTGTAATTTTCTGTTAAGCCTTTACTACCATTGTATTTTAAATCAACATGCTTTTCTTTTGATATTGAAGTTTAAAAAAGTGAATGACATACCTCATTTTTCTTTAGACCTTCTTCAAGAACAATTTTTGATGATGCTTTCTGGCTGGATTTAAATTATCTGGAAGTTGCCAAGGTAGCTCAGTCTTGTGCTGCTCACTTTACAGCTTTACTCTATGCAGAAATCTATGCAGACAAGAAAAGCATGGATGATCAAGAGAAAAGGTAACAGAATTTAGAATTTTTGGTTTGTAAAATGAATACTGACATTGTCTCAATACGGGTGTATAGTAAAGACTTAGTTTGCCCCAGTTCCCCATTTAAAAGACATCTTAGGTAGAAATTTTGTTTTAAAGTGAAATTATAATAAAATTTTAAAAAGCAATATGTCATTCCTACTGTTAAATAATAGGAATGTTTATTACCTAGGTATTATAAAAATTGTACAGAAAGCAAATTCCTATAGGACAGAGTCCATACTTAATTTCTGTATATTCTGTATAATAGCTCTAGCATTGAGAACTTAATATAAGGGTGAAGAAATGTTTTTCAAATGATTAAATGATTTCCTAAGTTTAATTAGATTACATTTACCACTAATTCCTAAACTATTCAAGGTTCATTTTGGATATAAAATATCCAAAATTATAATCCAAAATGTCTATGAAGTAATGGAACTGATTTCTTTCCATAACTAAGTTTCATTTCTTCATCTACCTGTATTTCTAGTGAATTTAATTTACTTTCCTCTGACTGAGAACTGTGATAAGAATCTAATAAATATACTCCTAGATCATGGTGAAAAACAAAAAATAAGAAAGTAAAAGAATGAGAAATAAAGTAAAAGTTTATTATCTCCACTGCCCTCTTCAAATCTTTGTTCATTTGAAATGGGCCAGGTCTCATTCTTTGGCCCAGGCTGGAGTTCAGGGGTGTGATCTTAGCTCCCTGTAGTCTTAATCTTCCAGGCTCAAATGATCCTCTTGTCTCAGCCTCCCAAGTAGCTGGGACTGTTGGCACACACCACTGATTCATCTAACTTAAAAAAAAATTTTAGTAGAGACAAGATCTTGCTATGGTGCTCAGGCTGGTCTTGAGCTCCTGAGCTCAAGCAGTCCTTCTACCTCAGCCTTTCAAAGTACTGGGATTACAAGCATGAGCCACTGCGCCTTGTCCCAAATTGTTTTTTAAAGTGGTTATACCAATTTGTGTACTTAATCAGAAATGTAGTTGGTAAGGAGGTGATCAGTAGGAAGCCTCACATTTGAAGAAGGGAGCCAAAGTATAACTATTTCTAGTGTGAGTTAAAAAAGTATAAAGAAGACTAGGCACAGTGGTTCATGCATGTAATCCCAGCACTTTGGGAGGCCATCGTGAGAGGACTGCTTGAGGCCAGGAGATTGAGACCAGCCTGGGCAATATAGTGAGACCTCATCTCTACTAAAAATAAAAATAAATTAGCCGGGTATGGTGGCTCACACATGTAGTTCCAGCAACTCAGGAGGCAGAGAGAGGCTGCAGTGAGCCATGATTGATTGTGCCACTGCACTCTAGCCTGGGTGACAGAGTGAGACCTGATCTCAAAAAAAAAAAAAAAAGAAGAAGAAACTAGAATAAGTATATAGATAAATATCAGAGGTACTATCACTTATGATAGTATTTATTTTATGTATTAGATTATTACTGTTACAGACACCATAGCTATCGTGGTTTTAGCATTGAATTTACTTACAGAACTGAAAGTCACATGTATAAAATGCAAATCTGAGTTCTAATCCTGACTGTCACTTTCTAATTTTATAATCTTGGTTTAGGTGGATCCAACTGATCTACTTCCTTTGCAACAGTTAATAGCATATTTCTTAATTTCTGTCAATTTATTAGGTATTGAATTCTGTCTCTCATTGTGGTCTTTATTTGTGTGTCTGTAATTATTGATTGGGTTGAATTTCAAGTGAAACCATTGACAGAGTATATAGTACCTGAATTGGAGGGCATCTGCTCTATTTTTAAACAAGAGTGTGTCTTTATAAATAATAGTATTTTTGCCTGTAGCCTTCCCATATATAGAAGGTTATTCTTAAAATGTAATTTTTATTCACAAATTTCTTTTCCATCCTAGGTCTAAACGGTATTGTGTTTTAAAGTATAAGAGTTATTCTGTTTTGTTTGCAACCTGCATTAGTTTTTTCTGTCAAAGTCTGTAGTGTATGTATCCAGGGGCTTCCACATAGTATGTTCTCATTAAAAGAGGTGTTCTTGTGACAAACAGAAATCTTGCATTTGAAGAAGGAAGCCAATGTACAACTATTTCTAGCTTGAGTGAAAAAAGTAAAGAAGAAACTGGAATAAGTTTACAGGTAAATATATTTTTGAAAGTATTTCCCTCATCCTTTGGATTATTTTGTTACAGATACTGCACAGATGCCATTTGATTTTCAAACTGGGTTTACTTCTTGGACTAAGCATCATATATACAAACTTATGGTCTGAAGCTTACGCCTTAGAGTAGACTGACTTGAATTCTAATACTGACTCTGCCACTGGTTGAGCTCCCTTATCTGAAAGACGAAAGTATAACTACCTGTCTCAGAGTTTATACCATGCATTTTCTGCCATCACGCCCTATTCATTTCCTCTATAGCACTTAGGGTATAAAACTATATATTTATTTGTTTGCTTGCTTATTGTGTGTCACAGAGGAAGCAGGTTGCTTCTTCTCTAAGTTTCTTGATATCCATTCTCAAATTGGCTCACGTTACTGTCTAGTATGCTTACTGGATTTCTTTGGTCAATTAATTCCATCACAATGACAATGTCAACTTCTCCATTCTGTTTGAACCTCTCATGTTCTCTGCAACACCGTTGCTTTCAGCCTGCCTCCTACTTGGAGAAAACAGAAGGAAAACAGTATAGATAGGAAATCTCACCACTTGCCACTCTCAGACGTTGAGATCTCCTGGCATCTCCTCCTGTCATAACCTTCCCTTTTGTTATAGAAGCAGTTTGTCCTTCTGTTTGAGACTAATTCTGCCTGTGCTTTGTTTTTTTTTATCTGCTCTTCCTCAGGCATTTTATTTTTTAATATGCTATTTTCCCTTTGAACTATGTTCTGAACATTTTTAAACCTCTACTGTTTAATAAATTCCCTTTCTCCAAAACACAAAAAAATTTCCCTCTTCCCTATGTTCTCTTTTAGGTATCACCCTCTCTCTTCCTTCCTCTCACAGAAACTTTGTGGAAGAGTTGTCTGTCTTTGCTGTCTCCATTTCCCTTCCTTCCATTCATTCCAGTAAAACAGCACCTGCTAGTGTTTCTCATACACTTCACGTTGCTAAGTCTGGTGGTCACCTTTCTTTCCTCTTTTTCCTTAAGGTTTTATTACTACTTCACATCATCAACCATGCCTTGCTTGAACTATTTACCTTTTTGATCCACTCTCCTGATTTTTCTCCTTTCACTTTTGCCTTCTTCATAGTCTCCTCCTCCTCTACTTAGTTTTTGGAATATTGTGTGTGTACTAAGCACTGTAATAAGCATGGGTCCTGAACTTTTTTTCTTCTCTGAGGACTTGATTTCTCATTATGAATAGAAACATTTGAATTGGAACTATAGAACTATGCCAACATAAACAAGTTTGTATGTAGAAAACATTTCACAGAGTAAGCACCATGAAGGCAGTTCAACTGCTTGATCAATTTTCTATGCAATATAGTTCCTAATTTTTTCTATTTTATGATTTTTAATGTTTTCATTTTTATTTAAATGAGACTCATTTAAACATAATCTAGCTTTTCTTTGTAAATTTTGCAACAAAGATTTGAGTAACCAAATTACTTTATTCATATCAAATTTTACCAATTCCAGTACAGTTTTGTGCTATCTTTCAAAGAAAAATCCATGACCCTTATTCTTACCAAATTCAGTTTTTAAGAGTCATACTTTGCAGGACTCTTAAAATGTATTTTCCCATTTACAGTTTTTGTTTCTTTTGTTTTGTTTTGTTTTTTTCAGACAGGGTCTGGCTCTGTTGCCCAGGCTGGAGTGCAGTGGTTCAATCATAGTGCACTGCAACCTCTGCCTCCCAGGCTCAAGCCATCCTCCCACCTCAGCCTCACAACTAGCTGGGACTACAGGCATGCCCCATCATGCCCAGCTAACTTTTGTAGAGATGGGAGTTTAGCCGTGTTACCCAGACTGATCTTGAACTCCTGAGCTCAAGCATTCTGCCTGCCATGGCTATTCAAAGTTCTGGGATTAAAGACGTGAGCCACTGCACCCAGCCCATGTACAGTTTTACGTGTTGACAATATTGTTTGGTTTTGTTTGTGTGATTATTTTTGCATGTGATAATAGCCTGGTAGATTGGTACTTATTTCTTATCTAATTCATGAAATTGTAGGCAATTCTTGTCAAGTAGACTGCAGTCCACCTGTTGTCTAGGACCAGTCTGCTGTGTTTCTGATCCAAATCATTAGTACCTACAGTTGACCCTTGAACAATGTGTGGGTTATAAACGCTAACCCCTGTGCTATTGAAAGTTCAGGTATAACTAAATTAGTCAGAAGTTAACTACTAATCGTCTACTGTTGACCAGAAGCCTTACCGATGGTACAAACAACACATATTTTGTATATGTATTATATACTGTGTTTTTACAATAAAGTAGCCAGAGAAAAGAAAATGTTATTGAGAAAATCATTAGGAAGAGAAAATACATTTACAGCACTGTGCTGTATTTATCAATACCATAAGTTTACATCATCCTTTTATAATGAATCATCTGTCATTATAATGAATTGCAGGCAACCACTGCTGTTGATATGTACTTTAGGCCTTAATCTATAGTACGTATCCAGCAGTTCACTGTTTTCTTGTAAGGACATGACTTTTCTCTGCTTCTTGGAAGCACCTCCAGCCACTATGGTAATAATCAAGGCTTATAGTATTGCAGTAAACACATGAGAAGCTGGAGAGATCACTTTTTACTGTTGAATAGTTTACTAGAGAGAGAAACTGCTCATGCAGAAATGATTTGTGTCACATGGTATTTAAGCACATACAACATAATAATGCTCCTACAACCACAATAGCAACAGGAGGTCACCCAAAATTATTACAGTAGTACAATATGTACTACAGTTAATCTTACGCAGTTACCATTTAATATTGCATCTTTACATTTGCTTCTATGTCTTAATCGCAAATAATGCTTTGTACAGTGTGTGTAAGTTTTGATAAATTTTAACTTTGTAATAGATTTGTGTATATTTTATGCTAGTAAATGACAAAATGTATTATATCAAATGTATACAAATAATAGAATGTATAGACTAGTATACACATTTTATGTCTTCATTATATTCATTTTATGTATTCATTAACTTTTAAGAAATTTTTCATTATTTCTGAACATGTGGTTTCTGCGTTTTTTCAAATTGTTTCAGATCTCCGAAAAGTTTTCAGTATATTTATTGAAAAAAATCCACATATAAGTTGTCCTGCACAGTTCAAACTCGTGTTGTTTAAGAGTCAACTGTATTTCAGAATCATTACATTTTATTTCTGTAACATAACATTTACAGTTAGGAGTCACATACTGGTAACGTTATAATTTAAAGTTTGCTAAATTTATAGACTATTGTTTTTCCTTCTTCAATTTTTGTTGTTTCTATGTTTTCAGGATCTTCTTTTAGAAATCTACAGAAGTATAGGAGAGCCAGATAGTTTGTATGGCTGTGGTGGAGGGAAGATGTTACAGCCCATTACTAGGTAACTGGGATTTTTCTTTTTTTCCTTTTCTTTCTTCCTTTTTTTTTTTTTTTTGAGACAGAGTTTCGCTCTTATTACCCAGGCTGGAGCGATCTTGGCTCACCACGACCTCCGCCTCCCGGGTTCAAGCGATTCTCCTGCCTCAGCCTCCTGAGTAGCTGGGATTACGGGCATGTGCCACCACACCCGGCTAATTTTGTATTTTTTTTTTAGTAAAGATGGGGTTTCTCCGTGTTGGTCAGGGTGGTCTTGAACTCCCGACCTCAGGTGATCTGCCTGCCTCAGCCTCCCAAATTGCTGAGATTACAGGTGTGAGCCACCACACCCAGCGAGTAAATTGTATTTTCTAAACAGTTGTATAGTAATTCTGTTTATGAAGGAGTTATATGCGTGTAAAACCAAAAGGTATTTTTACAATCTTTTCTTGTAGACTACGGACATATGAACATGAAGCAATGTGGGGCAAAGCCCTAGTAACATATGACCTCGAAACAGCAATCTCCTCATCGACGCGCCAGGCAGGAATCATTCAGGTACATTTTTTTTTTCCAGATTTGGTAAAGCCATCATTAGTGTAGTGCTGAGGTTATTTCGGTATTTTGAGGGATATTTACACAGCCAGATAACTCTGGAGATAAGATCTGTTTTTCAGAGGATTCGGCTTAACTAAATTCAGGGATATTCCTGAAGCAGAGGGATGCAAAAAAAAAAAAAAGAGAGAAAACAAAACTCAGGGATGCACAGGAAAGTTGGACAGGCCATTGACCTAGAAGGTGGTGTAGCTTTCTTGGTCACACTGTTGTTGGGTAACAATAGAAGACATTTCTTTAGCATATTCAATGCGTCAGGGAGTGTACTTACTGCCTCACATGGAAAATCTCACATAAACTAGTTCTCATGGTTTGTAATAGAGTTCATCCCAGAACCTATTATTTCTATTATTGGCTAGTACTCATTAGCCATTCTGCCGTGAAATATTAGAGCCCTTTGAGCTCTGTCTTTGTGTTTTTTTGGGAAACATTAAACAATATTGTGGAATTAAAAAAAATTTTTTTAGAGATAAGGTGTCACCCTGTTACTGAGGCTGGAGTGCGTTAGCGTGATCGTAGCTCACTGCAACCCTACCTCCCAGGCTCAAGGGCACCTCTCACTTGCAGCTACCTAAGTAGATGGGGTTCCAGGTACACACCATCATACCCAGGTAATTAAAAAAAATTGTAGAGACTGGGTCTTGCTTTGCTGCCCAGGCTGGTCTCAAACTCCTGGGCTCAGGTGATCCTCCAGCCTCAGCCTCCCAAAGTGCTGAGATTACAGGCATGAGCCACCACACTCAGCTGATATTTTGGAATTTTAAGCGATACTGTGAATTAAAATTTGTGTAAGTTAATTTTTATGTTTGCTGTTTTTTTCTCTGGTTTTCTGTTGATATTGTGATTACTTAAAAAATATAACTCCTGTTCAGGCCTTGCAGAATTTGGGACTCTGCCATATTCTTTCCGTCTATTTAAAAGGATTAGATTATGAAAATAAAGATTGGTGTCCTGAGTTAGAGGAACTTCATTACCAAGCAGCATGGAGGAATATGCAATGGGACCACTGCAGTTCTGCCAAGTAAGAAGAAATTTGACTTGATGTTTTCCTCCTCTTTTAGTTCTAAACAATAACTGTTTTCCTCTTGTTCTGTGAATATAACAGGAATTGTGTGGGTTTTTTTTATTTTTTATTTTGTTGCATTTTAGGTTCTGGGGTACATGTGAAGAACATGTAGGATTGTTGCATAGGTACATACATGGCAATGTGGTTTGCTGCCTTCCTCTCCATCACCTATATCTGGCATTTCTCCCCATGTTATCCCTCCCCAACTCCCCATCCCCTGACTCTCCCCTAGTTCCCCCCACCACAGACCTCAGTGTGCGATGCTCCCCTCCCTGTATCCATGTGTTCTCATTGTTCAACACCTGCCTTTGAGTAGGAACATGCGGTGTTTGATTTTCTGTTCTTGTGCCAGTTTGCTGAGAATGATGATTTCCAGGTTCATCCATGTCCCTACAAAGGACACGAACTTATCATTTTTTATGGCTGCATAGTATTCCATGGTATATATGTGCCACATTTTCCCTGTCCAGTCTATTATCTATGGGCATTTGGGTTGGTTCCAAATTTTTGCTATTGTAAACAGTGCTGCAGTGAACGTTCATGTGCATGTGTCCTTATAATAGATCAATTATAATCCTTTGGATATATACCCAGTAATGGGATTGTTGGGTCAAATGGAATTTCTATTTCTAGGTCTTCGGGGAATTGCCACATTGTCTTCCACAATGGTTGAACTAATTTACACTCCCACCAACAGTGTAAAAGTGTTCCTATTTCTCCACATCCTCTCCAGCATCTGTTGTCTCCAGATTTTTTAATGAGCACCATTCTAACTGGCGTGAGATGGTATCTCAATGTAGTTTTGATTTGCATCTCTCTCCTGACCAGTGATGATGAGCATTTTTTCATATGTTTGTTGGCCTCATATATGTCTTCTTTTGAAAAGTGTCTGTTCATATCTTTTGCCCACTTTTGAATGGGTTTGTTTGTTTTTTTCTTGCAAATCTGTGTTAGTTCTTTGTAGATTCTGGATATTAGCCCTTTGTCAGATGGGTAGATTGCAAAAATTTTTTCCCATTCTGTTGGTTGCTGGTTCACTCTAATGATTGTTTCTTTTGCTGTGCAGAAGCTCTGGAGTTTGATTAGGTCCCATTTGTCTATTTTGGCTTTTGTTGCCAATGCTTTTGGTGTTTTAGTCATGAAGTCCTTCCCTATGCCTATGTCCTGAATGGTTTTGACTAGGTTTTCTTCTAGGGGTTTTGTGGTTTTTTTAGGTCCTATGTTTAAGTCTTTAATCCATCTGGAGTTAATTTTAGTGTAAGGTGTCAGGAACGGGTCCAGTTTCTACTTTCTGCACATGGCTAGCCAGTTTTCCCAACACTATTTATTAAACAGGGAATCCTTTCCCCATTGCTTATTTTTTTCAGGTTTGTCAAAGATCAGATGGTTGTAGATGTATGGCGTTGCTTCTGAGGCCTCTGTTCTGTTCCATTGGTCTATATCTCTGTTTTGGTACCAGTACCATGCTGTTTTGATTACTGTAGCTTTGTAGTATAGTTTGAACTCAGGTAGCATGATGCCTCCATCTTTGTTCTTTTTGCTGAAAATTGAGTTGGCTATGGAGGCTCTCTTTTGGTTCCATATGAAGTTTAAGGTGGTTTTTTCCAGTTCTGTGAGGAAGGTCATTGGTAGCTTGATGGGGATAGTGTTGAATCTATAAATTACTTTGGGCAGTGTGTCCATTTTCATGATATTGATTCTTTGTAACCATGAGCATGGAATGTTTTTCCATCTGTTTGTGTCCTCTCTTATTTCGTTGAGCAGTGGTTTGTTGTTCTCCTAGAAGAGGTCCTTTACATACCTTGTTAGTTGTGTTCCTAGGTATTTTATTCTCTTTGTAGCAATTGTGAATGGCAGTTTGTTCTTGATTTGGCTTTCTTTAAGTCTCTTATTGGTGTATAGGATTGCTTGTGATTTTTGCACATTGATTTTGTATCCTGAGACTTTGCTGAAGTTGCTTATCAGTTTGAAGAGATTTTGGGCTGAGAGTATAGGGTCTTCTAAATACACAATCATGTTGTCTGCAAATAGAGACAATTTGACTTCCTCCTTTCCTATTTGAATACCCTTTATTTCTTTTTCTTGCCTAATTGCTCTGGCTAGAACTTCCAATACTATATTGAATATGATTGCTGAAAGAGGGCCTCCCTGTCTAGTGCCAGATTTCAAAGGGAATGCTTCCAGTTTATGCCCATTCAGTATGATATTGGCTGTGGGTATTTTGTAGATGTTGCAAGCCATAAATAGCCCTAAATCCTTCAGTAAGATAGCAGTAAGCAGTTAATGCACCTAGGCTTGAGTTTTACTTTCTTCTTCTGTTAGGACAACTTCACCTGACCCCTAAATATTTCTAAAAACAGAAAAATGAAGAGTTTTCTTATGAGAAGCATTTCACATACTGTTTGTTGTAGGACTGAGGTGTGCCAAGAAATGTACAGGGATTCCTCTTTCTATTCCCTGTTACAAACATTTTCAGTCAGTAAGATAGCACTTATATTGGCTGGAGGATCCACAAAGGACTGCTTATCTTTATTTATGAAATATTTTATTTTATTAAAAAATAATAACATCCAGGCATGGTGGCTCACGCCTATAATCCCAGTACTTTGGGAGGCTGAGGAGGATGGATCACTTGAGATCAGGAGTTTGAGACCAGCCTGGCCAACATGGTGAAACCCCATCTCTACTAAAAATGCAAAAAGTAGCCAGGTGTGGTGGTACACACTTGTAGTACAATCTACTCAGGAGGCTGAGTAGGAGAATGCTTGAACTTGGGAGGGCAAGGTTGCGGTGGGCCAAGATCACGCCACTGCACTCCAGTGTGGGCCAGAGCGAGACTCTCTCTCTCAAAAAAAAACCACTTAGTTACCCAGGAAGATAACATTTATAATCTGTGTATATGGTCACCAGGTTTTCTGAGTGAAAAGCCAAGTACCTAATCTAAGAAGGGATTTCATATTTATGGAAAGTCTTTTTACGATATAAACACTAAAAAATAAATTATGTTTAACTATGTGTTGTTGCCTTTGTAGAAAAAAAAAAATTATTGGCCAGGCGTGGTGGCTCACGCCTGTAAACAGCACTTTGGGAGGCCGAGGAGGATGGATCACTTGAGATCAGGAATTCAAGACTGCTAGAACCTGGAAGGCACATACAAAAGTTAGCTGGGCACATACAAAAGTTAGCTGGGCACAGTGGTGTGCATCTGTAGTCCCAGCTGCTGGAGAGACTGAGATGGGAGGCTGAGGTGAGGGGATTTCTTGAGCCAAGGAGGCGGAGGTTGCATTGAGTCGAAATTATGACACTGCACTCCAGCCTAGGCAACTGAGTGAGACGCTGTCTCAAAAAATAATAATTATTATTATTGGAGCGCTTTTCAAATATTTCAAACTGTAAACCTGCTATAAAGTTAGAGATATACCCTCATATTTTGAAAACTTTTTCCTGTGTAAGCTGATTCTTGCTGGCCTCTGTAAATCAGTATATACTATTCTTCCCCTTGCCCACTGTGTTTCAGCCACGCAGGCCTCTCTGTGTTCTCTTATTAGGCCAAGGTGTTTCTATCCAAGGGCCTTAGATGTATCTTCTTCTTTTCCCCAGTTACTATGTGGGTGGGTTCTTTTTATTCGGACCCTAGTTAAATAGTATTATATCTTCAGAGACACCTTTCTTGCCTACCCATTCTGTAATGGCCACCTAGCCATTTTGTTTTGTTAGCCTTTTTTAATTCCCTGATGGCCCTCGTTACTTTCCGCTATGTATTTATTGTCTGTTCCTCCAAACTAGCACACAAATGCCAGGTAAATCCCCCTTGTGCCTAGTGCCTGGCACATAATAGGTGTTTATTGAATAAATAAATGAAAGTCGACCATATTTACAGCCAGGCAAAGTATCTGAGTAATTTCCTTTTTTTCTGCTTAAAGAATTCAAATAACTCATGAAATTTGTATTTGTTTCTTAAGGCTACTCTGCAGATCTAAAAATTTGTATTTCTTACCAAGGATTCTAGAGATGCATTTTTTAGAATGGAGAAATTTTAATTTTAATTTAAAAATTTTGTCCTTTGGTGAAGTTATTTATACACGTATATTTTAGGGTTCTGTTTTTAAATATATTTTTTCTCCGATTTATTATCTCACAGCAAAGAAATAGAAGGAGCCAGTTACCATGAATCATTGTACAGTGCTCTGCAGTCTCTAAGAGACAAAGAATTCTCTACATTTTATGAAAGTCTCAAATATGCCAGGTATTGTAAAAAGACAGAGTTATTGTATTTTAACATTTCATCTCATGGCTTCTTTTCTGAAAACATGAGAAATAATTTTAATATAAGGATTTGCATTCATGAAGGGATAAAGACTTGGTGGCTGTGACCAGATGTTTCCTTGTAAGTCTCTACCCTGCCTCAAAACAAACTGTTTTTGGGATTCCAGATCCATTCCTTACCCTGAGTCTTCAAGAAAGTTTTGGTGATTCTCACTTCTTTGTTCTCCTTCCTGTACAAGTGTCCTGAGAATTGTATCTCGTCTCCTTTAGTGATTACATGGCATTTAGTGTTCGAATTTATAAAACTGTAACTGATGGTTAAGACTTACAAGCTTGTTTTGAGGCACAAATGAGATGAGGCATGAGGAAATAATTATAATGGGCTAAACAGATATACCATTTTTAAAACAGTGACTTAAATAAATCCTGTGTTTATCACAGAAATAAAATTTACTACCGTTGAAGTGCCTATTATATGCTAGCCACGTTAGACTCTTTTCAGATGTATTCTCTAATCGTGACGATAACTATGGCTGTCCAGTAACATGCCTAAAGTTACACAGCTATCAGTGACAGAACTGCAATTTAGATCTAGGCCTGTGTGATTCCAAGGTTTACAGTTGATCCTTGAAGCACTTGGAGGTTAGGAGTGCTGAGTATTTGAAAATGTGAGTATTACTTTGACTTCTCAAATTAACTACTAATAGCCTACTGTTAACCAGAAGCCTTACCAATAATATAAGCAGTAAATTAACACATATTTTGTATAAATATTATAATATCATATTATAATAAAGTAAGCTAGAGAAAAGAAGATGTTACTGAGAAAATTACAAGGAAGAGAACATATATTTACTATTGATTAAATGGAAGTGAGTCATCATAAAGGTCTTCATCCTTGCCATCTTCATGTTGAGTAGGATAAGGAAGAAGGGTTGGTCTTACCATCTCAGGGGTAGCAAAGATGGAAGAAACTCTGAGTGTAAGTGGACCATGCAGTTAAATTCAGGTTCAGTGGTCAGTTGTATTTTGTTTCCACTGCTATTTCATATTCACTGTTGCTTGTGTTAGTATTGTTAGATCAATAGCAAAGCCTCTAATGGGAACGCTTTAACCACAAATTTGAACTTTTATTTCCCTAAACACCTTTTCTTTGTTTTTAGAGTATCTTTTCTTTTTTGCTACTAGAGTAAAAGAAGTGGAAGAGTTGTGTAAGGGCAGCCTTGAGTCTGTGTATTCGCTCTACCCCACACTTAGCAGGTTGCAGGCCATTGGAGAGCTGGAGAGCATTGGGGACCTTTTCTCAAGGTATGTAATTCCTAAGACCTTTTTATCCTTAAGTGCAACTTTTCTGTTACCAATAGTGACTATAAAAAGGAAATGCTGGGCACAGTGGCTCATGCCTACTATAATCCTAGCACTTTGGGAGGCCGAAGGTGGGTGGATCACTTGCAGTCAGGAGTTCAAGACCAGCCTAGCCAATATGGTGAAACTCTATCTCTGCTACAAATAGGAAAATCAGCCGGACGTGGTGGTGGGCACCAGTAATCTCAGCTACTCGGGAGGCTAAGGCAGGAGAATTTCTTGGACCCATCAAGTGCAGGCTGCAGTGAGCTGAGATCATGCCATGCACTCCAGCCAGGGCGACAGTGTAAGATTGTCTCAAAAAAAAAAAAAAAAAAAACTATTTTGAGACCAGATGTGTTTCTTTCCTTTTATTAAGATACAAGTTGATTAGCCCTAGTGAATTGTGCTTTTACTAAACATTTTCCAAAATAGTCATTGTAAAAATTCAAGTTTTAAAAACCCACCTTAAATGTGCTTTTCTCTTTATAACTTTTTCCCTGGTCTACACAGATAAAATTGCTTCCGCATGTTTTTGCACAACATGTTAAACTCCATTTGGTTTTAGCACTACATTGCCTCACTGGCATGTTATCTCTGCCTTGCTAAACTAGAAGCTCTCTTGTTTATTGTTGGATCCCCAGTGCTATTGTTTTGTTTTGTTTTGTTGTTTATTTTTTTTTTTATGTTTTTTGAGATGGAGTCTCACTCTTTTGCCAAGGTGGGAGTGTTGTGGTGTAATCTCGGCTCACTGCAACTTCCACCTCCCAAATTTAAGCGATTCTCCTCCCTCAGCCTCCTGAGTAGCTGGGATTATAGGTGCCTGCCACAATGCCTGGCTAATTTTTGTACTTTTAAAAAATTTTTTTGAATCGGAGTCTGGCTCTGACACCAGGCTGGAGTGGAGTGGCGCGATCTCGCTCACTGCAACCCCCAACTCTGGTTGAAGTGATTCTTCCGCCTCAGCCTTCCCAGTAGTTGGGACTACAGGCATGCACCGCCACACCAGCTAATTTTTGTATTTTTAGTAGAGACGGGGTTTCACCATGTTGGCCAGGATGGTCTCAATCTCCTCACCTCAGGTGATCCGCCTGCCTCAGCCTCCCAAGGTGCTGGCATTGCAGGCGTGAGCCACCATGCCTGGCCCCCAGTGTCTTCTTTTCTGGTGACTGATACTATATTTAGTAAATATCAGTGGGTAGTGAATGTCAGTTAATTAGTAAAAGGTGTTCAGAGGGAATTGCTTCCTATAATGGTGAGAGGGAAATGATCCAGAGATTTTGTAAGATGAAATAGTATAGTTATTTAGGATGCTATAGATCTGAATTCTAACTTTGTCATTCTGACAAAGTAAAATATGTTTTGGGTCCTGAGTTTCCTCATTTCTAAAGTCAGGAATTTATATTTGATTGTCTCTAAAGCCCTTTTTAGTCTGCCATTTTGAGTCACTGTTATTATTATGAGAGGGAAGAAAGAGGATATAAATAACTATGGTCGCCCTACCTTTATGCAAAAATAAAATTTGGAATATGTTTTAGAACTAGAAAAAAGAAGGACATTTTAGAGTCAGAACAAAATAATAATAGTTTTTTCAAAATTACATAGCAGAAGACAAAGATGTTAATGTGGCTTTTCTTAGGGAGAAAATAAAGGAACAAAACTTTTCTGCTTTCATTGATAAGTACATTGACAGTTCTTACTTCCAAAAATCAAGAAAGTTTTCCTCTGAATAAAAGACTTCTCCTGCTAAAAACAGAAAAACAGGATAGAATTCTTTAAGAAAGTGAATAGAATGGTAGTTAGAAGAGGCAGGGAAGGGTGTTGGGGAAGGAGAGGATGAAGAGGGGCTGGTTCATGAGTACAAAAACAGTTAAATAGAAGGAATAAGATCCAGTGTTTGATAGCACAACTGTACAGGGGCAGCTGTAGTGAACAGTAATTTACCAAAGAAGGTTTGGAATGTTCCCAACGCAAAGAAATGATAAACGTTTGAGATCACGGATATCCCAGTTACCCAGATTTGATCAAAACACATTGTGTGCTTGTATCAAAATACCACATATACCTCATAAATCTGTATAACCGTTATGTATCCATAAAAATTAAAAATAAAAAGAAGAAACGCCTAAAGAATAATATTGGCTCTTTCTTTGATAGAGAAATAGGAAGAAGAGAAGCAGAGGGAAGGTTTGATAAACTGGTGAACAAATGCTTATGCTCTCAGAGTAGATTTCATTCATATACTTCAACCAAAACATCCTGTCATAACAAACTAAATGCCAAAGCAGAGATGAGTATTCAACTTGTTCTGTTAGTCCAGACATTAAAGAGATTTGCAAAAATGCAAAATAGTGCAATTCTAACAGGTTCTAACAAAACTAAGTTTTGTTTTGCTTTGGGAGGTATACAGTGGAAATTCTTTATCTGCAGGTTTCCATCATGGATTCGACCAACTACAGATCAAAACATTTTTTAAAAAAATTTAAAGAATACAGTATAACACTTATTTACATAGCATTTACATTATAGTAGGTATTGTATGTAATTAGAGATTTGTGTATAACCAATGCACATTCTCCTATCATACGTAATCTAGAGATTACACATTATAGGAAAATACCCTGTCATTTTAAATAAGGGACTTTGAACATCAGACTTACCAAGGTGTCTTGGAACCAATTTTCTGCAGATACAGAGAAATTACTATAGTTATTTTTCCTGAAAATTGTTATTTATGGATAACATAATGTAATTGTTATGTTATGTATTTATATAGATTTATTATTTTTGAATAAATGAATACATTTTAGATTTTTTCAGTCCTACTTTCTAATATGATATCAATCTCTAATATCAGTAGATATGGTCCAACAATTGAAAGTTCTTTGGGGTCTTCAATAATTTGTTTGATTGTAAAGGAATTCCTCAAGAAATCTGAGACCTACGCTTGGGTCATTTAGGGAGGAATTGAGGTTTTGGTTCCTAGCATTTGTGTTAATGTTTCCTTCCCTGTCAAGCAACTAAAAGAGCTTTCACTTCTTCATCATCACTTTGTCATCTTAGTCTCCCTGTCGTCTTTCTTGTTTCTCTCAATATAATATCCCTGAAGGATTGGGTAGTATTTCACAGCTCAGTTATCTGGAAAGCATACTATTCATATAAAGTAATTATACAATTTACCGTTTCTGTTCCTTTAATAATGTTGGTAAATGAAACCCTTGTCAGATGCCAGCTTTTCCTTCACTGGATTGTGATTTTGTTTTGACAGCTGTAATGATGCGTCAAGTCATCCCCGGTAAGGGAGCTCTCATCTCCTTGCTAACATGTCCTCATTTACTACAAGCGGTACTGAAACAGGACTAAAGATGCAGGCATTCTTCATGATCGGTCTGATGAACATGTTCTTGTTTCAGAAGGGGATTTAGAAAGGCTGCTTTTTGTAATGTCAGAGTATTAAAACTATTTGTCAATGTTTATCATCTGTGGCATCTCTTTTAATAACCTCTTAGAGCCCTGACCATGTAGCATTTTGTAGTTTTCTAAATTTTGATCCATATTTAGGATTATTTACAAGTTTAGTCTTGTCACCACAAAACTTCTTTTGTATTATTAATATTATGTCTTAAGTTTCAGAACTCACATAGTTTCTTTTGCTGTCCTTGTCCCTCTTGCTTACGTGAACTCTGTGGTGTGGCGTTCAGATCAGTCACACATAGACAACTCTCCGAAGTATACGTTAAGTGGCGGAAACACTCCCAGCTTCTCAAGGACACGGATTTTAGTTTTCAGGAGCCTCTCATGGCTCTGCGCACAGTCGTTTTGGAGATCCTGCTGGAAAAGGAAATGGAGAACTCAGAGAGAGAATGTTTTAAGGACATTCTCACCAAACACCTTGTAGAACTCTCTATACTGGCCAGAACTTTCAAGAACACTCAGGTAAATATAATTTAAAACTATGTCACCCCACCTTTTGACCTTCCCTTTATTATTTAAAAAACAGAAAGTCTAAGTGAAAAAGAAATATCATTAAGAGACAGAGATTCCTATTAATATATAGTAAAAATAGTTGTTTAAGAGTTCCCATTTTGAAATTAGGGCTGACTGTAAGCCTTGAGAAAGGTACTTAATCTATTCTCATCCTCGAGTTCCTGGTTATAAAATGAGAAGATACCTAACTTACTATATTGATAACAATTCAGTGATTTTATGCACTGTATGTATATACACAGAGATACACATACATATATAGAGAGAGAGACAGACAGACATGGGGTGGGGAGATGGCATGCAGACAGAGAGGTACTTAAGATAGCCCCTGACAAATGGTTCAGTCCTCAGTGAATGGTAGTTGCTACTTTTATTATGATAATTATTAATGGTAGTAAGCAATAGTAAAAGTATTTATTCTCATATGTCATTTTCATTTCAGCTCCCTGAAAGGGCAATATTTCAAATTAAACAGTATAATTCAGTTAGCTGTGGAGTCTCTGAGTGGCAGCTGGAAGAAGCACAAGTATTCTGGGCAAAAAAGGAGCAGAGTCTTGCCCTGAGTATTCTCAAGCAAATGATCAAGAAGTTGGATGCCAGCTGTACAGAGGTTTGTTTTTTTTTGTTGGCTGAATTAGTGTTTTACTGTTATTTAAAAACACAAATGTGCTATAAAATATTTTTAATAATAATTTTATTAGCGCCTCGAAATTAGCAATTTATGAACAAGATATTGTAAGACAAGTTTTGAAAATTAATTTGTTAAATAAGTTTAGAAACTTTTTCCTATATATAACAATGGAATCAGTCCGTCATGTGGTAGGTTCACTTAATATATCCCAGTGTTAAGCCTTTAACTTGCTATAGAATTCAAGAAAGGTATGTGGACATGAGTGAAATAGCTACTCTAAATTTGAAACAGCAAGTAAAAAAGGGGAAGAGGAAATACGTGAGAGAACTAAAATAGAAAAGAAAAGCAAGGTGGGACAATTAGGTCGTCAATCCAAATGCTTTAAAAATATCACATCTAGTATTTTATCTAACATTACCTATTAGTTTTTGCAAGCTTGTGTTGCTACTTCAGCTGTCAACCCAGCAAACACACTGGATAAAGTAGAGGCATGTGTGTCCCAAGGTTTGTCTACAGTGGTGTCCCATAGACATGTACCTGCTTAGCGTATATTAGCTTACCATACTCTTTTTTTTTTTGAGACGGAGTCTTGCTCTGTCGACCAGGATGGAGTGTATTGGTGTGATCTCGGCTCACTGCATCCTCCACCTCCCTAGTTCAAGCAATTCCCCTGCCTTAGCCTCCCAAGTAGCTGGGATTACAGGTACATGCCACCAGGCCAGCTAATTTTTTTGTATTTTTAGTAGAGAGGGGGTTTCACCATGTTGGCTAGAGTGGTCTTGAACACCTGAGCTCAGGCAATCCACCCACCTCGGCCTTCCAAAGTGCCGTGATTACAGGCGTGAGCCACTGCAACCAGCCTTTTTCATGTTGGGCACTCATTATGTAGCATCTTCGGTTACTAGAGAAATCATCATTATACCAAAGCACTGAATGCCAATATGATATGTATAACAGCCCTGAAGTATTTGCTGTCTGGAGTTACCCAACTTCCTTGAACCTCAGTTCTCTAATCTGTGCATTGGGGTAATAGTACTTATTTAATAGGATTCTTATGAGAATTAAATGAGTTAATGTATATAAAGCCTTTACAAAGTGTCTGCCACATACAAGTACTCAATAAATGTGACGTTCCAATAATGGCAGTAATGATAATAAACAGGATGATCACTTCCTACATGGGATTATTACAATAGTTGTGTGGCAGAAGCAGAGGAAACACTTTTTTTCCCCCACCCACTGAGGAAAAACATTTTAAACCTGCTTTTTCCCCCTACATGAAGGACAGTTGAGTATAGTCATGATAATGTATTATATTTTAAGATTTTGCCTTTCTTTTACAGAACAATCCCAGCCTAAAACTTATATACACAGAATGTCTAAGGGTTTGTGGCAACTGGCTAGCAGAAACTTGCTTAGAAAATCCTGCAGTCATCATGCAGACCTATCTAGAAAAGGTAAGATTTTTGGGGCAATGCTTAAGATAGTTACTTAGCATGAATATGCTTCATCTTTACATCAAGATCAAATATATTTCAAAAGCAAATAAAATTATGGTTTTATTTTTCTATATGTTATTACTGCTGTGGCTCTGTATAGTTTCTAGGGTGGGGTGAAACAATGTTATATACGAAGCAGCAGATTTTGAAAGTAAGCCCAAGTATACATAGCATGTCTTCCTCCTTCTACCTCCACTACCAGCTACCCTTTGAGCAGGTTGTTTCTGATAACTTCTTCATGTATTCATCTACAAACGTAACTGATTAAGGAATAGGCAAGACAGCCCTTGCTCTTCATCAGCCACCCACAAGTAAAGGCTTCAGTATACCAGTCCCCTCTGACTTTCCTGTTTCTCCCTCTTAACCCTTTGATTAACTAATTTTGGAAATAAGTTACCTCGCTAAATAAGTGTAACATGAAACACATTATATGATTGTCTTTCTTTTTTTTTTTTTGAGACAAAGTCTCGCTGTGCTGCCCAGGCTGGAGTACAATGGCACAATCTTGACTCATTGCAACCTCCGCCTCCCAGGTTCAAGCAATTCTCCTGCCACAGCTTCCCAAGGAGCTGGGACTACAGGAGCACGCCACCATGCCCGGTTAATTTTTTGTATTTTTAGTAGAGACGGGGTTTCACCATGTTGGCCAGGCTGGTCTTGAACTCCTGACCTCACGTGATCTGCCTACCTTGGCCTCCCAAAGGGCTGGGATTACAGGCATGAGCCACCACACCCAATCTGATTGTCTTTAAATTTTATAAAGCTCTTTGTTTTTGCAAAGTTCTTTACAAGTATTAGATGTTTGGGTTATTTCTATACTCTCAAAGTTGTTTTGAAAAGTCAGGAAAATACTGTAGTTTAGGGGCTTCCAATCTTTTGGCTTCCCCTGGGCCACACTGCAGAGGAATTACTGTGGGCCACACATAAACTACACTAATATTAATGATAGTGAACGAGCTTTAAGAAAAATCACAAAACAAATCTCCTAATGTTTTAAGAAAATTTACAAATTTGTGTTGGGCCATTTTCAAAGCCATTCTGGTCCACATGCAGCCCATGGGCCACAGGTTGGAGAAGCTTGCAGTATTTCATATAATTTAGCTTTTACGTGTATATAAGTTAAACTTTAGTGTATTACCGTAGTTTGAGTGATTCTTTAGATGTATTTAGTATTTGTAAATATAATTTAAATTGGTTGTGTTTTCTTGAAGGCAGTAGAAGTTGCTGGAAATTATGATGGAGAAAGTAATGATGAGCTAAGAAATGGAAAAATGAAGGCATTTCTCTCATTAGCCCGGTTTTCAGATACTCAGTACCAAAGAATTGAAAACTACATGAAATCATCAGAATTTGAAAACAAACAAGCTCTCCTGAAAAGAGCCAAAGAGGAAGTAGGTCTCCTTAGGGAACATAAAATTCAGACAAACAGGTAACTAGGTTTCTGTAAGCGACAATTTTATGTTCACTAGTCAACTGAGTGAATGTGTTTGCATAGGAAGAGTGACTTGTCTTTTTATCTGAAACAGTTTTGAGCACTAAAGGTCAGCTTAACTACATATAGATTATCTTGATCTTTTGGGTTTTTTGCCATTGTTGTTTTTTTGTTGTTGTTTTGTTTTTTTGAGACAAGGTCTCCCTCTGTCCCCCAGGCTGAAGTACACTGGTGTGATCATGGCTCACTGCAGCCTCAACCTCCTGGGCTCAAATGATTCTCCCTCTCAGCCCCCCAAGTAGCTGGGGCTACAGGTGTGTGCCACTATGGCTGGTTGATTTTTGTATTTTTTGTGGAAGAGTTTTTGCCATGTTGCCCAGTCTGGTCTCAAACTCCTGGGCTCAAGTGATCTACCCACCTTGGCCTGTGAAAGTGGTGGGATTACAGGTGTGAGCCACTGTGCTCTGTCTGTTTTGGTCCTAATGTGGTTAATCACAAATTAGTATGTAAGACATTGACATATGTTCTTTTATTAATAATTCATGCTCTGCTTCTAAGTTCATTGTGGAGAATATAGATATTAGCTTTTTGTTTTGGTTTGCTTTTTTGGTTTATTGGTATGGGAAAAGGAGATAGATAATGAAATTAATTACAAAAGTTACCTATTTTTTTTTTTTGATGTAATTAAATCCCTTCATTTAAGCCTGCCGTGAATCTGTTTATTTTAGTGTAAGTAGTGGTTTAAGTTAGCTAAATAGTTTGGGGAGAGTCCCTCTTGTCCTTGGATGCTTAGGAAGATGTGTTAATTGCACAATTAAGACAAAAGTAAGTTTATTCCCTTTATAATTCTTGGATGTTTGCTTTTTTTCCTGGGATGAAAATCAAATTTTTTTCATTTACATTGTATATCGTGTGTCATTTTGTAGTTCTGTTAAAGCTTATGGCTTTTGTGTTTTACCTTCATTATTTTATACAAGATACACTGTAAAGGTTCAGCGAGAGCTGGAGCTGGATGAATGTGCCCTGCGAGCACTGAAAGAGGATCGTAAACGCTTCTTATGTAAAGCAGTTGAAAACTACATCAACTGCTTATTAAGTGGAGAAGAACATGACACGTGGGTGTTCCGACTTTGTTCCCTCTGGCTTGAAAATTCTGGAGTTTCTGAGGTCAATGGCATGATGAAGGCAAGTGTTATTCAGCCCAATATTCTACCCGATGCTTGAAAACCTTAGACATAAGCCCCTTGAGGTCAGAGATTTTGTATACCTCTTTGTATTCCTGCACTGGTCCAGTGCTCTATGTGAGTGGTGTTTTGTCGTTTTCTACACTTTGATCCATATTTAGGATTATTTGCAAGTTCTCGTTTCTACAAAAGTTCCTTTATATTGTTATTAGATTATATAAGCTGAAAGCTCTAAATGATGCAAGTTTGTATGGAGATGAGAGAAATTAGCTTGCTCCTTTGTCTTTGCAGTTACTATAGGAGAGTGTCTAGAATGGGGCATTAGATTGGAGGATTTAGAAAGCAATTAACGATGATGTGATCACAGGTAGGTTTTTCCCCCTGCTGCAAAAATCTGGGATTTTTACAACAAATTTTGTAAGTGGAGAAAATACACTTTTAAGAAAATATTCAACAAAGCAGTATTTCCTAAGTTTTTAGTTGAAAATCTTAGATTATAATGATGACATCTAATATTAAATTTAGGTTGACAAGATATATATTGTTAGTTAGTTTGAAGGCTAGAGATAAATGTTTCTCCTGCAGGAAAAGAATGGTAAGACTCATAAAAGACACAGTCAATCTCTGCTGTAGTATACGCTACGTATTACTTTTGGCTTACAGGGAAAATCAACTACTTCATTTTATTGTACACTGACGTCTCAGGAATCAAGATCACAGTCACACTCAGATCAGCTCTGTCTTCCTTAGATTTTCTGGAATATAAGCAGTACCAAGTATCCCAGTTCTGAATCCAGTTTAATTTAGGACCAAATATTTTGATTTACCATTGCATTAATCTGGTGTACCCATTATAAAGACCTCCAGATCAGCTAAGAAATGAAGGAAAAAATATAGTTAGTGAAGTTTCGTTAGCCACTTGCTTGTCCTAATAGAGGAGCACTGTCATAAAATAGTTTATTTGCTTAGATGTGAGACTATTTGAAACACCTTGTTTCTTAACCTTGTGTTTTTTTAATGATAGAGAGATGGAATGAAGATTCCATCCTATAAATTTTTGCCTCTTATGTACCAATTGGCTGCTAGAATGGGGACCAAGATGATGGGAGGCCTAGGATTTCATGAAGTCCTCAATAATGTAAGTAAACCTGAAAATCAAACCACAATAATTATTTTTCTTCTATCTTACCATGTATTATATAAAGTATATATACCATTCCCTCTAAGAAATGGAAATACAAAATTTTATATTTTATCTCTTCTCATATGACATACGTTACTCAATTTCTCTAATTGCCCATAGGCCTCTGCCTCTTTCTCACACATGCAGACATATACACTCTACTCACTGCAGTATCTAGATAGTAATACACATTTTAACATTAAGCAAAATGAAAAATATGGATTGTATGTTTTTTATTTGCACAAATCTAATAGTTCTTAATTTTCTTACAGCTAATCTCTAGAATTTCAATGGATCACCCCCATCATACTTTGTTTATTATACTGGCCTTAGCAAATGCAAACAAAGATGAATTTCTGACTAAACCAGAGGTAGCAAGAAGAAACAGAATAACTAAAAATGCTCCTAAACAAAGCTCTCAGCTTGATGAGGTATTTGGATTAAACATACGTGCTTTTTAGAAGCGTGATATTCAGTCTTTCCTAGAATATTTCTTTTTAAAACCGTGTGTTATGATGCCATCTAAAATTGGTTCAGGGCTGAGGCAGGTGGATCAATTGAGGTCAGGAGTTTGAGACCAGCCCAGCCAACCAATATGGTGAAACCCTGTCTCTACTAAAAATACAAAAATTAGCCAGGCGTGGTGGCTGAGGCTACTCTGAAGGCTGAAGCAGGAGAATTGCTTGAACTTGGGAGGCAGAGGTTGCAGTGAGCCAAGATTGCGTCATTGCACTCTAGCCTGTGCAACAAGAGGGAAACTCCATCCCAAATTAATTAATTAGTTAATTAATTAAAATTGGAATATCTGTCAAAGCATAGGAAATACCAGTAGTATTCTACTTTTCCTCAAAGCAGTTGGCAAAAGAAACAATAGATTTTTGAAAGGCACTAGAGTTGACGAGAGTATTATACCTTTGATGTATTTTATTCATGACTGTTTTGTTTGTATCTGAGGAGTTATAATCATTCCATTGTCTACATTTGTGCATGAATTCTGTTTTTCTCTTTGTTTTTCTCACTCTGTGTTTTTTATTAATAGGATCGAACAGAGGCTGCAAACAGAATAATACATACTATCAGAAGTAGGAGACCTCAGATGATCAGAAGTGTTGAGGCACTTTGTGATGCTTATATTAGATTAGCAAACTTAGATGCCTCTCAGTGGAAGACTCAGAGAAGTATGTGTTTGAAAGAAAGAGCATTGTTTTCTTGCTGTGTTACTCTCTATAGAGATATATTAATTATAGAGCCTAATAAGTAAATCTGCTTAAAATCACAAATGTGATCCCAAAGCTTAATTTTTATCTGATAGCTTCAGCGTTCCCCAGTTACTTTTTCACTTGTTATCTCTTGGTAGAACTGATAAGAGGTGACTACAGTATATTAATTATTTGATTTCTTCTGATAATCTTCTGGTGCACAAACTTCTTACAGAGAATTGCACAGAGGCAAGTCTATTAAAGTAATAGAATAACTGAACATTTCTAGTGTCAAAAGTTTTTGTAAATGATGTGGTTACTGTGCCCTGGGACTTAAAAATAAAAAGGTATTGGCTGGGCGAGTGGCTCATGCCTATAATCCCAGCAATTTGGGAGGCCAAGGTGGGTGGATCATGAGGTCAAGAGATCGAGACCATCCTGGTCAACATAGTGAAACCCCATCTCTACTAAAAATACAAAAATTAGCTGGGTGTGGTGGTGCGTGCCTGTAGTCCCAGCTACTCGGGAGGCTGAGGCAAGAGAATTGCCTGAACCCAGGAGGCGGAGGTTGCGGTGAGCCGAGATTGCGCCATTGCACTCCAGCCTGGTGCCTGGCAACAGAGCGAAACTCTGTCTCAAAAAAAAAAAAGAAAAGGCATTACCATTTCTTCCATAGGTGCCAAAATGCCATTATTTAATTATTATTCTTGCTGTGTCAGTTCAAATACTTATAAGCTGCTGGAATCTTTGGTTTTGTGACTAGTTTCTAAGTATGCATTTGCTTCCAGTTATCTCCCCATACTTAAATAATTGTATTTTTTTCTATTCAGAATCATATCTTCATGTTTAAATTCTTATTACTTTAAAATAAGAATGAGACTTTACATATTATTTCTCTAAGCAAACAAAAAATATTGACATGTCTTTTAGTTGGATTTAATAGTAATGTGACAGGAATATGTTATCTATGTACTATCCAAACAATTATGTAATTATTTTAAGATGCTTAGTCTGGTTCCTTAGGTAGAATCTGGTCTAATTACCCCGTCAGGTAACCTGTAAATTTACTTGAAGCCACATTAACCACTGTTGAGATTTGACCCTGAGCTACACAGTGGCCAAAGCCCAGTCTTCACTTCTCAGTCAGAGCCTGAACCACAGATTAGCAGCAAGTTGGGGCCAGTAGCATCTGCTGACTGTTTCTGCTTGACCTTCAATGCTGTCCCTCAGTTTGTCACTAAAATCTCTTCATTTTTAAATACAGAAGGCATAAACATTCCAGCAGACCAGCCAATTACTAAACTTAAGAATTTAGAACATGTTGTTGTCCCTACTATGGAAATTAAGGTAATTTACAATTAACTCTTGATTTCTTAACTAATTTTTTTATTAGATTAAACCATTTGAAATAGTATTTTTATGTAGGTCGAAATTGGTTAAATATTGGCAAATTCCACGTGTTTCAACCTATAGTTTCTCAGTATTAGATTTTCTTTGCCCAAGTGCTTAAATACTCAAAAGCGTCTCCTGCTTTCTTCTCCATTGCCTTCAGGTCTATGCCTCACATCTTTCTTATGAAGGTCTATAGACTGTTACCTTCATTGGACAGAAGGACAGTTTCCATGTGCTTATGACAAGACTAATTTTTGACTTGGCAAGGAAGTTCCCAATTGTTATATATTGCTTTAAAAAATTCTATGTGCAGTAAAACGTATTATTGGCTGCACATATATCAGTATTACTATAATATTAAGTCGACTTTATATGCATGATACACTTAGCTCTGTTCTGTGCAAGAAATAATGGAAGTAATTTCATGTGGGCAGGGAGATATGTAATAATAAGGGTTATAGTTGGGAAAATGAAAATCTTAAACACATTGTTTTTCTTTTCATTTTGCCGTTTAGTGCGTAGTATCTGGTTACTTGATTTGAAGCGTAGCTGGACCATGTGGATTGACTACTATTTTTCTAGCTATATTAGCTAAGTTACTTAGCTGAATATTTCCTGAAAATGCCAGATTTAGCATTTATAATCCAGAAAACTCCTACTGTTTTCCAAGATTTGCTTTATTAGGTTTTTGTGGGGAGTTATTTCTCAGATGACTTTACGTGTATTAGTGAATCTTTCATTAAATAGTAGTTAAAGTTATAGTTCCAGTTCTTAACCAACGTCACATTGTCATTTGTTCCTCTAATATTAAAATTGCCATTTATAATTTATTTTTCTTTAAGTGCAAATAGTGCATATGACCTATTGTGTTTATACTTTTATTAGGTGGACCCCACAGGAGAATATGGAAATCTGGTGACTGTACAGTCATTTAGAGCCGAATTTCGCTTAGCAGGAGGTGTAAATTTACCAAAAATAATAGACTGTGTGGGTTCCGATGGCAGGGAAAGGAGGCAGCTGGTCAAGGTGAGCCGCCCCTTCTCTGGCTTAGCCCTTAGAGTTTGATTGATGAAAAATTTTAGGTGATACTTTCTTTCTGCTTTATTTCAGCTTTTGTCTTTATTTTGAATAATTACAAATGAGGAGAATTTGTAGACTAGAAATGCATTATTTTCTAGAACCAGAAAGTTTTTCTTCATTTTTTGTGTGTGTCTCTGAAAGACCATCATTATTGTATGGTTGGTTCAAGTAAAAGAATACCATTAACCTGTACAGACATCATAGGGTTAACAGTGAGCTTGCTTTTTGTGAAAAAATACTTTGGTGTCTGTCTCTTATTTCTTTGAATAGTACAAGTTTAGTCCTTTGCATCAGTATACTGGGTCTGGTACTGTGCCAAGTGCTGTTTAATGTACCAGAAGGGGAGAGCATTCTTCCCTTAGCATTTCCTCGTGAACGCTCTGAATCCTACTGGGGAGTGGTGGAAAGACACAGTGCTGCTTTGCTCAGTTGTTTGCAGTATGCCTTCCTATGGGGGAGTTCCAGTTAATATAGCCACAAAAGTCGTGAGGGGAAACTTCTTTTTCTAAATCAGTGTGACTACTCAGTGTTGTGGCTTATTCTAAATGAAAGAATGTGAGTAGGTCCTTAATTATTTGAGAAACTGTTAAGAGGTGCACAGGGCCAGGCGCAGTGACTCACGCCTGTGTTCCCAGCACTTTGGGAGGCTGAGGCAGGTGGATCACCTTAGGTCGGGAGTTGGAGACCAACCTGACCAACATGGGGAAACCCCGTCTGTACTAAAAATACAGAATTAGCCAGGTGTGGTGGTGGGTGCCTGTAATCCCAGCTACTTGGGAGGCTGAGGCAGGGCAATCGCTTGAACCCAGTAGGCAGAAGTTGCGGTGAGCCGAGATCGTGCCATTGCAATCCAGCCTGGGCAAAAAGAGCAAAACTCTGTGTCAAAAAAAAAAGGTACACAGATGCTCAGATTGGTTTCTGAGTACGCTTTGCTATTCTCGGATGACTCTGTGTTTTTATAATAAAATGAACTGTACTCGTTAATTGATGCTTAATTATTCTGTAGGGCCGTGATGACCTGAGACAAGATGCTGTCATGCAACAGGTCTTCCAGATGTGTAATACATTACTGCAGAGAAACACGGAAACTAGGAAGAGGAAATTAACTATCTGTACTTATAAGGTAACTATTTGTACTTCTGTTACTTCACCAAGACCATATAAAAGATGCCCTTTGGCTGGGTGAAGTGGCTCATGCTACATTCCTAATGCTTGGGAAGGCCAAAGTGGGAGGATCACTTGAGGCCAGGAGTTTGAGACCAGTCTCAGTGACATAGTGAGAGCCCATCTTGACAAAAACTAAAAAAAAAAAAAAAAAAAAAGCCAGGCATGATGGTGTGTGCTTGTAGTCGCCTAGCGACTTGGGAGGTGGGAAGATCACTTGAGACCCGGAGTTTGAGGCTGTACTGAGCTCAGACTCTGCAGTGAGCTCTAGTCTAGCCTGGGCCACACAGCAATATCCTGTTAAAAAAAAAAGAAGAAGAAGAAGAAGAAAAATATGCCGTTATTTGGACCAGGAGTCTACAAATGTTTTCTGTGAAGGACCAAATAGTAAAGATTTATTTTCTTTTTTAAAAGTTAATTATAGTAAGAGGTTTCTTATAGTCAACTGAAGTATTTTTTCCTTTTTTCTATTCAACAGTATGTCACATAACTATCATTTTTTTAACAGCTGCATTTTGTGTATGTATGTAGTTTTTTATACAAGTCCTTATTAATGGGCATTTGGGTTATTTTTAGTCTTTTGCTACTAAAACAATGCTGCCTTGTAGTGAATAACCTTGAACAGTGAATAACCTGAATAACGGATTTCATACATGTTCAGGCAAATCTGTGGCATGGATTTCCAAAAGTTGGATTGCTGGGTAGAGGATATATGCACCTGTAATCTGGTTGATATTGCCAGACTACTCTCATTGGGGGTGTACCCACTTACATTTCCTCTAGCTATTTGCCTGAGAAGACACTCCTCAGTCACATTCTATTAGCTGATCATCTCTGAATCTTAATTATTCATCTAACCAGTTTAGAAATAACAATAAACCCTCATTTCGAAGGGCCTATTTTCCATAGGTTTGTCTTTTCTGATTTTATTCCTGTATCTCATTTAAAAATTTCTCCTTCTATAAATGTTCTAACAGGGATTATGGGTGACACCTGTTTTTTTCAATGCATTTCTAGTTTTCCATTATGAATGTTTTTTATTTTTAAATAATGGCTAAAGTAAAAGCCCTAAATAGGGGAATGAAGAAGAAGAAATTAGATATAACCTCCAAAATTCCACTTGAGCTAGGCTATTGTAATAAAAAGCAGAACTTGGTTTTGAGCTTCTTAACTGCTTTCAGAGACAAATGTAAAACTTATTTGTTGGGAGAGGGGCACAGATCATTGGTGCTCAAGCTTTAGCAGACATCGTAATCACTTTTTGTTGAAGTCACTTTTTGTTAAAACATAGATTGCTGAGCCCCATTCTTAGAATTTCTAATTCAGCAAGATTAGGGTAGAACCCGTGAATGTGCATTTCTAGCAAGATGGTGCTGATGCTGCCCTGGTCCAGGGACTACACTTTGATGAGACCCACCAGTCTAGTTGTTCTACCATCTGTTGACCTGACTTGATTTTAGAACAGAGTTGATCTATTAGCTATCTCCTATCTGACAGATAAGAACTTTTGAGAGAGTAGATATTCTGTAATGTGAATGAAAGGAAATTTTTATGCTCAAAATGCCAGACTTTTAGATTGCAAAGACAGCGACTGAAGAATTGGGTTACAAAAATATGGGCTATAGGAGCTCCTCCTGATACTCTCAGAAAGCAGCTAAGATTCCCAAGCAGATACACAATTGAACCTCCAAATTTCATTTCAGTAAACCGCAAAAAAGTGAATGCCTGACCGAGAATATTTTGAAAGCAGAAATTACTAAACTTTGATCTCTACCTTACGACTTTTTCAACAGCTAGTTTTCACACAAAACTATTTTTCCATAGAAATTATTCCATTAAGATTTCTAGTGGGCATGGTGGTCCAAGCTATAATCCCAGTACTTTGGGAGGCCGAGGTGGGTGGATCACTTGAGGCCAGGAATTCAAGACCAGCCTGGCCAACATGGTGAAACCCTGTCTCTACTAAAAATACAAAAAAATTAGCCAGGTGTGGTGCACATGCCTCTAGTCTCAGCTGCTTAGGAGTCTGAGGTGAGAGAATCACTGGAACCTGGAAGATGCAATGAGCCTAGATCACGCCACTACACTCTCGCCTGGGTGACAGAGCAAGACTTTGTCTCAAAAAAAGAAAAATGTCTAAAGGCCAGATGCAGTGGCTCACGCCTGTAATCTCAGAACTTTGAGAGGCCAAGGCAGTCGGATTGCTTGAGGCCAAGAGCTTGAAACCAACCTGGGCAACATAGCAAGACCTCATCTGTACAAAAAATTAAAAATTTAGCCAGGCAGGGAGGCATGTGCCTATAGTCCCAGCTACTTAAGAAGCTAAAACAGAAGAATTGCTTGAAATCATGAGTTTGACACTGCACAATGAGCTGTGATCATGCCACTGCAGTCCAGTCTGGGCAACAGAGCAAGACCTTGTCTTTAAAAAAAAATGATGTCTAGAAAATGGGTAACCCAAATAATTAATTGAATATTTAATGTTATACAACTCAATATTAAAGTATAACTTCTAAACACAACAGTTTAGGTTTGAGTATTTCTTAGAATTACAACAATAAACCAATGATGTTATTTTGAGATTACTCCAAGAATATGAAAGTTGTGTCATCATTATGTTAAACTAACTGTTGTTGCCTTTAGTTAAGATTCCCTAGACTACAGGGAAGTAGTCTGCCCAGTCCCGGGTATCTGTGGAGTCATTCCCAATCCTGAGGTTCAGGTCTTCTATGGTCATTGTGTCAACAAGAGCATACATTGACTACCTGGCACTAGATCCTGGTATCCAAATATTGTGTCATTGGGCAACCTCAAAAGGAGAGACTTGTATACTGAGGCATGCCAGAGAACTCTTGTCAGAGAGAATCGGATGGAAATGAAGACAGTTCTTATTATATATGCTGGTAACTGAGACATAGCCCTTAACATTAACCAGAATTAGGGTGGCTGGCTCAGTTTTTCTCCACCAGAACAATGTGTTGTTACAAAGTATACTGAACAACAAATCTAAAATCTTAGGTGTCAGAGGACTTGTTTTCTAAAAGGCAAGTCTCTAATAATATTATAGTGCTGAAAGAAGCTTTGCACTTAACCTGTTCATCCTGCTTTGTGCCAATAAATATTTTTGTTTGTTTGTTTGTTTGAGACGGAGTCTCATACTGTCGCCCAGGCTGTAGTGCAGTGGGGCGATCTCAGCTCACTGCAATCTCTGCCTCCTGGGTTCAAGCAATTCTCCTGCCTCAGCCTCCTGAGTAGCTGGGACTACAGGCGTGCACCACCACGCCCAGGTAATTTTTTTGTATTTTTAGTAGAGATGGGGTTCACCATGTTGGCCAGGATGGTCTCCATCTCCTGGCCTCGTGATCCGCCTGCCTCTGCCTCCCAAAGTGCTGGGATTGCAGGCACAAGCCACCGTGCCCAGCCAATAAATAATTTGTATTCCTTGTCATGCATATTTCAGAGCATCCATCTGGGGAGAGAAGCCATATCTTAAGGCATTCACTGACTATAATGAATTAACTTCATTTCTGTGTATCTAGGATGATATCAGCTGTGTACATTGAGAGAACTGAGGAAACAGTCATCAGGCCTTTTTTGTGGTATTCACACAAAATACCCAGATTGAAATATTCCAGAGAATCTTTAGTACTAGAGAAAACACTGTCATTTGCTTTTTGAAATTTAAATTCTGTTCTTTCTGCAACAATCAACATCAGTTGAGACTGTAAGCTGAGGTAGAAAAAAGCTAACCCATTCCTTTCTATATCAATCTCTCAACAAAAAATAAGCGTTTGATTCCTTCCCCCAGAACTAAATATTGATAGAGAGTAATCAATGTAAAAGAGACTTCAGACAGAGTACACTACACTGCAAGAATGTTAATGTGACAAGCATCAGGGGTCACAGCTAACTCAGAGTCAAAGACAGAGCAGGGCAAGAGGCATGTCGAATACTTAGGCAGGAAGGGAAATCAGAAAGGCCATGCGATCACTCATTTGTTTGTTCAATAAACGTGAATTTACATGCCTGTGTTGGGTTACTCTGTTGAGTGCTAGGTCTATAGAAGTAGTAAAACATCGCCCTGATCTTAAGGTGTTCATATTCTAATAGGGTAAATAAACAAACATAGTTATAATGCAAAGTGTATTGTTAGAGATGGCACCACCTACACTTGATTGCTCAGACTGAAACCTAGAGGCTTTATTTTCTTTTTACTTTTATTATTATGGAAAATTTCAAACATACAAAAAGAGGCAATAACATAATCAACTCCTTTATACCCATCGCCCAGATTCAGCAGTTACCAACTCACGGGCAATTTTGTTCTATTTCTCCTTCCACCAACTTCCTTCCAATATTATTTTGAAGCAAGATGTCTTATCATTTCATCTGCAAATATTTCAGTCTGTAGACCTATATGATGTCTGTTTTACAAAAGCATTATCATGATGTTGCCATCACTCCTAAAGAATTAGCAAAAATTCCTAAATGTCACCAAGTATTGGGAGTCATTTTAAACTCTGCTTTCCCTCTTTCTCAAGTCTCGTCTATTCCATCAGCAAGTCCTGTTGGTCTACTTCCAGGCAGGTCACTTTTTACCATCGCTGCTATTACCGCCCTACTTCCACAATCACATCTCTGTAGATAACAGAGTTCAAACCAACAGTTTACTTCTGCTCTTGGTTTTCAAAAGCTAGTTTTATTCATAACTGTTAGAGTGATCCTTTTTAAAGTGTCTAAGACAGAGTACTGTTATCATTCAGTATCTGTGGGGGATTTTTTACAAAGCTCCCTGCAAATGCTAAAATCAAGTCCCTTATATAAAACGGTATATGTATCGTTTGCCAATAACCTATGCACCTCATCCTGTGTACTGTAAATCATCTCTGGGTCCTTAAAATACCTTATGCAGTATAAATGCTATGTGACTAGTTGTACTATTATTTGTTTTTAAAATTTGTGTTTTTTATTGTATTGATTTATTGAGGTTTTTTTGATGAATATTTTTGTTGGTTGAATCTGCGGATGCAGAGGGCCAACTGTATTCCACTTTCCTGTTCCGAACCCCAGATGGTTCACATTGTCCCAGAATGACAGCTTTCTAAGTGATGTGCCTCTGCTGTTCTCCCTCCTGTCTTATCTACCACTCTCCTCAGGCTTCTCTCACTTTCTGCTTGTATAGCATGAGTCATCTCCCCTTGACTCCCCTGGTCTCTTGCAGTCACTTAGGTACACCAATTTATTTCTGCTTCAGGGCTTTTCTGCTTCTGCCTGGAATGCTTTTCCCTCATATCTTCACACCAGGCACTGCCTTACTTCACTCAAGCTTCTGCTCCAGTGTCACCCCCAGAAAGGCCTCTGACTGGGTTGCCGTTACCCACTTTCTCTCCTTTTTAAACTTAAGTTGTTTTGTCCTCTTATACTTAAAATCTGACATCATGAAGTGTTTTTAATTTTATTTTATTTTGAGATGGAGTCTCACTGTGTTGCCCAGGCTGGAGGGCAGTGGCGTGATCTCGGCTCACTGCAGCCTCTGCCTCCCAGGTTCAAGTGATAGTCCTGCCTCAGACTCCTGAGTAGCTGGGATTACAGGCACACGCCATCACGCCTGGCTAACTTTTGTATTTTTAGTAGAGACGGGGTTTCATTATGTTGGTCAGGCTGGTCTCGAACTCCTAACCTTGTGATCCACCTGCTTGACCTCCCAAAGTGCTGGGATTACAGGCGTGAGCCACCATGCCGAGCTGAAATGTTTATTAAGATACATGTTCCCTCACCAAAAGGAAATTTGATGAGGGCATAGTCTTCATCTGCCTTTTTGCCACTCTGTTCTCAGTGCCCTAGCCCTGTGTGTAACACGTAATAGACTCCCAACAAATGTATGTTAATAAATTAATTACATGCCTACTTAAGATATAAAACAGTTCAATGTATGGGAGAACATTAAAGTTTAAAAATGTATAGAATTAAAAACACCATAAAGACAAGTGACCAGCTTAGAAAACAAATATAATAATGTTAATAACAACAAAAAGATTGTTTTAATATAAAGAACAAGGGATTTATATGAAGAATACAATGATACTCAACTTTTCTAGTAATCTGAAAAATACAAATTGAAACCACAGTGAAATACTATTACATACCCTCAGATTGACAAAATACCAAGTCTGACAAAAAGTATTGGAAAAGTTATGGTATAACTCTGCTGGTGGGCGTGTAAATCAGTCCAGTCACTTTGAACAGTTACTTGTCAATATCTGGTTAAGCGAGTTGAGGATACACATCTCTGGCTCAGCTGGTCAGTTCCCTGGGCGTACACCTTAGAGCAAACGTTGTCCAACCCGCAGCCTATGGGCCAGCCACATGCAGCCCACAGGATGGCTTTGAGTGCAGCCCAACACAAATTTGTAAACTTTTTAAAAACATTTTCAGATTTTTTTTTTTATTTTGCAGTTTTTTTTTTTTTCATTTTTAGCTCATCAGCAGTCATTACTGTTAGAGTATTTTATGTATGGCCCAAGACAATTCTTTCAGTGTGGCCCAGGGAAGCCAAAACATTGGACACTCCTGCCCTAGAGAAACTGAAGTATGTTCACCAGTAGACTATTTCACAGCCGTATTTGATGAAAATGTGGAAACAATGAAATGTTAATATGCAGATTGGATAATTGTGGTGTATTTATGTAGTACACAGCTGTTAAAATGAATGATGCAGAGTTAAATATGCTCACATAGTAAAGATAAAATAGTGTTGAATAAAGTATTGAATAAAAAGCCAAGTTACAGAAGTGCACATATACTATAATAATTCTTTACATAATACTTAAAACTATTTAGGTACATATAGCTTTGAGATAAAAAATATACCAAAAAATACATGAACATGATAAACTGGTTAACAGTAATCTTGATGGGGAGGGACATGGAGTCAGTGAAGGACACAAGGGGGAGCTTCATCTCTCCCCCAGCAAATGTGAGAAAATCCTAGATTTGATGAAGCTGTTTAATGGATAAAAAGGTATTTGTTAATATTACTTTCTACACTTTATGTATGTTTATAATATAATTTTCAAAAAGCTTTCCTAGTGAAATTACTCATTTTATATTTTGGAGTACATTTTCTCTCTGTGAAGATAATCAGACTGTAAAGAGTACATGTAATTTCACTAATTAAGTTACACTAAAATTCAAACCACATTCATGGGCAATAGTTTTCAAGTGAAATTCTCCAAATTTAATTGATATTAAAATTGTAAGGAAAACAGAGTTAATTCCTCTCCTAATTGGACAACCTAAGTATGGATCAGTGACAGATGACAGTGGGTATAATTAACAGGAGTGACCTCTCAGAGAATCAGGGGGATTGAGTGATGGGCAGGCTCTCAGACATCTAAGCAGCAGGCTAGAAAATTATATTCTTTGAGCTTAAGCTTATTTCCGGATGCTTTCCTCCAAGGACAGAGAACTACTAATACAACTTGGAAAAAATGCTTTGTACTGACTCTGATAGTGGAATGATCAGCAAATGCTCTTTAATGGCCTTTTAAAATTAAAAGATATTTAATCTATAACTTCAGGTGGTTCCCCTCTCTCAGCGAAGTGGTGTTCTTGAGTGGTGCACAGGAACTGTCCCTATTGGTGAATTTCTTGTTAACAATGAAGATGGTGCTCATAAAAGATACAGGCCAAATGATTTCAGTGCCTTACAGTGCCAGAAGAAAATGATGGTGAGTAACACCCAAAATTAAAGGTTATTTCAAGATTATTCAATAGCTTATTAAAGCTGACAGCTATCAGATATTATAGCATACAAAAATCTTTAATTTCATCAGGTAATTGTCAAAGATACTAAGTAAAAGAAAGTAAACTCATCAGAACGAAAGTGTGTGAGTGAAAAAAGAAGGATTTTAAACTATATAATACGTCAGCCATTGTCACATAAGAAATATAAAGGTTATTCAGTGTGTGCTGATTTGTTTTCAATTTGGGATAAACTAATTCTTAACAAACAAAACACTAAAATGCCAGGTGTGATGGCATGCCCCTGTAATCCCAGCTACTTGAGAGGCTGATCCTGGGGGATCATGTGAGCCCAGGATTTTGAGGCCGGCCTAGACAACAGAGCAAAACCCCATCTCTAAAAAACAAACACACCATAAAACAACAAGAAGATTATGAAATAATCTTTTATGAAACTGATAGAGAAAACCTAAGACATTTACCATGTCACACTGGCTGTCTAGTCTGATATTCATTCACTGAATTGGCAACATTTCCTGAATGCTTTCTATCTACCAGGTACTGTGCTGACTGAAGACTTCACAAACAGTATGACCTACTCATCATGATCCTTATCCCTATTTTAAAATGAGAAGTTCAGAGAACTTAACCTGCCTAAGGCCAGTGAGCTAATAAACAGAGCAAGGATTTAAGCCTTGTCTAAATCCAAAGTCCATTTGCTTTTCATTTTATTGTGCTTTCTGTGACATGGTTTTTAAAATGTGTGGTAAGTGCTAGGTGTTGTGATGGCTGTTTGTACGGGGCACACAGGGTACAGTGTAGGTATGGAGGAGGAAGTGGTTAGTCCTACCTGCGATGAGGAGAATGGAGAGAAGTAGATCCAAGAAATGCTTCACAGAGGAGAAGGTGTGTGAGCCAGGTTTTGTAAATGAGTTGTTTTTCCAGGCAGAAGGAGCATATATGCAAAGGAAAGGAGGTCTGAGCAGGCAAAGACAGCATAGGCTTAGTGTTTGAGGAGGAAAAGATAGATGAAGTTGGAGCAGTATTGTTGGTCCAAAGATGGAGAGTTGCTTTATGAAATGCAGAGGAGTTTGCACTTTATGCTACAGGCCTTAGGGATAGTAATAGACTTGCATTTAGAAAGAATCTCTGACAGCACTGTGGATTCTGTGTTTGAGAATGCAAACTGGAGGCATGAGATGGTCTGAACTCACACGAATAGCAGTAGGAAGGGAGAATCGTGGTAGAGATGAGAACTATGAAGGAGGCAGAATTCTTAGGATTTGATTGTTGTTTAAAAATAAGGTTGGGGGCTGGGTGTGGTAGCTCATGCCTGTAATCCCTTAAGGGATTAAGGAGACTAAGGCGGGAGGATTCCTTGAGCCCAGGAGTTTAAGACCAGCCTGGGCAACATAGTTGGATGACACCCCATCTCTACAAAAAATAAAAAGTCAGCCAGGTATGGTAGCATATGTCTGTAATCTCAGCTACTCAGGAGGCTGAGGCGGGAGGATTGCTTGAGCCAGGGACTGAGGATGCAGTGAGCTGTGATCACACCCCTGCACTCCAGCCTGGGTGAGAGAGAGACCATATCTCAAAAAAAGATGTTTTTGTGGGGGAGGAAAAGGAGTAGTCAGTGCCTCCCAGTTTTCTGCTTGGGGCAATTAGGTAGATGGTGAGGCTATTTACTGAATTGAAGATTAGAGGAGGTGACTAAAGTTTGCCAGGGATGAAGTACTTGGATTTGGAAGTGATTCAGGTAGAGATGTTGAATGGGCAACTAGAGAAGCACATTAAGCTAGAGCTTAATAAAGATACCTGGGCTTAAGGCCAGGCACGGTGGGTCATGCCTATAATCCCAGCACTTTGGGAGGCTGAGGTGGGCAGATCACCTGAGGTTGGGAGTTCGAGACAAGCCTAACCAACATGGAGAAACCCCATCTCTACTAAAAGTACAAAATTAGCCAGGTGTGGTAGCACATGCCTGTAATCCAAGCTACTCAGGAGGCTGAGGCAGAAGAATCGCTTGAACCCGGGAGGCAGAGGTTGCAGTGAGCCGTGATGGTGCCATTGCTCTCCAGCCTGAGCAACAAGAGCAAGACTCTGTTCTCCCCCCGCCACCCCCCAAAAAAGCTACTTGGGCTTAATATAGACACAGATTTAGAAATCATCAGCACATAGATAGGAGGGAGTTGAAGTTGGTAAGCTTTGCTTCATGATAGTATTTTAAAGCAAGATGTTGGAAGATAGAGATCTGAATCATATCAGCTGCCATCCATAAGGGATTCCTCCATTCTTTCTCTTTTCCTGTTTCCTATTGCAGCCCAATGCTGTGATGCCACCTGAAGTTATCTGCAACTACTTTGTCATTTCTGTGTTTACTTCTGCTTAAGATTACAGGATTATTGAAATTAGAATGTAATCAAAACAAGTAACAGTCACTGTGGGTATGCTTCCTTCCCCAGTGATTCATACGAAATCCTAAAGGGATTACCACTTGTCATTCATTGCTCCCCCTTTCAGACTGTTAGCTTCTGGTGGGTAATGTATCTGTTCATCTTTCTTGCCCTGTATCTGTCATATTTTTTAAATAAAAATGGGGATATTAGTTGAATTCATTGAACACAATATTGAAAAATAAATTATATATATGCTCTATTTAAAGGAGGTGCAAAAAATGTCTTCTGAAGAGAAATATGAAACCTTCATGGATATTTGCCAAAATTTTCAACCAGTTTTCCGTTATTTCTGCATGGAAAAATTCTTGGATCCAGCTATTTGGTTTGAGAAGCGACTGGCTTATACGCGCAGTGTAGCCACTTCTTCGATTGGTAACCTTCTTGTACAAACTGTAGCTTTGGCACTTTGTTGTTTCACTTCTTTCTTTTTGTTTGCTTCGGCATTTTTTGTACATTCTGAGTGGCAGGGGGATGATGGTGACGATGTGGTTGGTAACCAAACCATCTTCATTATTCAATCATTATGTTTCTTGTTCATCCTGATTCTTAGACCTTTTTATAGCTTATGCAGAACAGAATTCTCCTACTTCGATAAATAATAAAAAGACAGGATTTTCTTCTGCTTTGTTTTATAGTGAATATGGTGTATTTTCTCTCCCCTCAGTATATTATTTTCTGAGACTTTCTTTGGAAAATAATAAAACCTGCGATAACTTATTTCCTTTAATTATTTTTGTTCTTTTGCATATAACCTCTAAAATACCATGCTGTTATCACCTAGTGATCAACACTGTTTAATAGAATTTTGTTTTCAGAATAGAAATCATGAGATATATTTAAATATTTTGTGTACAATATATATTTTGATTTTTTTTCCCTAAGAAATTAGAATAGCTAAATAGTATGGTTAGCAAAATCCTAGAGCATGAAAACTAATAGAAACATTAGAGATCATTAATCTATTATTTTTTTTTTAAATAAAAACCATTCCCTCCATTACTTATGTGCTATACCCAAGGAAGTCAGGGCATGTATGTTTTGAAAGAGTTAGAGAATCACTAATCTGATACAACTAGTTTATAAACAAGAAGGTAGGCCTAGTTAATGACAGGGCGAGCCAGACACCCAGTCATTCGGACTCCCTTCCCAGTGTGTTTTTTTTCATGCTCTGTGGTTTCTCCCATTACTGCATGCCATCGTCTGTCTTAAATACAGAAATGCACTTTTTCCTGGGCATATATACCTGGTGAAATGAAATGAATTAATGATTAATTTGTGTTAAATATAATTCATCAAGCAGAAGAAAGTTTCACTGAAGAATGAAGGATTTATCCATAAATTTCTCATAAGTATGTTCAATAAAAATTTGAGTACATATAATACACTGCTTTGGCCCAGGTAAATAATGGGTCCCAACTTTAGCCACAATAATTTTTAAGTACTAATATTTTTAATGTGTGCCTATTAGTAAAGAGAAAATTGTTTTAGCAAATCATCTAGGATATATAAAATGCAGTATCCATTAAAATAGCTGGTAAGATTTGACTTAAAGTCAATATGGTTGGTTATGTACATCATTTAAGTAGGCTAAAAATGCTAAACTACTTAAAGATTATAACAAGTCAGTGGTGTTAGTTGAAATTATGGCTGTATATTAGAAAGAAATGGAATCAGTGATTTCAGATTCTTTTTCTTCTAGTTGGTTACATACTTGGACTTGGTGATAGACATGTACAGAATATCTTAATAAATGAGCAGTCAGCAGAACTTGTACATATAGATTTAGGTAAGTAATAAATCTGTGTATCTTTATTCTTTTTAATAAATATTTGGTCATCATGGAATGTTGTTTGCCCATCAAGATGTTACGATAAGAGAGAGAGATACGTATATCAAAGCAGTAAATACTGTTTTTTTTTTTCATTTTCAGCATATTTTATTTTCAGAAAGATAATTCCAGGAGCACTTTGGGGAGTGGGACTGCAGCAGGAAGACAAGTTAAGGGATATTATAATAGTTTAGATGAGAAATGAAGATTTGTACTAAAGTTGTAGAAACCAGGAGATTGGATTTGAGGGACATATTTGTAGTAAACTGTTCCAGTGATATTAGATATGGAAATAGTGGGGGAGTGGGGCTCCAGGATAACTGAAGCTTCTAGCTAAGGAATATATCAAGTTTTGTAAATAATAAGAAAGTGATGAATTTAGTTTTGCTCATTATTTTGAAGTATTAATGGGATTTCTAAGTGGAATAGACACTTTAATATATAGAAGAGAAAGGAGTTTGAATGTAATGATGGAGGTCCAGAATCTTTAGCAAATACATTTCAGTTGAAGTCACTGGGCTAGAGGAAGTCCTGATGTTACACATCAACCTTGATAAAGAGACCTAGAGATGAAATCATAAGGAAAGTGAGCCTTTGAAAGGCTGAGTCAAAAAAAAAAAAAACTGAAAAGTACTAAAGTCGTGAAAACTAGAAAGTCAGGACCTTGGAAGGCGAGAGGGGAAAATCTTTTATGAAAGTAGTGCTTAACAGTGTCTGATACAGAAAGGTCAGAAAGGATGAATGCTGAAAACAGACCTTTGAATTTAACAAGTAGTCAACCTTAGAGGCCTTGGAAGACCCCTTTGGATAGAATGCAGGCAGCCATACTTTATATGGCTTTACATTAAGAATGTTGAATCTTCCTACAAGAAGTTTAGAAGGAAAGGAAAGGATGGCAGAGAAATTTGCTGCAGGGATGAGAGACACAGTTGGTCCTTGCTTTTTTAAGATAGGAGAGGTATGAACATGTTAGATATTCAAGATGCAGGAGAAAAACAAAAGATAATTGAAATAGCAAGAGAAATCATAAAATACAGGAGTATATTAGCATTGGCTTTAGATTGGAGGCATGTTAGCTTTTCTGCTGAGAGACGAGGAAACATGATGTCAGTAGGAAAGTCTTAAGCTGGAGCGGAGGAATATGAAGGAATTATATTTGCTAATATATTCTGTTTTCGCTGAGAACTAGAAAGCATGCTTATTTGCTTAGAATTGGAGGGATGGTAATTGGCCTTAAAAGAATAGTAAAATTCTAAAATTTACCATGAAAATGAGACTAAAACCTAACTAAAAAGGGATCAATAAATAAGACATGCCAAGCAGTTTAAGGGGCACTTTAAGGTGACAATCCTAAATTTGTAGTGGAGCCAATAGTGTTGTATGATTTTTTTCCAGCAGTCCTTAACATCCTTGGAGTTTAAGTTGTAGTTTAAAATGGTAGATGTGGCAGAGGGACAAGGGGACAAGATTTGAAGTCCTGATGAGAGTAATCAAGCCTATTACCTATACCCCTGGGCTGAGTAGGGAAGGAAGAAGACTGATAAACTGAAATCAGTCAAATTTGAAGAGTGTTTAGTAAGAATAAGGGGTAGAAGAGGTTTTGATTAGAATGTGGAATTTACAGTGTCTAAGAAGGTGCAGTTTTAGACTTATTTTTGGAGTGCAGCCCATAAGTGGTTCGCTAAGATAGAATGAAATTGAATTTCATTAGAACAGAGATGGTCACGGATATTATATGGTTTTCCCCAGAATGATTTCTAGAGTTGTGATAGAGCGGGGGAATTGTGAGCTAGGTCCATGCTAACATTCAGTGAATGTGAGAGAAAACTTACAGGTTTACATAGTAAACATGAAGATGGAAGGGATTTGTTAGAGCCAGAAGGTGGGCATCTCAACAGAGGAGTGAGACTTTATATGAGAATGAAAGGGCAATGGTTTGGAAGATGCAAAACAGAGGCAGGAGTATGCCAGCCTGTGTCCATCCAGGTCGTGCTAAAAGCATCTATAAATGAGAAGGGTAAATTGGTATAACCCCTTTGGAATACCGTTAGGCATTATCCACTAAAGCTGACTTTATGTATACCCTGGGACCCATCAATTCCACTCCCACAGAAATGCATACTTATGTATAAAAATGTTTACAGTAGCACCATTTGTAATAGCCCCTAACTGGAAACAGTCCAGATATCCATCATAGGTGGAATGGATGAACAAACTGTCATATATTTATATTCTCTTTGATATAACAAGATTGAATGAACAATAACACACAATGTGGAAGACTCTCACAAAAGTGAAAGACTCCAACACAAAAGATTACATATGTATAATTCCATATATGAAATTCAAAAACTGATCAAATTAATGTACAGTTTTCTACATCAGGATAGTGGCGACCCTTTGAAAAGGTGGTTAGTGACTGGTAGGAGAGGTTGAAGCGGGGGACTCTGGAAGGCTGGTAGAGTTCTGTTAACATGGATTTGTTCACTTTGCAAACGTCTTAGTGAGTCACACACTTGGGTGATTTGTATACTATTCTGTGTATATCTGTTTGGTTACCTGTTGCTGCATAACAAATCACGCCAACATTTAGTAGCTTAAAGTCACAATTTGTTATGATCTCTCAGAGTCTGTTAACTGGGCTAAGTTGGGCAGTTTTCACTAAGGATCTCTCAGGCAGTTGCAGTTAGTGTCTGGGGCTGGAGTTATCTGAAGACTCAACTGGGCCAGAGTTCACGATGGCTTCGTCACTTACATGTATGATGTTTCACGCTCATATGTGGCCTCTCTGTCCAAAATAGCATCCTGGGCCTACTTAGCATCTTGGAGCTCAAGGAAGAAAGTGGAAGTCAAGGGCTAGGCCTGCAACTTTCACAGTATCACTTCATCACATTCTATTAGTCATAGTAATGTCATAGGGTCCATCCAGGTTCTTCCCTGTTTCTGGGACTCCAATAACCCTATGTTATGCCTTCTCACTGTATCATTTATACCATGACCTGCTAGTCTATATTTTCCAGGCTTTTTTCTGATTCACCCCTTGTTGTCAGTGCACATATCTGGAGAACCTGGACTTTCAGCCTTGCTCAGCTATAGCAAGCCCTTCCCCTACCGAGTGTCAGTGGAGGCCACTGGAGAATCTAGTCCTCGGCCCTTACCCAGCAGTAACAAGGTGGTGAATCCCAAAGGCATCAAAAGCAGAAGTTTAAGGAAGATCCTGAGTCTCATAATAACCGACACCGACACAGGTGTAGGTGTCAATTGAAAATCATTAGTCATACCAGGAACCAGGAAAATCTCAACTTCAATGAAAAATGACCACCTGTAGGTGCCAACACTGAGATGACAATGATATTGGAATTATCTAAGATTTTAAAGCAGCCATCATAACACTTGAAAGAGCAATTACAAACATGCTTGAAACAAATGAAAATATAGTGTCAGCACGGAAATAGTCTCATATAGAAATAGATATAAAGGAGAACCAGATGGAAATTTTAGAACAGAAAAATATAGTAAATAAAATACAAAATTTCAACTGCAGAGTGAGGAGACAGAAGAAATGATCAGTGAACAGAAGACAGAACAGTAGAAATTACCCAAGCTGAGCAACAGAGGAAGAAAATTAAGAGGAAATCTTCAGCATCTAGGGCTAAACAGAGTTCCTAGACTGGATAACAAAAGAACAATCTTTAAGGACTCTCAAAACTTAACAACAATATCTACTTATAAAATGGCCATGTACTACAAATGTATATAGCAGCTTTATTCATAACACCGAACTGGAAAAATCCAGATGTCCTTCAGTGGGCAAATGCTTAAACAAACTGTGTTACATCCATGCCCTGAAATACTTCTCAGCAATCAAAAGAAACAAAATTATTAATATACATAACAATGTGGATGAATCTCCAGAGAATTAGGCTGAGTGTAAAAAACTATTCCCAAAAAGTTACATACGGTATTATTATTCCACTTCCATTTATATAACATATTTAAAATGACAAAATTATAAAAATGGAGAACAGATTAGTAGTTGCTAGAAAAGCAGAAGGTTAGGGGGCTGGGCGATAGGCTGTGGGAGGGAAGTGGGTGTGACTGTAAAGGGCAGCATGAAGGATCCTTATGACAGGAATATGATGTATCTTGACTGCACCAATGTCAGCAGTAGTATACTTTTTTAGGCTATTACAGTTGGGGTGAAATGGGCAAAAGGCATATGGGATGATCTTTTCTGTATGATTTCTTATAACTGCAAGTGAACATATAATTATCTCATAATTTAAAGTCTCATTACATTTTTTTTTTTTTTTTTGAGATGGAGTTTCACTTGTATTGCCGCAGGCTAGAGTGCAATGTCACAATCTCAGCTCGCTGTATCCTCTGCCTCCCAGGTTCAAGTGATTCTCCTGTTTCAGCCTCTTGAGTAGCTGGGATTATAGGCACCTGCCACCAGGCCCAGCTAATTTTTGTATTTTTGGTAGAGACAGGGTTTCACCATGTTGGCCAGGCTGGTCTTGAACTCCTGACCTCAGGTGAGCAGGCCTCCTCAGCCTACTAAGGTGTTGGGATTACAGGTGTGAGCCACCATGCCCAGCCTAATTTTTTTAAATATAAATAAATACATCACCTCCATTTAAAATTATACCAGTAGTTACTTCATTTTTAAAAATCACCCTTTAACCTAGATTTCTCTAGTTACCTCAAGAAGTAGTTATGTTATTTGGATTTGAAGTGGAACTCGTAGACAGTGAAGAAGATGAGGAAGGCAGCCAGAGCAGAAATAAACTACTATGTCTACTGGTATTCATAGGATATAGGTAACAAATGTTTTGTTGCCTTTTTAAAGTTCACATTCTAATGGGAAAAAAGTAAATTAGCTGTCAAACCTCCTAACCTCACTGTATTTTTTACTTTAGGTGTTGCTTTCGAACAGGGCAAAATTCTTCCTACTCCTGAGACAGTTCCTTTTAGACTCACCAGAGATATTGTGGATGGCATGGGCATTACTGGTGTTGAAGGTGTCTTCAGAAGGTGAGTGATATAAGGTAAAGGAGGGAAATAATTTCTGATGTCAGAATTATGGTGCCTTGCACCTGTAATCTCAGCTACTCAGGAGGCTGAGGTGGAAGGATTGTTTGAGCCCAGAAGTTTGAGTCCAGCCTAGGCAATATAGTGAGACCCTGTCTCTTAAAAAAAAAAAAAATATATATATATATATATGTGTGTGTGTGTATATATATGTTAGAGTTTTGCATAGATTATAGAATTTAATGCTAGAATCATATCCCAGTGCTTTATCAATACTAAGGAAAAGACCCTGGGTAAAAGCAATAATAGTTCCCTTCCTTCTACCCACCTGGGACCTAACCCCATGTAACATACATACGGTTATTCCAAACCTCTGGAAGCATCCTACCTTTACTTTAACACCTGTCCTGGCTTTTTAATGATACTACTGTTGGATGCTCATTGTTGGGATATGGAAGAGACCACATTTTATTTAAAGGAGCTCGTCTTCTAGTGTAACACTGGGCAGAAAAAAGCTTTGCAGCTCCTTGTAGTTTTCCCAGCATAGGTCCATGTACTCAACCTGGATTGGGGCAGATTGTAGTCAATGTAAACTAGTAACTGCCACAATAATCAGACTGAGAGCTGAGCATAGTGGTGCATGCCTGTAATCCTAACTACCTGGCAGGCTGAGGCAGGAGGATGACTTGACCCCAGGAGTTTGAGACCAGCCTGGGAAATGTTGAAGGACCTCATTGCGAAAAGAAAAGAAAATCAAAGACTGAAAGAAATCTTTCGTAGTAGTGTTGTGCTATTTGTGTAAATGCCAAGCTTGTGAAATAGTCAAATACATATTTATATTATTGAGAGCCCACTCTGCCAAGTATTATGCTATTTTGAGATACAGATTTGTAGATTAACAACTATAGGCTCAGCATACTATACAAGAGAGTATACAGATAAAGATATGTTAAAAACATTGATGTGTCGCAAAATCCGTATTTATAATGTGTTTGACTCTAGGTGCTGTGAGAAAACCATGGAAGTGATGAGAAACTCTAAGGAAACTCTGTTAACCATTGTAGAGGTAAAGTATTTTATAAGGAAGACTTAATTTTTTTTTTTTTTTTTTTTTTTTTTTTTACCAGATAGACTATGTATCTCTTCAGGAAGTCACTGATTTAAAGAGCACTGCTTCATTTCAACATAGGGGAATGCAGCTGGGCAGCAGGAAGGAGATTGCTCTTAGCCTTTTCACACATCCAAAAACACTGGTTTAGAAATGCCTTCCACCCCCTTGAGTTTCTTGGAATGTGATAGCATTATAAGTAGTCTCTAGTTTTCAATTCATAAATCAACTCTTTGACATTTAGATATTCCATATGGTATTACTATTTTCAGAATGGTTTCCATTAGGGTTTAAGACAAATCAATACTTTACATCTCCTTTTTCCCTGCCCAGGTTCAGAACTAGTTAGTCAGACAAAAGGAGATCAAATTGTCAGCATCATTACTAGAGTAACAAGCTTAGGAATGAGGGCCAAACTAGTTTACTGCTGGTGCTACCTCAGTGCCTCTCTGCTGTCTTAACCTTGGGACAGCTCACCTGAGTAGGGGTTTGGGCCTGCAGAGCACACACATGTAATCAGGATCACTGCCTTGTCTTGATCCAGGGCAGAGAAACGGAAGTAACACAGATGTTAGTGTCTGTGCTGTTAGTACGTATGCCAGTCATTCACCAACCCGGTGAGGGCATGTGAGACAAGAAATCAGGAGTGTTGCCTCCCCAAGGAGACATGGCAGGTGAAGTGTGTATGGGCTTCTCAGTCAGAAGGGATTTTTATGCTGAGGTCGATTTAAGAGCTGTATTCCAGTAGTGTATCCTACCTAACACTCACCAGAAGAGGGTGGTTCTTGTAGGGCCTTGGAAATCTTTTTAGTTTAATGCCAAACTGCCTATGGACTTCATTTTTTAGAGTGCTAGGAGATCAAGTTAGAGAAGTGACAGTGGCCAGATCGTACGCCATTGTAAGGACTTTGGATTTCCTTTGAGTGAGGATTTTGAGTCTGAAAAATGATTTGCATCTCCACCTATAATAACTCTTACCTCTAAACACATCCTCCAATGCTTTGTGTATTTTACACTCATCTACCTGATCTTCCCTCCATAAATCTGTCCAAATTTCCCAAAATCATTTGGTGTGATTGTCCCAATCTTCAAGAATAATTTTCCCAGTGATCTTACCACAGTAAGACCACTTTCTGCCTTCAGCTTTAGGAGGGTATGTCTCAATAGCATCCTGGTTCCCAATTGTGTGGGACATCATTTCTCTCCTCTCTTAGATTCATTTCTTTTCTTCTCCTAGGTTTCATTGAGCCACAGTCACTGTTTCTGATCTAATCTCCCTGCTTGCTAAACCCCTCCTTCAGAGCACTTTGACCTGGGTATATTTCCCTTTTCCTCTCAGTATATTTGTCTCTCCTGGCCTTCAGGATTTCATTTTCTTCCTAATGGACCATTCTGTCCTCTAAGATTCTATATGCTCTGCTAAGGAAAAATCTCTCTCCCTCCAGCTCAGTGATGTTTAGCCAAGAGCAATTTTGTCCCATAGAGGACAGCTGGCAATGTCTGGAGGCATTTTTGGTTGTCACAGATGGGGATGGGAGATGAGGATAGAATTGACGTCTACTGGGTAGAGGCCGGGGATGCTGCTAAATACCCCAGAATGCACAGGTTCGCTCCCACAGCGAAGAAGTATCCCCTCCAAAATGACAGCAGTGTTGAGACTGAGAAGCCCGGCTCTCATCAGTCTGTATTCCTTTACTGTTTTCAATCACTTCTGTCTTGATTGTAAGACTCTGAAGCATGTTTTTTTACTTATTGCAGTTCCTCCCTAATTCTTATATTTGCAAATATGATTCCTGACACAAGCCCTTGGTTTTGAAGTAATTTGGATTCTTCCTCTACTTCAACCCAAGAAAACCATCTAGTCTATACTAGAGGCCTTCATTCCTTTTCATCAGTTCATTAATAAAATATATTACTGTGTCCCTTTTGTGGGTGAAACTGGTTTGGATCTCTGAAATCTAAAGCCATGTCAGTGCCCAACTTGAAGTCACACAGGAACCCTTGAACTTACAAACAAGCCACATGTAATCAAGCTCAGTTTCTCCACTGTTTTTAATGGTCCTGGAGGACACTCAAAACAGCATTAATAAATAGATTTTGGTTCTGCTGATCTAATACATGTCCTGAAACTAAACCTGCTAAATGCGTTTTATAGTCCCAACCTGCAGATTTATTGGGAAACTGTACAAATAGCAGCAAAAAAGTGTTCCAACCTTGTAATACTAGAATGCTCTGTAGAATCATTCTCTGTATTGTCTCCACTTATTATGAAGACTTGTATGCATTTACTAAAGCCAATTTTTTAAGTTCTGTGTTTATAAATACCAGAGCAGTTAGCTGCTGTGAACTGCCAATATCAGAAATTCTTCATGACCTCACTGTCTAAAATTTATGACCTAAAGCCACTTGCTCTAGCCATGTCAGTTGTTTTGGTATCGTAATTCTACACCTAATATGTATCTCCAGATTCCAAACAGAGCACGAAATCTTGGGTTTTGAGGAGGTTTCCACGAATAATACCTTTCTGCTCCACCCAGATTTAGAACTGAGAGAAAAAGAGAGAGCCATAGTAGCGGGGTGGATCAGAATTTCAGGTTTATTACTAATAAAACTATTGGAGAACATGGCTTAGGAGCGAAGTCCAAATAGGCCTGCTCATGCTCTCTAGTTCCCACAACTCAATGTATACCCTGAGACAGGCTGGCTGAGGATAATTGGGCCCTACAAAGCAAATACCCTAACCCAGGGTTAAGAGGAGAGAGAGAAGGAAAGATAGTGACTAATGCATATCTCCTTTTAGTAGATTAGTTTCATCCAGTAGGGCAACGTGGGTCATGGGATGGCACCCCTAACCCACGAATTCAGGATGGAATTAGAAGCCTGGAGCATTATGCTAGGAGAGCTTCCTCCACAAGGAAACATGAAGTGTGTGTGATGTTTGTTCCCCTCCCCCGTCAACTACATGACTGGCCTCTGTTATTTGTCTGATACTGGTTCTACTGTTTGTAAGCACAAGATTACAATGTACATTGTTCTTTTGATACATACGTTCTCTCTTTTAGGTCCTTCTGTATGATCCACTCTTTGACTGGACCATGAATCCTTTGAAAGCTTTGTATTTACAGCAGAGGCCAGAGGATGAAACTGAGCTTCACTCTACTTTGAATGCAGATGACCAAGAATGCAAACGAAACCTCAGGTGAGCAGTATCTTACAATCTCAGGTGAACAATTTTTCAGTTGTTCAGATTTTCTTATTCCCAAGTTCCCTAGACTGTTCATGTCACTGAAACCTTTGTGTTTTTATCATTAGTGATACTGACCAGAGTTTCAACAAAGTAGCTGAACGTGTGTTAATGAGACTCCAGGAGAAACTGAAAGGAGTGGAAGAAGGCACTGTGCTCAGTGTTGGCGGGCAAGTGAACCTGCTCATCCAGCAGGCCATGGACCCCAAAAATCTCAGCCGACTTTTCCCAGGATGGAAAGCGTGGGTGTGATCTTGAGCATATGAATTACCCTTGCATTCAGCCTCTAGAAATTATAGTTTAGTCTTTATTTTTATCCTGCCAACATACTTTAAGTAGGGATTAATATTTAACTAAGTGAACTATTATGGGTTTTTTTTGAATGTTGGTTTTAATAATTGATTTAATCACCACACAAAAATGTTTTGATGGTCTTAAGAAACATCTCTGCTCTTACTCTTTAGAAATAATGCTTATTCATGTTTCATTTCTAGGCTAAATGTTTATTTCTTCTTCTCATATGCATACTTGTGTCATTTTCAGTAGAATCACTGACTTATACAATGCAATAGCTGAAAACAATGGAAGCAGCAAGAGTGATGATTTTTCCTTTAGTGTGAATTATAACAAATATACTGCTTAAATGCCAGTTTCAACCAGGAGTTCAAGACTAGCCTGGTCAACATGATGAAACCCCATCTGTACTAAAAATACAAAAATTAGCTAGGTGTGGTGTTGGGTGCCTGTAATCCCAGCTACTCAGGAGTCTGAGGCAGGAGATTCTCTTGAACCTGGGAAGTGGAGGTTGCTGTGAGCCAAGATCATGCCATTGCACTCCAGCCTGGGTGATAAGAGCAAAACTCTGTCTCAAAAACAAAAAATGTATTTGGATTTTTCCTAGCAAGATCACTTACAGTATTACTAAATAATGAAGTTGTTATGGAGAACACAGTGTAGTTACTATATTTTTCAGTGTATAGCGACCCTTCTCATTCTATTCCCTTGATCTTTTAAACCCTTCTGTACTGTTCATGTACATTCTCTTCCTGTGATACCTTCATATATTGCCTTCTAGTTCATGAATTATCGTCAGCTGTATATAATCTCTCTTACCCTATCCATTGGGTTTCTTCTTTCAGAAATTGTTTTTCATTTCTAAGTATGCATCATTTTTCAGATCTTTGTTTCTTGATGTCATTTTTTAATGTTTTTAACATTTTCATGTCACTAATTTAAATGTCTGTACTTGATACTCACTCTAACAGTTATATTAAATTAAGTTCCTGCTGTTTATTTCTGTTGAGTTTTATATTTGATAGGCTGTTTATCCATTTTGTCTTTTTGAAAAGTGAGCTTATTTTCAGCAAGGCTTTATCTGTGGAAACCTTGAGGGTCTGTTTATGCCATATTCCCAGGGCTGTTGCTGACACAAGGCCACTTTTATTTAAATTTCTTGGCTTTAGGGTGTCTACATCTGAAGCATAGCATACTGATAGATTCCCCAAACCAAGGCAGAGACACTTCCTCCCATTCTCCCTGTCCTAGTGGGCAGAATATCTGATTGATGCCTTTTTCAGTGAGCCTATAAGCCTCCCATGTGTCCTACCTTTGTGGCAGGGGTGGAAGGAGGCACATTTAATTCCCACTGCCTGCCTGCCTCTTGCAAGCCCAGGGTTCTTTAGTCCCCATAAAGATGACAAAGCTAAAAGCCATAGGTTAATGAAATTGGCAAATTGTTCCAGGACAGCTGTGGCATCAGCTCACATATTTACTGCTCTGGTTTTTCATTCCCCTCATTTTTGACCATAAGGTTTTCCGCTTACTTTCTTCTAAGTTCTGCTCTGCCAAATAATGTTTTCTATATTTTATTCAGCATTTCTGTGTGTTTTGTTGGAAGGGAAGGACTTAGGTATCTAGTTTGACAGACAGGAAGAAATGGAACATTTTTCCATCCCCCAGCTATAATCATATCAGATAAACATCAGATAAAAAGCCACCTGAAAGTAAAACTACTGACTCATGTATTAGTGAGTATAATCTCTTCTCCATCCTTAAGAAAATGTTATCCCAGCTGCAGAGATTAACAAATGGGTGGCTGAGCTTTCTCCTTATATTTGGACCTTGAAGGTTATATAGATTTTTTTCATAGGAAGAGTTGGTATTTCTTTTTACTGCAAATGGCAAGCACTCACTCATATTTGATCTCCTCATCTTCTGCTCCCCTAAAACCAATCTCCAGAACTTTTTGGACTATAAATTTCTTGATTTCTCGAGAACTGTTCAGAATATTATTTTGCATTTCAAATTACAAACTTATCTTTGTGTATCTTTTTCCTTTAAGCTGCCTCAATGAGTATTTGTGTATATATTGGTAGTTTTATGACTACAGTAAATCAAGGAAATGCAGTAAACTTAGAATGTCTTTAAGGAAACCTTGAAATCTTCATGGGTGGAATTAGAAATTGTCAGCTATATTATAGTTAAATGAATTTGTAGCTAATTCTTGCTATTGATGCATCCGAAGAGTTTAGAATAGCATCATTAATCCACTCTTCAGCCTTGAAAGTATGCAATAAGGCTCCTGTTCTGTCTAAGTATTCTAATCAATGGCTTTGAAAAGTTCATCAAATTTGCATACAGATCACAAACCTATGAGAATAACTAATTCACAGATAACAGAATTAAGGTTATACAAGTTGGTGGGGTTTTTTTTTGGTTTTTTTTTTTTTGGTATTTTTAGTAGAGACAGGGTTGCTACTGCATTCTAGCCTGGGCGACAGAGTGACACTCTTGTCTCAAAAAAAAAAAAAAAAAAGATTTTGGCAAGCTGGAACACTTTCTGCAAATGACCAAGATAGAAAACTGCCAGGAACAAATGAGGAGTAGTTCAGATTTTAAAAACATTAATCACAGAATATTTGTTGTATGCCGTCACTGACATATGTGCAGCATCTCTGATCTTTACCTGCAAGATTAGTGATACCATCTCAATTTACTGCTGGAGAAGTAAGTGGTCCAGGGCAAGAAGGCAGTAAATTATAAGTAGCAGTATAATATGGACAGCATCTAACTTGAAAAGATTTCAGGGGAAAAGAATCGGGGGTTTGCCAGTCAATTGCTAAAAAGTTCAGTGAAAACCAAATGCTGAAGCTGTTAGAGAAGCTAATAAATTGTAGGCTGCCTGAACGGTTGTGTCCAGATTCAGGGAGATAAGAGCCCTCCCACCCCACTCTCCCCAAAGTGTCTACCTAATCAATGGGTTCACAAACTCTTGGTTACTATAGTATATGCCCAAAATGTATGCACTTAAGAAAAAGCAAAGAGGAAAAACTTTGGACATCTTAAAGATTAGAATAGACTAGTCTTTTAAAAAATAGAAAGCCAGTATATTGGTTTGAAACATAGAGATATGTCCCAATTTCAAGTATTTTAATTGCACCTTAATGAAACTATTTTCTATAATTTTAATACTATTGAATGTATTACTTTACTGTTACCTGAATCTATCATAAAATGTTTTTTGAATAAATAATTATAAAAGAAAGCATATACTAAGACTCATTCACTTTATTCATAGATTTGTGTGTTCTGTGTGCCAGGCCAGGCATGGGGCTCGTTCCTAAGGAGAAAGCAGTGAGCAAGGCGGGCATAGTCTGCCTATATAAAGCTCCCAGTCCTCTGAGGATAGGCAGCTGACCACACAGTGTAAACCAGGGAGCCTACTGTGCAACCAGGCTGATAACACTGCAGCTCAGTCTAAATATCCTAGTAGCGTTTCTTAATCGCCTTCTGACAAAAACGCAAATATGAATGTTCTTTCTTTGGGCCTAGAAAGTGATATAGTTGACATTTCTCCCCTCCCCTCCCCCCCAACCCCCCTCCCCTCCCCTCCCCTCCCCTCCACCCCTCCCCTCCCCTCCCCTCTCCTCTCCTCTCTTCTCCTCTCTCTTGCTCGCCAAAAAAAAAAAAAAAAAAAAAAAAAAACAACTTTGGGAGGCGAGACAAGCAAACACTCTCTGCTTGTACCAGGGGTAGAACGGTGTAGGCAGGCACAGCCAGGTGTTGGGCTTGCAAACCAGTGGGGTGGAGCGGGCACGCTCCCCCCTGCCCCCAGGCCTTTCGCTCCTTACAGGCCAAAATGGGAACTGGGGCTGCCCACAGTGGCCCGGCCTGCCTTCTTTGAATTGTGTGCTCTAATGTCCCCTCCCTAATAGCTTACCCTTCTAGGGCAGCTTTGTAAACTGGCCTGCAAAAATTGGACCTTTGCTGGAAATATCGGTACCCATCTCCTAAGCCTCACTGGCCTTGTCGGAGCTCGCTGCTACGATTACCACCCAACCCAATAGCTCCTTCTGTTCCATGCCTCTATGGTGGTCACTGGAGGTCTTGCAGGCTGTGGCGTGAGTCCATGATGCTGTTAGGTCGTGACTGGAATCCAGTACATGGAAGGCCCTCTGATAAGACAGATCACACATCTTGGGCACATGAAATTTTGGGGTACTGACCGAAAGACGTTTCATTTCAGTACCCATTTTACCTGGGGGATGCCTCAGGTCGAAGCGGTTGTAATTTTTTTAACTGGGGATTCGGGCATCCCTTGTGTTCAATTTCAATTCCCAAGCTCAAGTCCCTATTAAAATGTATACTGGAAAATTGGGACCAATTTGACACATAACTTTTGAAGAAAAAGCAGCTCATCTTTCTCACTCTTTCGAACAGAGTGGCCGAAATACCCCCTGCTAAAGTGGAAAAACCTGGCCTCCAAAGGGAAGTATAGATGATGACCCTATTCCACAATTAGACCTGTACTGTAAAAGCGAGAGTAAATGGTTTGAGCTCTCCAATGTGCAACTTTTCTTTTCCCTAAGGAATAAGCCTCATCTCTGTTGGGCCAGTGCTCCGTACCCTATTCAGCCCTCCTCAAGACTACTTCCACATGTGGGAATCTCTGTGGCAACTACCTCCACCAATGCCAACCAGGGCTCCTCAGCTCCTGTAGGAGCCAGGGAGAGCCAAGATAAGGACATCTCAGGCTACCCAGATGCCCAAACTCTGCCCCCTACAGGCAGTGGTAGGAGAATTTGGCCCAACTAAGGTGTACACCCCCTTCTCACTTTCTGACTTAAAGCAAATTAAGGTGGACTTAGGAAAGTTTTCAGATGACCCAGACAAGTACATAGATGTGCTGCAGGGCCTGGGTCAGTCCTTCAAATTAGACTGGAAGGATGTCATGCTATTGCTTAATCAAACCCTAACCAGCAATGAAAAAGAGGCTGCTCTAGCAACGATTCAAGAGTTTGGGGACACTTGGTACCTTAGTCAGGTACACAACCTAATAATGCCCGAGGAATAGGATAGATAACCCACAGGTACACAGGCAGTCCCTGGCACAGACCCTAACTGTGATCCAGATTCAGAATAGGGTGACTGGAGCCGTAAGCATTTCCTGACCTGTATACTTGAGGGATTGAGGCAAATTAGGAAGAAGCCCATGAACTATGCAACGTTATCCACCGTAACTCAAGGAAGGGAAGAAAACCCAACAGCTTTCCTTGAGTGATTGCAAGAGGCTTTAAGAAAGTACACTCCCCTGTCACCACACTATTTTGAGGGTCAGTTAATACTAAAGGACAAGTTTATTACTCAGTCAGCAGTAGATATCAGGAGGAAGCTTCTGAAGCTGGCCTTGGGACCAGAACATAGTCTAGAATCATTGCTGAACCAGGCAACCTCGGTGTTTCATAACAGAGACCAGGAGAAACAGGCTGAAAGGATCAGGAGAGATCAGCAAAAGGCTGCAGCCTTAGTTATGGCCTTCAGGCAAGCAGACCCCAGAGGCTCAAATGAGGGAAAGGCTCAGATTAGCCGCCAGGCTGGCAAAGCTTGTTACCAGTGCTGTCTGAAGGGACATGTTATACGAAACCGTCCCCAGAGGACTGGACCACCACCAATGCCCGCTGTGCCAAGGGAATCACTGGAAAACACACTGTCCCAGGGGTCGAAGGTTCTCAGGGCCTGAGGTGTCTAAGCAGATGACCCAATGGCAGGACTGAAGGTGCCTGGGACAAGCACCAGCTCGAATCATCACCCTCAACGAGCCCAGGGTAACAGTGACCGGAGAGAGCCAGGAAGTTGATCTCCTCCTGGGCAGTGGTGTCGCCTTCTCTTTTTCACTCTCCTGCCCTGGACAGATGTCCTCTAAGTCTGTAACTGTCCAGGAGTCCTAGGAAGAGCAGTCTCTCGATATTTCTCCCAGCCCCGAAGCTGTAACGGGGGAGATATACTTTTCTCCCATGCCTTCCTCACTGTGCCAAAAAGTCCCACTCCCTTACTAGGATGGGACCTGCTGGCCAGAGCAGGAGCCATTATCTATATGAACCTGATTAGGGAGGAAATCCCTCTCTGCTGCCCATTATTTCAAGAGGGGATTAATCCTGAAGTTTGGGCAAAGGACGGACAATTTGGACAGACAAAGAATGCATGCCCAATTCAAATAAGGCTAAAGGATTCTACCTGTTTTCCTTACCAAAGACAGTACCCTCTAAGACCAGAAGCCAGAAAGGGACTACAGGATATTGTAAGGGACCTAAAAGCTCAAGTCCTGTAACAGTCCTTGTAATACCCCAATTTTAGGAGTGCAGAAACCTAATGGACAATGGAGGCTGCTGCAGGATCTCAGACTTATTAATGAAGCTGTGATTCCTTTATACTCAGCTGTACCGAATCCTAAGGCACAATTGTTTACAGTTCTGGACCTTAGAGATACCTTTTTCTGTGTACCACTAATCCTGATTCTATTTGCCTTTGAAGACCCTTTAGACCAGAGTTCTCAGCTTACCTGGACAGTATCACCTCAGGGCTTTAGAAACAGCCCCCACCTGTTCAGCCAGGCTCTAGCTCAGGACCTTAGTAGTTTCTTACATCCAGGTACTCAGGTTCTTCAATATCTGGATAACTTACTTTTAGCTGAAAGCTCAGAAAGCCAGTGTCGGCAGGCCACTCAGGACCTCCTAAACTTCCTTGCCGACTGTGGATATGAAGTTTCCAAACCGTAGGCCCAGCTTTGTAGGCAGGAGGTAAAATACCTAGGGCTGGTCTTGTCTAAGGGCACTGGGGCCCTAGATAAGGGACAGCTTCAACCATGCTCGGCTTCCCCCATCCCAAGACCTTAAAACAGTTACAGGGATTCTTGGGAATAACTGGTTTTTGCCGATTACGGATTCCCAGATATGGTGAAATAGCAAAACCTCTGTGCACTCTAATTAAGGAAACCCAAAAAGCTAATACCCATTTAGTACTCTGGGACCCGACAGCAGAGCAGGCACTACTGCAGACTCCAGCTCTAAGCCTTCCTACAGGAAACTTCTCCCTATATGTTACAGAGGAGTCAGGAGTGGCCCTGGGAGTTCTCACCCAGACTCGGGGAGCCACCCCACAACCAGTGGCATACCTAAGTAAGGAAATTAATGCAGTAGCAAAAGGCTGGCCACACTGCTTATGAGTCGTAGCTGCAGTGGCTATGCTGGTCTCAGAGGCAGTTAAAATAGTGCAAGAAAAATATCTAACTGTATGGACTTCACATGATGTAGCTGAAATTCTGGGCTCTAAAGGAGGCTTACGGCTGTCTGACAATCGTTTCCTCAAATATCAGGCCTTAATGCTCAAAGGGCCTGTACTTCAGCTGCATACATGTGCAGCCCTCAACCCAGCTACTTTCCTCCCTGAGACAGCAGCAGACGCAGAGCATGATTGTCAGCAGATTACAGCTCAGAACTATGCCGCTTAAGAGTGTGATATAGCCGGCCTAGAGTTAGAACCTGTACAATGCCATTTTATAAAGAACAAAGCTGTTTCCATTCTCCTCACAATGACTGCTAACCTTGGCTTCTATACACTGCTAGATCATTTGCAGGATGCAAATTGAGGTAAAGCTGCATACCTTCTCTTATCTGTAAATGCCAGAATTGCTGGCCTTTGTTTACCAGAGTAAGCACCCCCAGATAACTCCATCTGGCGCCAAGTAAATAAAAATCTACGGATCCCACCCCTACCCAGACGGTGTGTAAACGAATGTTAATCTCAGCATCTGTGAACCCCTTAAATAACAATCAGAATGTCAAATAGTCCCCTGGCCCTCGAAATGTCCGGAACCCCCTCACCCTCATCTCCGCCCAGAAGGTGATTTGAATCCACTGGCCTTCGGAATGTCTGAAGCCCCTCACCCCATCCTCTCCCCTCACCCCCAAGGTGATTTTATCGGTATAAAAAGGTCTTGTCACCCTTCTTTCTCTGCCACGGGTTGGAGAGACGTGAGTCCTCCGTGGTCGCTGGCAATAAACCCTGCAATTTGGCATACTTTTGTTCTGGTGTTGACTTTCTGTGCTCAGTCCGATATAACAAGAGGACCTCTTAGATACTCCTCTAGCCAACTGTGACCTTAACCTTTACAATGATGTAAGTTCCTCTGTGGAAAATGGAGTTCAAAAAGCAGGATATGCAGTACTCAGTGATCAAACAGTGCTTGAAAGCAATTCCCTTTCACCTGGTGTTAGTGCCCAGCTGGCAGAACTGATAGCCCTCACCCAAGCTCTAAAATTAGGAAAAGGAAAGAAAGTCAACATATACACAGATTCCAGATACGCTTACCTGGTTTTGCATGCCCATGCTGCTATATGGAAGAAAAGAGAGTCCCTAACCTCAGCAGGAACTCCCATTAAATACCACAAGAAAATTTTAGACTTATTACAAGCTGTCCAAGAACCAAAAGAGGCAGCAGCCTTACACTGTCGGGATCACCAGAAAGGAGATGAGAAGGCAGCCGAGGGCAATCGCCAGGCTGACCTAGAGGCCAAAGGGCAGCTAGACAAGCATTTATGAAAGGACCTTTCATATGGAAGATCCCACTCCAGGGAACTAGACCTCAAAACTCATCAGAAGAGGTAGAGTGGGCAATCTCCCAGGGACACAATCTTCTTCCCTCAGGAGGGTTAGCCACTGAGGAGCGAAAGGTGCTTCTACCTGCTGCCAGCTTAAAGCTCTGCATCAAACCTTCCATATGGGTTTAGAGAATACACATCAGATGGCCAAATCTATATTTACAGACAAAGGTCTCTTCAGGGCTGGCCAACAAATAGTCAAAGGATGTAAAGTATGTCAAAAAAAAATAATCCTTTGGCACATTGCAAAGCTCCCCCTGAGGAACAACGAGCTGGACATTACCCAGGTGGGGACTGGCAAAGGGACTTTACCCATATGCCTAATTCTCGTGGATATCAATATCTGCTAGTATGTGTGGTACTTACACAAACTGGGTTGAGGCTTTCCCCTGTAAAACAGAGAAAGTCCAAGAAGTAATAAAAGTCCTAATTAATGAAATAATCCTAGATTTGGACTCCCTTGCTGTCTTCAAAGCGATGAGTCCTGCCTTAAAGCTGCAGTGACCCAAGAAATTTCCAACGCTCTGGGATACAGTATCATCTCCACTGCTTGGAGGCCTCAGTCCTCAGGGAAAGTATCAAAGATAAATGAAATTCTTAGGAGACACCTAAAGAAACCGGCACAGGAAAGCCAAGGTGGCCTTCTCTAATACCAATAGCACTCTTAAGAGCTCGAAACTCTTTTCAGAAAACAGGACTCAGTCCCTGTGAGATGCTCTATGGACGGCCCTTTCTTACTAATGATCTTGTATTAGACAAAACAACAGCAGAGCTAATAAAACATAGAACCTCCGCGGCTAAGGACCAACAGGTTCTCAAGACTTTGCCTGAAGGGCATCCCAGGGAAAAAGGGAAAGCGCTGTTCTGCCCTGGAGACTTGGTGCTTGTTAAATCTCTCCCCTCATACGCTCCCTCTCTAGGCTCATCTTGGGAAGGACCATTTTTGGTTATTCTGTCTACCCCAACGGCAGTTGAGGTGGTGGGGATTGACTCACGAATTCATCACACTCAGCTGAAGCCTTGGATACCTCCTGAGGAAAGTCATAGACCCTCCACTCCACAGCCTGAAGTTCAAGGAGATATTCCTTTGTACACCTACGAGCCATTAGAAGATCTACTGCTTTTCCAACAAGATCTTCAGAGGCGTAACCCCTTATAAGTCTAATTTTTCCTGGCATTAACAGAACCAGAACCCTCAACTTTGCTATTCCTCAAATAATAAAAACTTTGGTGCTGTTATTAGAAAAGCTACTACCTCTATTCAGATTCAGTCAGTCATCTCAGGAGCTAATTAATAACAAAAAACGTTGCTAATTCTCTTTGCAAAAAGCAGCTCTCTCTGCAAACCAACTTAACTCTTTAGCTGCTGTAGGTTTAAAAATAAAAGGGCCCCGAATCTGCTAACAACAGAGAGGGAAACTTGTTTCTTTCTAGGAAAAATGCTGCTATTTTGTAAACCAGTTAAGTGTTGTTTTGAATATAGAACTCAGGAATCAATCAAACACAGGGCTAGAGACCTTCAAGAACCTGGCTCGGTTCTCTCCTAGGCTCGTTTATAACCATTCTATATTTGTTGGCCTCTGGGCCTCTCATCTTTAACCACCTTGTCATATTCATTTCTTGTAGAAAAGTCACAATTAAAAAGTCGTAAGGTCACAATTAATCCTGCCACTAGAACCCCAGATGTCCTTGACTCATGAGCTCTATTGTGGACCTGTAGATCAACCTGCACCCCTGAAAGGCTCCCCTCTGGAGGAAACCTCAACTGCAGGGCCCCTTCTATGCCCCATTTCGGCAGGAAGTAAAGAGGATCAACGCCCCTATTCCAACCAAAGTTGAATTTTCCTGTTCAGAGGGGGGAACGAGAGAATGTGTTCTCTTTCCAGGTCCACAAGGGGGCGTAGTTTTAAGGGCAAGAATTTCCCAGCGCCATGCCCCCCTGCCATCTCTCTCCATCTGGGAGATTTAATGGTTTATGTTTGAATTTCATGGGCATGGGAAGAAACTAAAAGTCAATCACTCCAGCGGAAGTTCAAAGGAACTCCTTTCAATGGCCCAGGGTCTTGGAGAAAGTGGGGGCTCCTCCCAGGATAAAAGTCCATATCCACACACCTTGCCAGAATTCCCCTCTGGAATCCCCTTCCACACTCTTCATAGAAGTCTTTCTCTTCTTCTCCTTTTCTTCTTTTCTCTACCTAAATAAAATCATCTTTCTGCAACACTTCTTGGATCCAATATTTACTTTTACGAGTGTACGGCGCACCTGCAGTGGTCCCATCGCTTACTCTTAAGAAATCGGAGACCAAGAACCCACAGCATTCTCACAGGGGAGCCGTGCCTCACCAACACCCAAGAAAAAACCCGGTTACAATCCCATACTGGGACAGAAACATACAGGAGAGAAGTGGTCATGATCTTGCTTACAGTTCTTGCCATAAGTGTGTTCACGGCTGGCATACTAGTAATGGTGAGTCACTTAAAAAAAAAAAAAAGAAAGTAAACACACAGAATAACATTTACCATTTTAAGTATATAGTTCAGTAGTAATAAAATGCATTTCCAGTATTATGCAACCAACCTCAAGCACTCCTTTAACCTTACCAAACTAAAATTCTATACCCATTCAACAACTCCCCCTTCCTGCCTTCATCCAGCCTCTGGGCGCCACTGTTCCACTTTGTGTCTCTGAATTTGACATTCAAGGTACTGTACCTTATATAAGCAGGATCATGCAGTATTTGTCTCTTTGTGACTAGCTTATGTCACTTAGCATAATGTCCTCAAGGTTTGTCTGTATTATAATGTATTGCAGAATTTCCTTCCTTTTTAAGGCTGAATAATATTCCACTGTGTGTGTGTATATACCGTATATATGTATTTTGTTTATCTATTCATTCATCCATGGATACTAGAGTTGTCTCTACCTTTTGACTATTGTGAATAATGTATGTCACTATTTACATGGGTATAAAAATATGTCTTCAGAACTCTGCTTTTTTACCTGGAAATGGAATTGTTGGATCATATGGTCATTCTATTTTTAACTTTTTAAGGAACCACCATACTGTTTTCCACAATGGCTGACCCATTTTACAACTCCACCATCAGTGCACAAGGGTTCCAATTTCTCAATATCCTTATCAACACTTGTTATTTTCTGTTTTTATGTTTAGCAGTCATAATGGGTGCAGGTGACTCTTACAAGTAGAAACATTGTATATTTTACACAAATTCCATAAATAGTATTCTAAGAAATAAGTTTTAGAAACAAAAAATGTCCTTCAATTGACAGTGTCAAAACCTGATTCTGTGTAGTTGTTAACCTTGTTAGGAGATCATAATGTTAGGTCATTTAAAAACTACCCAAAATATTCCCTAGAGCATGAATATTCAATATAAACTTCTCTTTTTAACCGCACAACCTCATGGAAACTGAACAACTTGCTCCTGAATGACTACTGAATCAATAATGAAATGAAGGCAGAAATATAGATATTCTAAACCAGTAAGAATGAAGACACAACGTACCAGAATCTCTGGGACACATTTAAAGCAGCGTCTAGAGGGAAATTTATAGCACTAAACATCAACAGCTACCTGAGACTGGGTAATCTATAAAGAAAAGAGGTTTCATTGGCTCAGGTTTCATAGGCTGCACAGGGAGAATGGCTAAGGAGGCCACGGGAAACGTATGATCATGGCAGAAGATGGGGGGAAGGAGGCATGTCCTACTTGGCTGGAGCAGGAGGAAGAGGGCAAAGGGGATGTGCTACACACTTTTAAAACAACCCGATCTCGTGAGAAATCACTATCACAAGAACAGCAAGTGGGAAATCCACTCCCATGATGCAATCACCTTCAGGCTTCTCCTCCAACACTGGGGATTACAATTACATGAGATTTGGGCAGGGACAGAAATCCAAACCATATCAAACATGAAGGATATTGTAACTATATTTAAAAGTTTGGATTTAACCTGGCTGCCATGAGATAGCATTGAAGTATTTTAAGTGAAGGAAATTAAATACGTTTTTATTTAGAAAGATCACTTTGGCTGTGGTGTAGAAAACAAGACCTGAGTTAAAGAAACCAGTTAGCAAAAGATGATGGTGGTATGGTCTATGTTTGTGACAGCACAGACGAAGTACATGAATTCAGAAGGTATTTGTGTGGTGATATTAATATGTGAAGTAACAAAAGATTGGACTGCCATGTCATCTTCACACAAATATTTTACCCGGTTTGAAGTGTTACAAGTAATTTCAATGATATAGGAAATCGAGGCTCAGACAAAGCAGAGAAAAGTCTGGGACAGCAAGGGTGGGCTGTGGAGCTTCAGCCAAATGAACCTGCATTATCTGGCCTAGAATAACAGATTAGGTCTCCAGTTAAGGTTTTATGGGTTTGCATTACACAGAGCAGGGACGTTTAAATCATAAAACATCTCAATTTGATACCCCAGGGAATTGTATAGGTTACATAACATTCTTCAGGAAGCCATCCCTCAGAAATCCATAGCTCCTGGGTTTATCTGAGTGACCCTTACTCAGGGTCAGCCTACTAAGACTTCTACATGAGGACAAATAACATTAGTCTGGACCTAGAGATTCCCTTGACAAGGAGAAGGGAACACAGGCCAGCTGCTTTACTTTCTTACTCCTCAAGCAGGACTTGGTAATAAATGTTATATGGAATGTCTTGGAGAGTGAAGAGTCATGGATGTAACCTCTCAAAAAGGGGCAATATTTGACAGATTTCATGGGGGAAGGTTATTTGCTGTGAATAATCAGATCTAGCAGGCAAAGCAGATACCCATTACATGAGACATTTGGGAATTATCTCCAGCAGATTGGAAAAGAACAATAAGTTACACAGCAAGTAGCCCTGATCTCCATATCACCTAATTCAGTTGCACAAATGCTTCTCTCTCAGCCCACACTGATGATACTGACTATGGTACACCTATGGTATGACACTCAAGGCAGAGATGTTCCCTATGAACTTGGGCCTTGTTCATGAATGAGTTGGCTCAAGCTAAAACTGGATTGATCCCTCACTACAGCCCCACTTAAGTATAGCCCTAAAGAACACTGGTAAGGGAAAATCCTAGCGGGCAAAGTTTTGAGCACTAGACTTCGTCATTCACTTCTTATTGAGAGAGAAGCAGCCTTAAGTAGAGATGCACATGGATTCCTGGGCAGTGGCAAATAGTCAGGTACTTACTTAAAAAAGGCAAAATCAGATCAGAGACAAGGAAATCTGGGAAGTGTCATAAGGATTGACTTACAAGGTGTGGACCTTCACATATCACTTTACCAGAGCCTACCAGAGAGCATCCACTTCAGAAGAGACAATGAACAACCAGAAGACTAAGGTGACTTTGGCACTGAAGGCCAGCCAACATGCTCTTGGCCACCCTGGTGCTTATGCAATTAGCTCATCAACAGAAGAGTCACGATGGCAAGGATGGAAGCCAAGGGCCCCAAATCACAGGTCTTTTCTCACAAAAACTAGCTACTTCCACTGCTGAATGACACTGGGCCTTGATATGGCACCATCATTTGAAAAGACAAACCCGTTGTTTGGTGACACCATGATTATATCAGACCCATTCTGGTTTGGACACTGCAGTAATTTATTCTTAACAGGGATTGCTACTTGGTCCAGGCATGGATTTACCTTTCTTGCCCATGATGGCCCTACCAGAACCACTACCTAAGGACCTATGAAATGCATGATTTTATAGGTCCTTAGGTATATTATGGGACCCCATTATGGGCTTTCTGATCAGGGGACCAATTTTATAGTAAAGGGATTTGAAAAGTGAGTATATGACCATGGAAAACACTAGTCCTATCATATGCCACACGATCTAGAAACTATTAGAATGCTAAGTTGGCCTGTGAAGGAGTAACCTAAGGTTCTAGCTTGAGTATGACATGCAGCTAGGTTGGAGCATTTTCCTCCAGGACATGATATACACATTGAACCAATGACCATTATACGGTGCTGTCCAAATAGCTTAAAAACATGGGTCCAAGAACCAAGGGATGGAATAAGATTGGCTGACTACAGTATACCTATGGTACGTCACTCAACAGAAGGTAGGTACAGTATACCTATGGTATGCAGAGATGTGATCCCTTGGGAATTTGCACTTCTCGTTCCTTCAAGTTGGGGCTCAGCAGGACTGAGGCCTGTATCCTCCTTATATCCAGTGAGGGAGGGAATGGTTCCCCTGGAGATCACAATAAGAATAAGGAGACTTATTCTTATTCCACTGAACCTAGAGGTATAATTGCTGCATGGTAATGTTTAGCTCCTCATGCTGGTAGATAAATATCTGGTTTCTCTGTCCATTAGTGGGAAAATTCTGAAGTGCATTCTATATGGTTCCTCAGAGCATTCCTAGCAAACTGAGACCTGTATACCCACAACAATAACCCATTCTTAACACAAAATTTTTTTGGCTTTCCTCCCTTCCCTGTGTCACTTTCTCTTTTAATTTGTGATTTCTGAGATCATCTCCTAAATAAACTACCTGTACCAATATCTTCTGGTTTGTTTTGAAAGGAAAGACTAAGATTGTTCCTTTTCTCTTTGCAGTAATTTTAAATATATTCACAAATTATTTGATAGTCTTCCTTTTAAGAGATAAAGCTTAATAAAGATAATAGCTACTCTCCATGAGTGTAGGCTGGACTTAATGCATTTCTAATTAATAGAATAAGGCAGAAGTGATGGTGTGCGGCCTCAGACTAGGTCCCTCTCTCTCTCTGTCTCTCTCTCTCTCTCTCTCTCTCTCTCTCTCTGTCTCTCTCTCTCTCTCTCAGGTTGCTTGCTCAGCCATGTTATGAGACCACTCAAACTAACCTATGGGGAGGTCTATGTATCAAGGAATTGAGGCCTCCTGCCAACAACCATCAAAGTGTGCCATCTTGGAGGCAGATTCTCCCAGCCCAGTCAAGCTTTCAGATGACTGCAACCCAGGTCAAAATCTTTATTGCAACTTCCTGACAGACTTTAAGCCAGAGCCACCCAGCTAAAGCACTCCCAGTTTCCTGCCCCTCAGAAACTGTCTGAGATAATAACTGTTTGCTGCCTTAAGCTGCTACATCTTGAGACAACTTATTATGCAGTGACAGAAAACGAATTCACTGCTCTGACCCGGAAGCAAGGGAATGTGAATCCAAAAAGTTGTATTGCATGCAGAGTAGTGAAGGCAAATTGTAGGCCCCAAAATACTGAGATTATGGGAATGATCTAGAAAGGAAAATGGAAAAAGAAAAGGGCAACATTGATGAAAGCAAGTAAAGAGAAATACGTAAACAAGGAAAGATAAAGAACATTATAAAAGAAGGAAAGAAATAACTATGACATAAAATAGGCAGTAAGTGTGAGAGAAACTGAGAATTGCAAAGACAGCTAGGATGAGTAAGCAGGCAGAGAAGCAAGAAGAGGAAAGAAGGTTCAGTGAAGAAAAAAATGGAGTGATGAGAGGATGTAAGTGAGAAAGGGAGGAAGAAGCAAGGCACATTTGCACATGGGTTAAAGGGGCCGGGAGTTCTACCTTACATGAATACACTAAACATCTCAAACACTCAAAATAATCAGTTTGATGTTTCTGCACCTAAATATAGTATCTTTACTTAAGTGTGACTGTTAGAATACTACAGTTTCTCAGAATACTAGGAATAATTTCTTTATTTGTCACGGCCATTGTATGCAGTCCAATGTTCTATTTCTGCTCAACCTTCCTTACTTAACTGAGCTGGATTCTGTGCCCAGAATAGATACACAAGTCATTCCAGTCAGAATATATTATCTCTTGGCTGTTACTGATGGATGCAGGGTGCAAAGGCCTATAGCTGAGAAGAAATAAAGTACTTTATAGTCCATAAGTAGAATCAGGCGTTAATCTAGTTACATTTGGTTCTCGATAAACATTTTCATAGTAAGTATCATCTGGTGTTCCCATTTGCATCTCTGATACATCTCCTCCACAGTCATATATGTTTTGCTGTGTTTGATCAAACCTGAATCCTAAAGATAAATGACAAATGATTAGAAATATTCCAGATGAAATAAGATGCTCATTCAAAATGCTACTATGTGCTGGTCTGTTCCACATTCCCTTTCATCACTCTTAAAGGAAGTATCTTCATCTGAAACCAGAAATGTCCCAAATTTCTGAGTTCATCCCAGTTTCACTCCCACATATCACTGTCCATCCCTACAAAAGGCTCTGCAGGACCTGGGTTTTAGGTCTGATCTATTAATAACTAGCTGTGTTATTTGATACAAATTATTTAACCTAAGTCTTAGTGTTCTCATCTGTAAAATGAGGATAATAACCGCACCTACATCATCATATTCCTGCAAGAATTAAATGTGACAGTATATGTAAAGAACTTAGCAGAGCGTCCGGCATTAGGTTAGTGCTCTGTAATTAACTATTAGCTAACTTCTTCATTCACAAGGAAGAGATGCCCTTTTCCTCTCCAGAGCTCACGTTTCTAAATCTGCTCTGGATTTATCTTGCTTCTTGAAGAAGTGACATACATTCTCCTCTTCTCCAATGCCAACATCTTCAGTGTGTCACTTCACTGTCTTCAGTTATGCATATATCCACTACTTAAAATAATCTTCACTTGCCCTTATGCTCCTTCCAACTACTATCCTGTATCTTTCCTTTTTTTTGACAGTAATTGCTCTTAACTCAGTCATTTATATTGTTTCCTTTTTTTTTTTTTTTTTGAGACAGGGTCTCACTCTGTTGCCCAGGCTGGAGTGCAGTAGCACGATCGCACAGCCTCCACCTCCTGAGCTCAAATGATTCTCCCGCCTCAGTTTCCCAAGTAGCGGTCTACAGGTGCATGCCACCATGCCCTGCAGACATTTTATTTTTTATAGAGTGAGAGTCTCTCTAAGTTGCCCAGGCTGGTCTTGAACTCTTGGCCTCAAGTGATCCTCCAAACTTGGCCTCCCAAAGTGCTGAGATTATAGGCATAAACCACTGCACTGGTCTGTGTGCCAATTTAAATTTGTAAAAGATCACTATCTATTGTGCAGAGTAGGGAACGAAGAAGCATTGGTGTGGAGGCTACTGCAGAAGCCTGCAGAGAAGCAAAGGCAACTTGGGCTGAGTGGGTGGCAATGAGCTGGAAATAGGAGGATCGGTTAATGCTAATGATAGCTCATATTTATGGAGTATGCATTATGAGATAGGCACTATTCTAAGCTCTGTGCATGTATTATCTCTTATTATCTCACAACCTATGTGCCAGGTACTACTGTTATTCTTACTTTGCTGATAAGAAAATTGAGCTAGTAACTTGCCCAAGATCATATAGCCAGTAAAGAGTGGAGCCAGAAATCAAACCCAGGCAGTCTGAATCAAGACTCCACAATCCTTTGGGAGGCCAAGATGGGCGGCTCACTTGAGTCTGGAGTTCAAGACCAGCCTAGGCAACTTGGTGAAATGCCGCCTTGACAAAAATTAGCTGGGCATGGTGGTGTATGCCTATGGTCTCAGCTACTCAGGAGGCCGAGGTGGGAGACATGCTTGAGCCTGGGAGGTGGAGGCTGCAGTGAACTGAGATTCAGGCCACTGCACTCCAGCCTGGGCAAAAGAGTGAGACCCTGTCTCAAAACAAACAAACAAACAAACAAACAAACAAACAAACAAAAACCCTCCACAGTTCTAACCTCTCTGCTTACTACTTCTCCTATCTGCTAGTAGGACAGAATTTATACACTCAGGGTATGCAAGAACTGGGCTTTGGCTATGTTAAAATTACTGGGATTTCTGGGCTCTGATGACACTCTTCTTTAACATGATGGCTTTCACTTTCAGTGTTTCAGTACTGCTAACTACTGGCAGAACAATAGTGGCATAGAACCTAGAAACTATTTTCAACATTTTGAGGCATTTATTTTGCCAAGTGAAGTCTGCTCATGAAAAATCATTACTAAAACCATAAGTAACTTTTTTTTTTTTTGAGATGGAATCTCACTCTGTCACCCAGACTGGAGCATAGTAGGGCAATCTCGGCTCACTGCAACCTCAGCCTCCCTGTTCAAGTGATTCTCCTGTCCCAGCCTCCTAAGTATCTGGGACTACAGGTGTCTGCCACCACGTCCAACTAATTTTTGTATTTTTAGTAGAGTTGGGGTTTCTCCATGTTGGCTAGGCTGGTCTCAAACCCTGACCCTAAGTGATCCATCTGCCTCAGCCTCCTGAAGTGCTATAATTACAGGTGTGAGCCACTGTACCTGACCAGTAACTTTTAACAAAGGATTCATATTTTAAAAACCATTTTGGTCGGGCGCGGTGGCTCAAGCCTGTAATCCCAGCACTTTGGGAGGCCAAGACAGGTGGATCACGAGGTCAAGAGATCGAGACCATCCTGGTCAGCATGGTGAAACCCTGTCTCTACTAAAAATACAAAAAATTAGCTGGGCATGGTGGCATGTGCCTGTAATCCCAGATACTCAGGAGGCTGAGGCAGGAGAATTGCCTGAACCCAGGAGGCAGAGGTTGCGGTGAGCCGAGATCACGCCATTGCACTCCAGCCTGGGCAACAAGAGTGAAACTCCATCTCAAAAAAATTAAATAAATAAAAATAAAAAACCATTTTATTCAACCTTCTATTCCCAAATAACAATCTTACATACAAAGATAAAAATGACTTGACAAATGCATCTAAATTTATATACTGTGCAGATTACTGAAATGTTAAATGCCTAGAAATATGTATGTGGAATGTATTTTTTGTTCGTGAGAATTTCCCATAAACTACTGCTAAAAATTGCCTACCTTTGAAGTTAGCTGAAGAGTTGCTTGTAGCAATTTCCTTCCAGCTGGTAATGTACCTACGTACATTATATGAGCATTCATTAAATTAAATCAGTTCATTAGTACATACTTAGACTACTTCTAAAATTACACTTTCTTTTGAGAAATCTTAGATTAATAATGGCATCTTCACTAGCCTCCATGTTTAATTCTCATGATTTTCCTGCCTCCTCATAGCTCACATCCAGCTAAGAATCTCCAGGAGAAGGAGTTGAAGGAAGCATAAAAATGGTACCCATCATCACTAGCCTCCATGTTTAATTATTATGACTTTCCAACCTCCTAGTAGCTCACATCCAGCTAAGAACCTCCAGGACAAGGAGTTAAAGGAGGTATGAAAATGGTGCCCACCATCTGCCATACTTAGTGTCCTTTTGCCTCCCTGTAGCATGTCTCCTCATTTTATCCTATTTAATTCCTGCAGGATCTTGTCCTCATCTGAGTATTTTCTGAGATGTTAGTTAATAACGTTTCAATTAAAGCATGGACAGAAAACTGTCAGATGGAAAAGTCATGAGGAAACAGCAACAAAAACTTTCTCCTTGGTTCTGGATTGCCAGACCCACTGTCTCTGATATATGAAGGGAAATTTAAAGTGTCTACTTTCTGAGCTCATTAGAGCAGCAGCGCTGTCTCTGCAGTGTCCAGACCACATATGACATAACTGCAGGGATGGCAAATGTGGCTGTCACTTCAGCTCCCTGAACAGAGACTGAAATAGAGAGACCAGAGTTGCCTGAGAAGAGGAGGAATAGAGATGGACAAGGTATGATGTTCTGTGAGGATGAGGGAAAGCACCAAGAGGCATGTTTCCTAAGACTTATTCCACCTTAACCTCTGTATCCCACTTTTCCAAACCACCTGTACAACTACACCCACCTTAACCAAAAAATCAGGTCAGGATTTGGTCCCAATAGGTGCTGAAAGGAGCTGGCACAGAGAGGATGTGGAGAATTAGAATTGTCATGTAATTCAGAAAACACTGTGATTTTCTAATTATTTATTCCATTTGAATTATTTTTACCCCTGTCAACTCTATGCTCCTGAAGTTTTTTGTAGTAGGAAAGTATATACTTCCAACAGTATTTATTACTTATTTTTATAGAGACAAGGTCTAGCTCTGTCGCCCAGGCTGCAGTGCACTGGTGCCATAATGGCTCACTACAGTCTCAAACTCATGGGCTCAAGTGATCTGATCCTCCTGCCTCCGCCTCCTGAGTAGGTGTGACTACAGATGCATGCCGCCACACCTGGCTAACTTTTTAACGTTTTGTAGATGGGGTCTCGCTATTTTGCCCAGACTGGTCTTGAACTCCTGGGCTCAAGTGATCCACCTACCTTGGCCTCCCAAAGTGCTGGGATTACAGGCATGAGCCACTGCACCTGGCTTGTCCAACAGTATTTAATTACAATAAGATGTTGTGTCTGAATATGGCACCTTCTCACTACTGCTCCCTCTTGTTGCCTTGTGAACTTTCTTCAGTGGCCTTAAATAGGATACTGCTGGGTGACTTAAATGAAAGGGTTCAGGAGAAGAGCAAATGGTATAAAATCCTTCCACAGTCTCTCAGTAGGCAATTCAGTTTGGCTTGACCTTAAATTTTAGCAGACTTTGTGCTTTCAAGTGGTTGCTCAGGAGCACTATGAAGACTCACCCTGCTTGCTTGAATTTATATAAGGAAAGACTTTCATTCCACCTTCAAGGAAACAAGATAAGAGACCCTGATCGATAGTGTGCTAAGCCCTGACAATCTGGGGCACAAACATATGCCATAGTTAGGGCCCATTACTGTCCCTGCTTTATCTAAAATTAGCACATGAATTTTATTCCATTATTTTAAAAAAGAACTTCTCATAAAGAATACACCAGCAGTAACTGATAAGAAATCTAAGTTTTACAAATAAAAGCAAGTCTGATGATAGCATAACCAAGCTGTTTATATCACAGAGCTGACCTTTCTCACTAAGAAATTTGTAGATATTTTTAGATAATAATTACAAAATAAAATGTGTGTGGAATCTATAATGAATACCCATAAATTACAAATTTAACACTTTAAGAGCTCAGAAAAAGTCCCTAGCCAGAGAGGTCACAAAACTACATATCTTAGAAATCAAAGGTGCAGCTTCAGATATAGAAACTATCTGTAACAAACATAGGCACAGAGCTCTCACCAACAGAATATCAGGAAAGTATTTAATATTTCCTAGTTGCTGATTGCTTAATAGGCATGTCAAAGTTAACTTGGTGTTTGAAAAACATGATGATCCTGGAAGAGGAACATCTGAATATCCATTAGGATGAATGGCAGCAACAGCCACGGTAGCTGTCCTATGGAACTGTGCATAACTTCATGATGGTGGTGTGGGGATTGTTCTAGGTTGTAAACATCTGGAGCAACATAGCTCTGGATTCATTAGTGTGTTTGAATCCACAAGTGAAAATGGCTCTATACGTTCTTCCAAATGATAATAACAGTGTTCAGTTAATAGTTGCAGTATGCATCTGAAGATGCACATGGCTTCATCTCAGGAGAGCATCAGTAGTTGTAATGGACTAGCACAAAAGCCTTTGGGGAGAAACTGGTTGTTATCACTAAATAACAGTTTTCAAGGAATTTATGGCATTCTAATTGTCCAGTTATAGAAAAATCTCCATAGACCTTGAAGGATACTTTCCAAGGAATTGGGGATGACCAATTCTCTAGAGGGTACAAATGTCAGACTTTTAAATTTACATCAAACAAGGTATCACCAAGCCAGTTACAAAATATCTAGAGGTCTACAAAGGTCAACCAAGGAAGCAGACTGTGGAGATGATAAATGCACTGGGAAGAAGGGGCTTATGCCTAATTTGATCTTACTGAGATAATCAGTGCCGTGGCCAAGTAGTGCAACTGAGATATACCCAGATAACCACACTTGAAATTTCATCCAAAATTTGTATTGTTGAAGGCTCAGTGTAAAATCTTGCTAAGAGCCCATGTTGGTAAGAAATTATGATTATCCTCAACTTAGAAAATAAACTGATAGAAGTTATACATAACTTGAAAACAAGGTCTTTGCATTTTAAAAATGAAAATTTTCAGTTACTCTTATCATCTGAAAGCTAGGTATATCCATCTCATTCCATGTAGAGTATATGCTACAAAGAAATCACTTCACGTCTCACAGGTTTATTCTTCCCCCCTCCGCCCCCCCGCCCCACAACAAAGGGAAGCCATTAAGACTCTTCACCTACTATCACTTAGTGGAGAGGAGGGAAAGTCTTATGTACACTGAGATGCCTATTTTTTCTTTCCTTTGAACTCAATGGTTTTATTCTTTTTATATTCCAGTAATGATAGAATATAGAATATTTAGTATCAATTTTTTGTGCTTGTTTGCCGGCCCTTTGCTTGAACCAGCCAACTAGTTGTACAAGAGAAAGGCAGAGCAGGACTAGAAAATTCTCTATCTAGTCCTTGGAAACTAATTCAAAATTAGAGGTCCCTGACCTCTCTTTCCTTTTCTTCCCTCTCTTCTCCACCCAGCAATTTTTACTTAGGAAGAAACGTAAAAGCAAGGCATTGCAATGCCTTTGTTTGGCTGTCATTTCTTACATCATTATTACCATCTGCATTTGTTTAGTGTCCCAGAAACTACAGTGCTGTCTACAGGGAATCTCAAGACTCAGGTCTGTACAAAATCTTGGAGTTACTGAATCATAGCAATCTCTTTAAAGCACCTTCTATGGATACTTAGCCTTTTACTTTTTATCTTTTCCAGTCTATCCTTCTCATCAGTATATTCCTTATTCTTTTGTTTTTGTTTTGATTTTCCTTTGCTCGTTATCATTCTTCCCCCTTTTTCTACATGTATCTCTCCTTGCACCATTATTCTCTCCTCTGCTTCCTCTGGCGTCTTTTCTTCATGTTCTATTGTTCAATGACCATTACCTTGATTTTTCCTACCTCGTTTTCTTATCTCACGTTTACTGATTTCTTCTGTTTTCTTACATTTCTTTACTTACACCATCTTCATTTAAATTTTTCTGCCTCTTCATCCATAGAGTAAATATCAAACATCTGAAGCAGCTTTATTGAGGCAGAATTCATATATCACATAATTCCCCATTTAAAGTATAATATTCAGTGGCTTTTAGTATATCCACAGAGTTGTACATCCACCACCACAATGGACTTTATTTCTTCTTTTTTTTTGAGATGGAGTTTCACTCTTGTTGCCCAGGCTGGAGTACAATGGTGCAATCTCAGCTCACTGAAACCTCCACCTCCCAGGTTCAAGTTATTCTCCTGCCTCAGGCACCCAAGTAGCTGGGATTACAGATGGCTGCCACCACACCCGACTAATTTTTGTATTTTTAGTAGAGACGTTTCACCATGTTGGTCAGGCTGGTCTTGAATTCCTGACGTCAGGCCTTCCACCCTGTCGGTGTCCCAAAGTGTTGGGATTACAGGCATGAGCCACTGTGCCCAGCCCACGATGAATTTTCAATCATTTTCATTGCCTCAGAAAGAAACACTGCACTCCACAGCCACCACCTCCCCTTCTCCCGCGCCCCTAGTTAACTCTCCAGCCCCAGGAAACTACTAATCTACTTTCTGTCTCTATAGGTTTGCCTATTCTGGGCATTTCATATAAATAAAATAACACATGATCCTTTGTGACTAGTTTCTTTCAACAGATTTATCAACGTTATGGCATAGATCAGAATTTCATTTCTTTTTTTTTAGACGAAGTTTTGCTCTCCTTACCCAGGCTGGAGTGCAATAGCGCGATCTCGGCTCACCACAACCTCCGCCTCCTGGGTTCAGGCAATTCTCCTGCCTCAGCTTCCCGAGTAGCTGGGATTACAGGCACGCACCACCATGCCCAGCTAATTTTTTGTATTTTTAGTAGAGACGGGGTTTCACCATGTTGACCAGGATGGTCTCAATCTCTTTACCTCGTGATCCACCTGCCTCAGCCTCCCAAAGCGCTGGGGTTACAGGTGTCAGCTACTACACTTGGCCTTTTTTTTTTCTTTTTTTTTTTTTTTGACAGGGTCTTGCTCTGTCACCCAGGCTGGGGTGCAGTGGTGTGATCATAGCTCACTGAAGCATCTATCTCCTGGGCTCAAGAGATCCTCCCACCTCAGATTCCTGAATAGCTGGGACTACAGTAGTGTACCATCAGGCCTGGAGAATTTTTTTATCTTTTCTAGAGATGGGGTATCACTATGTTTCCCAGGCTAGTCTCAAACTCCTGGATTCAAGCTATCTGCTCACCCTGGCTTATCAAAGTGCCAGGACTACAGGCATGAGCTACGACGCCCGGCCCATTTATTTTAATTGTGAAATAATATTCTATTGTATAGATCTACCATATTTCATTTATCCATTCATCAGCTAATGGACATCTGAGGTGTTTCTGCTTTTTTGCTATTATGACTAATGCTGCTATGAACATTTATGCACAGGTTTTTGTGTGGACATGTGTTTCCCCCTCTCTTGGGTATATATCTAGGAGTGGAGCTGCTGGATCACACGGCAGCTCTACGTTTAACCATTTGAGGAACTGCCAGATTGTTTTCCAAAGTGGCTGCACCACTGCACATTCCCACCAGCAGTGTATAAGAGTTCCAATTTCTCCACATTCTTGCAAACACTTGTTATTATCTATGTCTTTAATTATAGCTATCCTAGTATGTATGAAGTGGTATCTCATTATGGTTTTGATTGTAGTTCCTTAATGGGTACAATAAATATGCTAAAATCTCCACCACATAAGAAACCTTTAAAATGTCTTCTAGGGGCCACAGTACATCACTGAAAAATTGTCATGTTTTCGTGTCTCACACAGAAAGGTTAGGGTATGTAGATGAAAGAAAATCTTTCATGTGCTTAGACTTTTCTCTAAATCCCAAAGTGAGGAGCAAAGCAGACTAAGGCATAAGAATAATGCCTACGAATAAAGAACCCTAATTCTAATTTTGTTTACTATTTCTAGATCATTCAATTCTTACCCCTCATTTCTTCTTCTGTTCTTTCTAGGCAAATAATAAATATTTATAATTTTTTTCTTTGAAGATTGTCTGTGGCCCCAGTATTCAACATGAAGATAGAAAATGTTAGAAAAATATATATAACTGCCCTTGTTCCTTAAGAATAGCCACATGTACTCACTCATCAAAGTTCAGTGTATTTGTCCAGTTCAGCACTTCATCCACTTCCCATTCCATCACAGAATCTATGCCACCATCTTCAACAGCTCTAATCAGGTCTTTTGTTGTAGTGTGAATTAGTCCTAGAGTTTCATGATGTGTTGACTTAGCCTCCAGACTTCCGGAGAAGTACCTAAATAGAGGAAAGGGAAAGAGACGTAAATATTTTGAAATAAGAGATTACAAGTAGATGCAAGTGACATATATTGTTATTTACATGTTAAAACTATATACATATTGAATAAAGTTTTCATCCTATATAACGCAGAGGCATCTAAACCAAGATCGATGTGATGAAATCATTTGGGGGAAAAGCAACTTGATCAACCACACTAACTTCAGATCACCCCTCACTATGTGGCGTTTTTATGATACAAAGAAAAAGTTATTAAATTGTTGAATCATAGAATTATTGAGTGGAAATGATCTTAGAAACCAAATAACTAACCTACTCATTTTATAGGTGAGGAAATAAATCTTCGAGGAGTTAAGTAAATTTTACAAAATCAAGAGGCTAATGGCAGATGAAGAGAGAAGGAAGGTGAAAAAAGGAAAGAGAGGAAGAGTTAAAGGGAAAACAGATACTGACATTTTCTTTGTGCCAGACGCTTTTCATACATTCTTATTTCTCTTTAAATAGACAGAGCCAGACCGGGCACAGTGGCTCACACCTGAAATTCCAGCACTTTGGGAGGCCAAGGCGGGCAGATCATGAGGTCAGGAATTCGAGACCAGCCTGGCCAACATGGTGAAACCCCAACTCTACTAAAAATACAAAAATTAGCCAGGCATGGTGGTAGATGCCTGTAATCCCAGCTACTCAGGAGGCTGAAACAGGAGAACTGCTTGAACTCGGGAGGCAGAGGTTGCAGTCCGCCAAGATAGTGCCATCGCACTCCAGCCTGGGCAACAAGAACAAGACTCTGAAAAAAAAGGAAAAGACACAGCTATTTGTGGCAGCTATTTTTATTTCCCTTTTACAGATAAAGAAACTGAGACTTGGAGAAGCTAAAATATTGTTCAAGGCCAGGCACAGTAGTGGCTCAAGCCTGTAATCCCAACACTTTGGGAGGCTGAGGCAGGAGGATCATTTGAGGTCAGGAGTTTGAGACCAGCCTGGGCAACAGAGAGATCCTCATCTCTATTAATAATTTTAAAAATGCTTAAATAAATGGTTCGAGATCATGTAGTAGTAAATATATATGAGAGCCAGGATTCAGACCCTTAGTCTTATGTTCGGCCTCCTTCTGCAGCACTGCCTGTCTTAATCCGAGCACTTAAAATAATATATTCACTGATAATGAGCTGAGTAACTAGAGATAAGTTAGCAGTCCTTACCAAGATCATCAAAACTTTTTTTGGCATTCATCTTAAGATCTACATTGGTAGTCATTTTAAAGGGTCACCTGTTTTCAAGCTGTATTCATTTATTAATTCAACACTTATTGATTAGGAAACAGCACAGTGGTGATATGAAGCAAGACTCTGGTATCAAACTATCTGGATGTGAATCTTAGTTCTGTGTTATATAATCTTTGCTAAGTAACTTAGCCTTTCTGGGCCTGACTGACCTCTTCCTTAAAATGGTAATCAAGGCCAGGTGTGGAGTCTCATGCGTATAATCCCAGCACCTTGGGAGGCTAAGGCAGGAGGATCGCTTGAAGCCAGAAGTTTAAAAATAGCCTGGACAACATAGTGAGACCCCATCTCTACAAACAATAAAAGAAATTAGCCAGGCATGGTGGCACATGCCTGTAGTACCAGCTACTGGGGAGGCTGAGGTGGGATAGTTGTTTGAGCCCAGAAGTTCAAGGCTATAGTCAGCTATTATCACACTACTGCACTCCAGCCTGGGTGACAGAGACCTTAACTCTTAAAAAAAAAAAAAAAGTAATCATAACACTACTTCCTCCTGGCATTCTTAAGAGATTAGAAGTATCAATCCATGTGGACTGGGCATGACGGCTCATGCCTGTAATCCCAGTACTTTGGGAAACTGAGGCAGGAGACTCCCTTGAGCCCAGGAGTTCAGGACCAGTATGGGCAAAACAGAAACACCTTCTCTCTACAAAAAAAAAAAAAAAAAAAAAAATATATATATATATATATATATATGTATTTTTTCCCTAACCCTAACCCTATTTTTTTTTTTTTTTTGAGACAGAGTCTTGCTCTGTAACCCAGGCTGGCGTGCAGTGACACAATCTCAGCTCACTGCAACCTCCGCCTCCCAGGTTCAAGTAATTCTTCTGCCTCAGCCTCCCTAGTAGCTGAGACTACAGGTGCTTGCCACCACACCCGGCTAATTTTTGTATTTTTAGTGAAGACAGGGTTTCACCATATCGGCCAGGATGGTCTTGAACTGCTGACCTTGTGATCTGCCCACCTCGGCCTCCTAAAGCGCTGGGATTACAAGTGTAAGCCTCCGTGCCCAGCCCTAAAAAAATGTAAAAATAATAAAAAAGAAAGTGTAAATCTATGGAAAGCATTTTGAACACTGGTACACAATAAGCATTCATAGGCTGACACTGCATTGAGTGGTAGGGCTATAAAAGTGAGAAGATACATCCTTGCCCTCATGAAATTTCCACTTCATCAGATTTTAAATGGAGAATGATCCGTAAGAGCAAATGCTCTGTTGCCCGGGCTAGAGTGCAGCGGCACGATCTCGGTTCACTGCAACCTGTGCCTCCTGGGTTCAAGCAATTCTCCTGCCTCAGCCTCCCAAGTAGCTGGGATCACAGGAGGGCACCACCATGCCTGGCTAATTTCTGTATTTTTAATAGAGATGGGGTTTCACCATGTTGGACAGGCTGGTCTCAAACTCCTGACCTCAAGTGATCCACCCACCTCAGCCTCCCAAGGTGCTGGGATTACAGGCATGAGTCACGGTGCCAGGCCTCTTTTTTTTTCTTTTTTCAACAGTGAAATATAACAATTCAGATATCTTTTTCTCTTATTAAGGAAGTATAAACGTACTTTGTTTTTAAGAGAGTCAGTAATTGTTCAAATAATTTAATTCTCAGGTTTTGAACTCTTTTAAAATGAGTTACTATTATAACTAAGTAGTATAAATATTGATAAAATAATAGGTTTGCAAGTAGAAATAGTGTTTCAAATATACTGATAAATAAAAGATCACTTTATAAATATAACTTATTTCATAAACAAATGATCTTTTAAAAAGACATAAAATTGGCTGGGTTGGTGGCTCATGCCTGTAATCTCAGATCTTTGAGAGGCCAATGTGGGCGGGTCATTTGAGGTCAGGAGTTTGAGATTTGCCTGGCCAACATGGTGAACCCTAAGCTCTACTAAAAATACAAAAATCAGCTGGGCATGGTGGCATGTAGCTGTAGTCCCAGCTACCAAGGAAGCTGAGGCACGAAAATGCTTGAATCCAGAGGCAGAGGTTGCAGTGAGCTGACGTGGTGCCACTACACTCCAGCCTGGGCAACAGAGCAAGACTCTTTCTTAAAAAAAAAAAAAAAAGACAAAAAATTTATAGGTAATTTTGCAATATATTTTTGGTTGTATTCACTTTAACATGATCATATATTCTTTCTAAACTAGGAAATTTAAAGAGAAAGAATATTATAAGAAATGTTTGTCTGAATGTCATTAATAGAGAGAAAAGTTAAAATAACAATGACCTAGGAAGAATCAAAGCTTAAGTTGCAAAGGAGGTTGAGGAAAGCTAAGATCTATAGAACATAGGAAGAAACAGGATTTAAAAACCAGAATTCTTTTAGAAAGACAGGGGTAAAAAAGTCAAAATTTTGTTGATTTTGTTCATTACTGATTCTCAGCAACAGTCAGAATGAAGAGTGTTTAAAAGCCATCAATGAACACAGTACACAAAGTAAAATTTCTCATTCATTCCCTGCAACTCTATGAAAAGGAAACTAACACACCCAGTCATAAGAATTCATTCATTCATTTATTTATTCTATGAGCAACATACATTCATTAAGTACGAACTATGTCTGAAATCCTGTGCTCATAAATAGAAGTCTCTGCTCTACAGGGACTCAAAATCTAGTGGAGATGGCAGACAAATACACAGATAATTGCACAAATGTAACCACTGAATATATAAAAGATCCATGGGGCAGATCAAAAGGAAGTACCTAATTGTGTCTAGGTAGGTAAGGGAATGTTTCAGAAGCAGATATTTGGGCCAAGTATCAAAAGATGAAGATGTTGTTGCCACGTAACTGAGCACCCTAGGGAGAGGAAATATCACAGGGGGTGTAGGTAATGGGGAGCCCTTAAAATGTTTTAGGTAGAGAAATGATTTCAGTCTTAGAAACATCAGTTCAGTGTTTATAGAGAGAAGATGAAGAGACTAGAGACGAGGAAATTCATTAGAAGGTAGATGAAAAATGATGAGATGTTACAGTGGAGAATAAAAGGTCAGATTTGGGAGATACTTTGGAAGTGGAATAGGACTTGATGACAGATACATGTAGGCACTTGTAAAAGAGTGAGGAATCTAGGATAGGCCTCTGTTTCTGACTTGGATGACTGTCTAAATGGTGGTGTCACAAGCTAAGATCAGAAGAAATCCCGAGAAGAGACAACTTTTATGATGGGGAAGATTAGAAATTCAGTTTTGGAACTGTTGAGTTTGTCATAGAAATACCCACATAATGAGAAATACAGAGCTCAGTTACAGATGAGGATTGTGCTAAGGGTAAACGAGCACAGAGAGAGGTAAAGTAGTATGTTATTCTGCATGTACATTGGCTTATCACCAGGTGCCGTCTCCCAGCTGGTACTGTGACGGTGCTTCAGCGAGTCATACCACCATTCTGTCAAAGCCAGCTGTTTCTAGGTGACGGCACATACGGTAGGTGAGTTTTGTTGTTCTGAGCCCATAATCACACTTCCTTTACTGTTAATGGGTTTCCTAGAGGTAATGTTGCATGCAATAAAATGATGATGGATAATGCATTATTATGAGAGGTGTTGTTGCCAGAAGTAATGCAGGCAGAGAAATAAAATTAATATCCAGAATATTTGCCTATCACTGTGAGGACAAATGGATGCCTCCTTTATTATGGGAATGGTCTGATATAATCAGCCTGTCACCAACTAGCCAGCATATCTCATTACTGGGGGCAAAGCAATGGCCTTTGCTATACAGTCAGCTGTGACTACAGCCAGAACGACTTTGGTGAGGGGAAGACCATGTTGCTGAGTCTATATAAAGCCTCCATCCCTGTAATCCTGGCCACTCTGGACAAGACTCCATGATGAAACCACTGAGGTGCCAGAGGAAAAAGCTGACATTCGCAAGATGGATCATCCTGTCCATCTGATTACTGAGAGCTGTCTGCCTCATATATGCCCTTTGGAGGGCATTCATGTGGGACAGAAATATCCTTTGTATCCATTCTGAGTATACCTCTACCCTGACCTACTCACCAATTTCCCAATTTTATTCTTTGTGAATGCTGATCAGCTGGGAAACTATAAATGTCAGTCAGCGCAGTCAGTGAGATCCCTACCACAGGCTGCTACCCCTTCAAATGAAGTGGAAAACCAAATGTACCACCTGGAGTTATGCTCACTGGAAGAATATCCTTTGATCATTTTCTGGGCTAACAGGGGAATTAAAATCAGTAACTGTCCATTTTTAGAAGGCGCAACATCCTGTACAGATCCAACTTATTTCTCCAACATATTCCTCCCTGCTAACTTGTCACAGGGACTCTCCATGAAGCCAAAGGTATGGAGATGATGTAGAGGCAATGCAGCATAAGTAGTGGTTGCAGCAGTCTGAGCCACCTGCTCATGCAGCTTACTTGGGCCTTCTGGACCTTCTCAGAACCATTCCCATATTTATTTTATAAATAAATAAATTTATAAAATAAATTTATTTTCTACTGAAACAGTTTTACATACTCTAAATTTTATGGTTTAATTGATTAGATAAAACCCAGGTCAGTTCATGATCATAGCACTTGATATCCTATTGCCAAGTATCTACCAGGACCCACTTGCAAATCTGGAACAGATTTTCAAATGGAGAATAGCTTCTGTCAGAAGAGGAAATTCATTACCTTCTTCCTAAACCCTAGAGGTCTGTGCTCTAATTCTCCCATTTGGACTCTTTAGGGGCTCTACACAGTTTTTCACTACCATGAACATTTCTAATGCTGTCGGGACTGCCGGGCCATAAACCCCAAGTTGTAGGGCAGCTTGACTACATTGTCTTTCTTGCTCATGTCCCACTGGAGCCAGCTGGCTTTACTAGGTCACCTAGTAAAGGAGAGCAGCATGCCCAAAATGTGTCATACGTTAGCTCTCAAATTGAGAGAGGGCCTCTAAGTACTGTGCTTCTTCAAGGTGAATGGTACAAGGTACAGTAATTTGTATCTCACTTTCTAAAGGATATCTCAAATGTCTTTAAGCTTCAGTTATATGCCAGAACCTTAACTTTTTCAAAGTTTGTCTGCCTCCTTGTAGTGTGCCTTTGTCCTACTAAGCCACCAAGGGAGTTGTTATTTTCTGCTCACCACACCCAATCAAGGTAAGAACATCAATGTAATGAACAGGCATAACGTTCTGTGGAAACAGATGTACAAACCCCTGGAGACGAGAGCAGGAAAGCTGATCTATCTCCAAGAGCAAGACGTAAAAACACACTTTGTTCTTTCTGTGAAAATGCAGACTGCTTCTCCTATTGCTTAGTGATTGGGATGGGATGGGAAATAACACATTTGCCAGGTCACTTGCAGCATACCAGGTGCCAGGGGCTGTGTTGATTTCCTCTATTGAAGAAGCCACAACTGGAAGCCTCGCTGTAACTGTGTCATCACCTGACCTCTTCCACTTCGAGGTTCCATTAGTCCCAGTGACCCGAACGAACCAATTCCATCGCAGCCTCCCCTAACATAATCTCCATCCTTGTAAAGAACCGCTAACACGGAGTTCATCAAGCAGTATGCTACTCCTGGGCCTTGCATGGTGGCTCACGCCTGTAATCCCAGCATTTGGGAGACCAAGGCAGGCGGATCATGCGGTCAGGAGTTCGAGAGAAGCCTGGCCAACATGGTGGAATCCTGTCTCTACTAAAAATACAAAAAAATTAGCCAGGCATGGTGGTGCGTGCCTGTAATCCCAGCTGTCGTGAGGCTGAGGCAGAAGAATTGCTTGAACCCAGGAGGCGGAGGTTGCGGTGAGCCAAGACTGAGCCACTGCACTCCCGCCTGGGAGACAGAGTGAGACTCCGTCCCCTTGCCCCCACAAAAAAAAAAAAGAAAGAAAAAGAAATATGCTGCTCCCCTCAACAAGCTATTACTACATAGCTTGACTGAAAAAAAAAAGGTATCTCTTGGGACTTCCCGGGGTGATGGCGAGATGGTGGTTTAGTAGACTGCACACACACACACACACACACACACACACAATTCCCTGAACTTTTAGAAATCCTTTTTCTACAGTATGCCAGAGAAGTTCCGGCATTTTGCAAAGGTAGAGCTTTCGTTGGCTCTACCTAAATTAGGCTTTGATTAGATCATTAACATAATTTCTGGGAACTCAAGCCAAAACATTAAATCCACAATCCCAGGTAAGTATGGTCAAATCAGTAAGTTCAGCCCAACCAACTGGATCTAACAATCTTAGGATCCACCCTCACACAATGCTTCTGAGACTGCTGGCAATACAGATTAGTAAATTCTTGTAACTCTTCTGGTTTTCGAAACGATCTCCTCTTGGAGTGGACCTTCTACTGCTGTCTAGGCTGTCCTGAGATACAAATCTCATTGTGAGCTGAAGGCAATGAGAAATAGTGGAGGGGGAATCCTGAGGACAATCAGCATAAATGTGTGTGGTAATTGTGCAGTCACTGAAACGCTTTTATGCAGAGAAGAGGTGCTTCCCTCAAAAGGGAGAGCAAGGATTCCCTATACCAACAAGGCACTTTGGAAGCTCAAAGTTCTTAGCCTTGTGTATGTTTGCCCAAATGTCCTAATCCCAGGTCTCAGGGTTCTACTTCTTCACCACTAGTGCCCTCCTCTTAGTGCAAAAGACCTGGCAGGGTTAAGCATCTGGTAGTGCAATAGGCACTGTAACCCTGTGACCCTGGCAATGGAAAACGGGGTTGCCCTCAACCCATGCTGTGATTACAAGAGATGAAGGGCCACTTCAGAGCTGCCAGGGAGGTCTTCTGATTGTCGGTACATGTTCTTTATTTTTTAAACTATTTTACTGAGGTATGGTTGATGTTCAATAAACTACACATATTTAAATCGTACAATGTACCATTTTGACATGTTTATATACCTGTAAATCCATCACTACAATAAAAAAATGAATCTATCCATCACCCTCCAAAGTTTCCTTGTATTCCTTTGGAATCCCTCTCTCTTTCCCCTTTTCCATCTCCAGACAACTGCTGATCTTCTTTGTGGACTGCGGATTTGTGTCTTCTAGAACTGTTTGTAAATGGAATCATAGCGTATGTACTATTTTTTGACAGATTTCTTTCATTCAGCATTATTTTGAGGTTGGTCCATGTCATCTGTGCATCAGTAGTTCATTCCGTGGTGCTGCTGAGTAGCATTCCTTTGTGTAGACATCCTATCACTTGCTTACCCATTCACCTGCTGATGCACATTTGTGCTGTTTCTGTTTTTTCACTATTATAATGAGAAATAAACCAGCTATGAACATTCACAAAGAATCTTTCTGTGAACATGTTTTTATTTCTCTTGGGTAAATATGTAGGGGTAGAATGACTGGTTTAATAGTTTACTTGTTTAAAATCCCAGCACTTTGGGAGGCTGAGGTGGGTGGATCACGAGGTCAAGAGATCGACACCATCTTGGTCAACAAGGTGAAACCCCGTCTCTGCTAAAAATACAAAAATTAGCTGGGCATGGTGGCACGCACCTGTAGTCCCAGCTATTCAGGAGGCTGAAGCAGGAGGATTGCTTGAACCCAGGAGGCGGAGGTTGCAGTGAGCCGGGATCATGCCATTGCACTCCAGCCTGGGTAACAAGAGTGAAACTCCATCTCAAAAAAAAAAAAAAACCTGTCAAACTGTTTTCCAAAGTGCACACACTAATTTCCACTTGCTCCATATCCTTGCCACCAATTGGTATGACAGACTATTTCAGTCATTCTAGTGGGTATGTAGCGGTATCTCATTATTGCTTTAGTTTGCATTTCTCTAATGATTAATGATGTTAATCACTGGTTGAGTTGTGCTCATTTGCTATCTACATAACTTCACTGGAGTGTTTATTCAAATTTTTTGCCCACTTTAAAATTTATTGTTTAGAGTTTTTTTAAAAACATATTCTTGATTCAAGACCGTTGTCAGACACATACTTTGCAAATGTCTTATCCCTGTCTATGGCTTGTATTTTTATTTTTGTAACATGTCAGTCAAAGAACAAAAGCTTTTAATTTTGATGAAGTGAAACTTAAAATTATTTCTTTTATAGTTCCTGGCTTCTGTGTCCTCTTTAAAAAATCTTGGCCAGAACAAAAGGCACTAGGATTTTCTCCTTCAATTAGTTTTTTAGATGCTTTATGGTTTTTGCTCTTATACTTAGATTAATGATCTCTTTTCAGTTAATTTTACACATGCTGTAAGATAAGACTCGTTTCAATTTTATGCATTTGATATCCAATTTGTTGAAAAGACTATTTTTTTCCCAATTTAGTTCCCTTGACACCTCTATTGAAAATTAATTAACAATATATATGGGGGTTTATTTCACAATTCCATATTCAGTCCCATAATCTGTACATTTGTCTATATGCCAATACCACAATGTCATGATTATAGTAGCTTTACAAGTCTTGAAATCAGGCTGTAAGTACAGTTCTCCAAATGTTTTTTTTTTCCCAAATACTACATACTTCCTTCGTGTTTCATCAACTTACATTTGCCTCATCCACTCTATTTTTCTAAGTTTTCTTTTCTTTTCCAAGTCTTGCCTTCTCTTTAGTTTAGAGAAATGGAATTCACTTTCCTTTTTGTCTTCCACCACTATACTGTCAGTAGATAGCCAAAACTATTGAGAAGCAAAAATAAATATAGAAAATGTTGAAATACTGATTGTGAGGTTATTTGCCAATAGACAAGAACTTCTATGTGCTCAGTAGGAATATGCCAAGATAGAAATAGAGGAGAGGATAGATCCTTTCGAGGTATTTCTAATTAACTGAGGGGCAAGTAGTACACTCAGCCTTCAGAAGCACATGCTACAGATAGATCGACAAAGTACCAGTGTACTGAGGTACTTAATAAGTATTTGTTGAATGGATAAAAAGATATATCCTAAGAGTGTCTCATCTTATCACATGATGACTAAGCTACTCTTAGTGCTGATAGCTTTCAATTACTCTAATCCTCAAGGAGCACAGCCACCTTTCAGGAATGCAGAGGTCCCTGTATCATGCCCCAAGACTTTGTGGTTTCCCCTTTATGACACTTTCTCCTAAATGGTTGTCTATTTTCCCCCTTCCAACTCATTCCCCTTGCTCTATCAGACACACCCTAGATAATAAGGAGAGTTTGTTAATCCTTCCAAACACTATGTATTTGCCCTTCTTAAACCACTTAACATGTTTACTACATTGTATTAAAATGTCCTGTTTACTTGACTGTCTCCCTAATTGAAAGGCAAATGACTTAAGTCTATCCCCAGCATCTAGAACAATGTCTGGCATATGGTTGATATGCAATAGTTTATCAAACAAATTAATTCATGCCTTGATCATTTTTACACTTCATATATTCTTTTGTTTTATTTTGCTTTTGCTGTTTGTTTGCTTTTTGAGACAGTCTCACTCTGTCACCCAGGCTGGAGTGCAGTGGCACCATCTCAGCTCCAAGTGCTGGGATTACGGGCATAAGCCACAGCATCTGGTAATACTTAGTGTTAATATAGTCAACATATCACATTCTACAATCTGTACACTGAGTATATAATCTGCTGAGTACCAGAGAGTATCTAAAGATGGCCTGTTCAAAGCTGATAATTAAAAGTAGAATTAAACGCAGTAAGAAAAGAAATTGCTGTTCCTTGAAGTATTATTAGCAACCCCTGAGTAGCTAATGTAAGCAAAATTTATCAATTAAACTAATAGAATTTGTTATTTTAAAAAGTAATTTTAAGGTTAATTTTCAACAAAATGGATTTCTAAACAGATAGGATGGAAAATTATTGACATTTCCCTTTTCTTACTCCATCAGAAACTGCCCTCCAGCCATTGTTTTCTGTACGACGATACCAGTCACTACAATCCTCTTTCTGAAGATGATCATCTTTATTATGAGATGTATGCTTTGCTGGAAGTTTTGCGTAATTTCTGGGGCTGTTAGCACACAGATCTTCAATATGTCTGTGAGTAAAAATTTTATAGTATATATCAGGTGGAAACTTAACCTGTAGATGGAAAAGTTCAAAGAACCATTGTAATATAACTATAAAAATGTTTTACATTTTAAAAACTTACATTGTTTCAATTTCATAAAAATGTGCTTTAACCATCAGATGCCATCTCACGCCAGTTACAATGTGATCATTAAAATATCAGGAGACAACAGATGCTGGAGAGGATGTGGAGAAATAGGAATGCTTTCATGTTGTTGGTGAAAGTGTAAATTAGTTCAACCATTGTGGAAGACGGTGTGGCAATTCCTCAAGGATCTAGAACTAGAAATACCATTTGATCCAGCAAGCCCATTACAGGGCATATACCCAAAGGATCACAGATCATTCTATTATAAAGACCCATGCACACATATGTTTATTGCAGCACTGTTCACAATAGCAAAGACTTGGAACCAACCCAAATGCCCATCAATGATAGATTGTATAAAGAAAATGTGGCACATATACACCATGAAATATTATGCAGCCATAAAACAGGACGAGTTAATGTCCTCTGCAGGTACATGGATGAAGCTGGAAACATCATTCTCAGCAAACTAACACAAGAACAGAAAACTAAACACTGCCTGTTCTCACTCATAAGTGGGAGTTGAACAGTGAGAACACATGGACACAGGGAGGGGAACATTATACACCAGGGCCTGTCAGGAGGTGGGGGTTAGGGGATAGCATTAGGAGAGATGTAGATGATGGGGTGATGGAAGCAGCAAACCACCATGGCACATATGTAACTATGTAACAAACCCGCACGTTCTGCACACGTATCCCAGAACTTAAAGTATAATGATAATAAATACATTATATCTATTTTTAAAAAGTTCTATGAAAAATGTGAGTTAAAACTACTAAACATTCATCCATACTTACTCCACCTAATCTGAATCGCACATGAATGCCAGCAGCAGCGTCTAGAAGCTCTGCCTATGAAAAAAATACATTACTCTTCAGGATTCTGTATGTATCAATTCACTACTTGTCACTCTCTTATCTTAAACAGTTGCTGAATACTGAGTAGGAAAAAGGTCAGGTGACCCAACCTATGATAATTAATTTTAAATTAGAAAAATTTGTTCTTTTTTCTTTTGAGTTGGAGTTTCGCTCTTGTTGCTCAGGGTGGAGTGCAATGGCACATCTCAGCTCACTGCAACCTCCGCCTCCAGGATTCTCCTGCCTCAGCCTCCCGAGTAGCTGGGATTACAGGCATGTGCCACCATGTCTGGCTAATTTTGTATTTTTAGTAAAGATGGGGTTTCTCCATGTTGGTCAGACTGGTCTCGAACTCCCAACCCCAGGTGATCCGCCTGCCTCAGCCTTCTAAAGTGCTGGGATTACAGGCATGAGCCACTGTGCCCAGCTGAAAAATTGTTTAAAAAATTTTTTTGAGACAGGATTTCACTATATTGCCCAGGCTGGAGTACAAAGGAACAATATCAGTTCATTGAAGCCTTAACCTCTTTGGCTCAAGCAATGCTCCCACCTTCCAAATAGCTGAAACTACAGGTGTGTACCATCATATCTGGCTAATTTTTGTATTTTGTGTGTGTGTGTGTGTGTGTGTGTGTGTGTAAACATAGTCTTCTGTTACCAGGCTGGTCTTGAATTCCTGGCCTCAAGTGATATTCCTGCCTTAGCCTCCTAAAGTGCTAGGATTATAGCTAGCCATCAGCCATTACGCCCAGCCATTAAGAATTTTCCTTTGTAAAGAATTATAAAACATTTTATGAACTAAGGACTTAATTTCTTGTGGACATCAATAACTAACAGAGCTATGGTAAATGAAAAAATGATACCAAACTGTTTCCTCTCTATGCAACATATAAACATAAAAGCCAGTGATTTTTCAATTCATAAAACTTTTAAGTAAGTCCTCAAAGTATGATTTACAGTAAAATATTATCTTACAGGTAAATTTAAAGAAAAAATTATGATTGATCAACCTAAATTCAACAGCAGATGATCTTTCCTAGTTAGCTATTGTTAAATTTAAAAAACCATGTTTAAAATTCTGGGCTGGAAATGGTAGCTCACGCCCATAATCCCAACACTTTGGGAGGCTGAGGAAGGTAGATTGCTTGAGGTTGGGAGTTCTGAGGCCAGCCTGGCCAACATGGTGAAACCCCATTTTTACTAAAAATACAAAAAATAAGTGGACATGGTGTTGTGTGCCTGTAATTCCAGTTACTGTGGAGGCTGCGGCAGAATAATTGCTTGAACCAGGGAGGTGAAGGCTACAGTGAGCAGAGAGATTGCACCACTGCACTCCAGCCTAGGTGACAGAGACTTCGTCTCAATAAACAAATAAATAAATTAAATTTTGTAAGAATTGTGGCCAGGCGCGGTGGCTCACGCCTGTAATCCCAGCACTTTGGGAGGCTGAGGCGGGTGGATTACAAGGTCAAGAGATCGAGACCATCCTGGTCAACATGGTGAAACCCCGTCTCTATTAAAGATACAAAAAATTAGCTGGGCATGGTAGCACGTACCTGTAATCCCAGCTACTCAGGAGGCTGAGGCAGGAGAATTGCCTGAACCCAGGAAGCGGAGGTTGCGGTGAGCCGAGATTGCGCCATTGCACTCAGCTTGGGTAATAAGAGTGAAACTCCGTCTCAAAAAAACAAAAAAAAGAATTGTATATACTAGGTTTTCTGAATTTTAGTTTGATACACTGCACCAAATGGAAGTAGAGAAAAAAATTCTTGGTCCTTTATTAGAAGGCAGTGCAATCTTGACTCCTCATCATTTTAGTTTAGATCAGAAAAAAGATGTTATTCAAAATGTAGAGTCTGAAACACAACATTAATTTTGCAGAATAATCTTCACTAAAAACTTTATGAATTCAAGTATGAGGTGTGATAGCCTGTTATGGAACATATTTACTATATTTGAACCATAATAATATACATATAAACTTTTTTTCACGAAGGTGGAAGATCTTAAGTGTATAGTGCCATGAAATTTTACATATGCATTGTATTCTCGTGCTTGGCTTCTTTTGCTCAACGTGAATCGGTGATAAATCTCTAAGATTCATGTATGTAGTTGTAGATAGCAGCAGTTAGTTCTTTTTCACTGCTGTCTACCATTCCATCATAGAATACATCACAATTTATATGATTGTTGGACATTTGATATGTCTCTAGTTTTGGGTAAAAATAAATAAAACTATTGTGAACATTCATTTTCATGTCTTCTGTGGGTTATAGCATATCCAGAAATTAAATACAAGAGGTCATGAGGTATATATGGTACCTATATGTACACAGATGGTCCTGACTTACAGTGGTTCAACTTACAGTTTTGACTACAATGGAATGAAAGTGATATGCATTCAGTAGAAATCATACTTTAAATTTTGAATTTTGATCTGTTCCCAGGTTAGCAATATGTGCTATGATGCTCTTGTGATGCTGGGCAGTGGCAGCAAGCCACAGCTTTCAGTCAGCCACAGGATCATGAGGATAAACAACTGATACTCTACAGGAGTCCGTGGCCTGTTACGACTAGGCTGCACAGCAGGAGGTGAGTGGTACAAGCATTACTACCTCAGCTCCCCATCCTGTTAGATCAGCAGCAGCATTAGATTCTCATAGGCATACAAACCCTACTGTGAACTGTACACATGCACAGGATCTAGGCTGCATGCACCTTATGGGACTCTAATGCCTGATGGTCTACTGCAGAACCGTTTTATCCCGAAACCATCCTCCACATCCCAAGTCTGTGGTAAAATTATCTTCCACTAAACTGGTCCTTGGTGTCAAAAAGCTCAAGGACTGCAGCTCTACACTATAGGCTAAGTCGGTAAGTTATAATGTTTGCCAGGTTAGGTGTATTAAATGCAGTTTTTACTCAACGATATTTTCACCTTGTGATGAGTTTACCTTAACATACACTGCCATAAGCCAAGGGGCATCTTTAATTTGTTGTACTAGTGACTACCACAGAGTTTTCTGAATTTTTGTAACAATTCCCCCACTAGTAATATATGAGAGTTCTGGTTGCTCCATATCCTCATCAACATTTGGTATTGTCAATCCTTCTAATTTTAGCCATTCTGGTGGGGTTATAATGGTAGCTCATCGTAGTTTTAATTTGTATTTTCTTATGACTAACCATGCTGAGCACGTTGCATATGCTTATCGGCTATATGGATCTATCAGTCATGCTAGTGGTTTATCAATTTTATTAACCTATTCAGCAAACCAACTGGCTATTATTTGCACGGTGGCACCATCATGCTTCAGTGCAGCATCAACCTACCCAGCTTCTTTGATCCTTCTGCCTAACTATACCAGGTAGCTGGAAATACAGGCACACACCACCATGACAGGCAAATTTTTGTATTTTTTGTAGGCAAGGGGTTTCTCCATGCTGCCCAGGCTGGTCTTGAACTCCTGGGCTCAAGCAGTCTTTGCACCTAGGCTTCCCAAAGTGCTGGGATTACAGCACTCTCCCACTCCACTCTCTAGGTTCATGGGTATACAATTTTAGTACCCACTTACATGTGAGAAGATTCGATATTTGAATTTCTGTGCCTGACTAGTTTCACTTAAGATAATGACCTCCAGTTTCATCCATGCTGTTGCAAAAGACATTTCATTCTTTTTTTATGTATGTATCCATACCACATTTTCTTTATCCAGTCATCCAATGATGGACACTTAGGTTGATTCCGCATCTTTGCTATTGTTAATTGTGCTTCAGTAAACATAGAAGTGCAGGTATCTTTTTGGTATATTTATTTCTTTTCCTTTGGGTAGATACCCAGTAGTGAGATTGTTCAATTGAATGGTAGTTGCATTTTAGTTCACTGAGAAACCTCCATACTGTTTTCCATAGGAGCTGCACTGATTTACATTCCCATTAGCCTGGCGTGATGGTGCACACCTGCAATCCTAGCTACTAGGAGACTGAGATGGGAGAACTGCTTGAACCCGGGAGACAGAAGTTGCAGTGAACCAAGATCGCACCTCTGCATCCCAGCCTGGGTGACAGAGCAAGACTTCATCTCCAGAAAAAGAAAAGAAAGTGAAGAAACAACAGATTCTGGGAGAGGATGTGGAGAAATAGGAATGCTTTTACACTGTGGGAGTGTAAATTAGTTCAACCATTGTGGAAGGCAGTGTGGCAATTCCTCAAGGATCTAGAACCAGAAATACCATTGGACCCAGCAAGCCCATTACTGGGTGTATACCCAAAGGATTACAAATCATTCTACTATAAAGACACATGCCCATGTATGTTTATTGCAGCACTATTCACAATAGCAAATACTTGGAACCAACCCAAATGCCCATCCATGATAGACTGGATAAAGAAAATGTGGCACATATACATCATGGAATACTATACGGCCATAAACCAGGATGAGTTCATGTCCTTTGCAGGGACATGAATGAAGTCAGAAACCATCATTCTCAGCAAACTAACACAGGAACAGAAAACCAAACACCTCGTGGTTCTCAATCATAAGTGGGAGTTGAACAATGAGAACACATGGACACAGAGAGGAAAACATCACAAACCAGGGTCTGTTGGGGGCCGGGGGCTAGGGGAGGAATAGCATTAGGAGAAATACCTAATGTAGATGACAGGTTGATGGGTGCAGCAAACTACTATGACACATGTATAACGATGTAAAAACCTGCACGTTCTGTACATGGATCCCAGAACTTAAAGTATAATAATAATTTTTAAAAAGCACCAGCTGGGTGTAGTGGCTCATGCCTGTAATCCCAGCACACTAGGAAGCTGAGGCATAAGAGGAACTGCTTGAGCCAAGGACTTTTGAGAGCAGCCTGGGCAACCTAAGGAGACCCCATCTCTACAAAAAATGAAAAAATTTGCTGGGCATGATGGCGCGTGCCTGTTGCTCCAGCTACTTGTGAGGCTGAGAAGGGAGGGTCACTGGGACCCAGGAGGTTGAGGCTACAGTGAACTGTGATCATACCACTGCATTCCAGCCTGGGAGACAGAACAAGACCCTGTCTCAAAGGAAGAAAAAGGAAAAAACAAAAAGGCATCAACACATAGAAAAATGATAAATTGAACTACATTAAAATTGAGAACTGGCTGGGCAGAGTGGGCTCACGCCTATAAATCCCAGCACTTTGGGAGGCCGAGGCAGGCAGGTCACCCGAGGTCAGGAGTTCAAGACCAGCCTGACTAGCATGAAGAAACCCCGTTTCTACTAAAAATATAAAAAATTAGCCAGGCATGATGGTGCATGCTTATAATCCCAGCTACTTGAGAGGCTGAGGTAGGAGAATGGCTTGAACCTGGGAGGGGGAGTGTGGTGAGCCAAGATCGCGCCATTGCATTCCAGCATGGGCAACAAGAGTGAAACTCTGTATCAAAAATAATAACTCTGTCTCAATAATAATAATAATAAAACAAACAAATAAATAAAATTGAGAACTTTGTTCATCAAAAGACATCACTGCTTCAAAATAACCTAGAGGGTGTAGAAAGTGAATAGAGGTATAGATGAAACAAGACTGGTCATGAATTGCTAATTCTTGAAGCCAGATGATGGGTACATGGTGGGTTATGACTTTACTCTTTTTCCTTTTGCATGTATTTGATTTTTTATTATAAAAAAGACTCCATCAAGAGAGTGACAAGCCATACAGTGAAAAAAAGATGCATGTAACACAGATAACTGACAAAGGACTTCTATAGAGAATATAGAGCCCTTGTGCATTATTGGTGGGAGTACAAAATGGTACAGCCCACTGTGAAAAACAGTATGGTTGTTCCTCAAAAACTTAAAAATGGAATTCCCATATGATCCAGCAATTCCACTTCTGGATATATACCCAAAGAATTAAAAGAAGGGTCTCAAGGAAATATCTATATAACCATTGATAGAAGCATTATTCATAACAGATAAAACATGGAAGCAACCCAAGTGTCCATTGGTGGACGAGTGAACAAGTACAATGTAGTATATACATACAATGGGATATTATTGAGCCTTAAGAAAGGAAAGAAATCCTGCAATAAATTATTATATGGGTGAATCTTGAGGATATTGTGCTAAGTGACATACGCCAATCACAAAAAGACAAGTACTGTATAATTCCACTTCCATGAGGTAATTAATCAAATTCATAGGGACAGAAGGTAGAATGGTAGTTGCTGGGAGATAGGTGGAAGGGAAAATAAGGAGTTACTATTGAATGAGGATAGAGTTGTTTTTTTTTGTTGTTGTTGTTTTGAGACAAGAGTCTCACTCCGTTGCCAGGTGCCAGGCTGGAGCGCAATGGCGCAATCTCAGCTCACTGCAACCTCTGCCTCCTGGGTTCAAGCAATTCTCCTGCCTCAGCCTCCTGAGTAGCTGGGACCACAGGCATGTGCCACCATGCCCAGCTAATTTTTGTATTTTTAGTAGAGATGGGGTTTTACCATGTTGGCCAGGATGGTCTCGATCTCTTGACCTCGTGATCCGCCCACCTCGGCCTCCCAAAGTTCTGGGATTACAGGCATGAGCCACCGTGCCCAGTGAGTTATGGTTTTATAAGATCAAAAGATTTATGGAGATGGGTGGTGGTGATGGTTGGTGATGGTTACACACATTATAAATATTTTTAGAACCACTAAACTGTATTCTTAAAAATGGTTAGGACAGTAAATTTTATAAGTACTTTACCACAAAAAAATAAATTGAGAAAAAAGAAGTAGTTAAAACAAAAAAGATACAAATAACTGATAAAGACCAGGAAGGGGTGTGGCTAATGACTGGTGTGGTAATGCCAGCACTTTGGGAGGCCAAGGTAGGCAGATCACTTGAGTCTAAAAGTTCAAGACCAGCTTGAGCAACGTGGCAAAACCCTGTCTCTTGTAAACATACAAAAAATTAGCTGGACATGGTGGTGTGCAACTATAGTCCCAGTTATTCATGGGGCTGAATGAGTCCAGAAGGCTGAGGTTGCAGTGAGCCCTGATTGTGCCACTGCACTCCAGCCTGGGTGACAGAGACCTGTCTTCAAACAAACAAAAAAGCCAACTTTCCCACATCCCAAAAAAAAGCCCCATAAGGATAGGGAAGACACACACACACAGACACAGAGGAGACCTGAATAAGCACTTTCTGTGTCACAAAAGTATCAGGTAAATACAAATTACAAACTGACAATATTATGTATTGGTGAGAATGTGAAGTACTAAGAATACCAAAAATGGTAAGCAATATCATTTTTATTGCTAGTGCAAATAAAAATTAGTACAATAGCTTTGGGAAAAAGTCTGACATTATCTACCAAAGTTGTGATACACATAACTTGTTGCTCAGCAATTCCCTTTCTAGGTGGAGTACAAACCAAAAAAAAAAATTGTACATGTATGCATGAGGAGACATGAAAATTCTCAGAAACAGTTATTATAATAGCCCCAAAATGGAAAAAATACAAAAGTCAATCAACTGTAGAATTAATAAACAGCAATATATTCATAAAAGTGAATGCCTATTAAAAATTAATTTTACCTATGTAACTATATTGTTGGATGAACAAACATATACCTCAAAGCATACTATAGGATTCTATTAATATACAGCTCAAAAATAGAAAATTAAAGTGTTATGTTAGAGCATAAAATAGTGGTTACCTTTTGGAAGAAAGGAGTTGGCAGTGATTCGTAGGGTACCCGAAGGGAGTGATTTGGAATATGAAAACATTAATCTGGGTGATGGTTACATAGATATTTGCTTTGTGATGATTCATTGAGCTACATATTTATGTTTTATGAACTTTCAACATTGAGATGTCGACCACCACCTGCAGAGGTCTGGCCTACAGACCCTAACTCAATGACAGATGAATAAATGCACTGTCACACCTGGTTCAGTGATTCAAGTGGGCTAGGGATGGTCATCAGCTGCTTTCAGAGGGTGAAATGCAACCAATCAACCAAGATCCCCTGTCCATCTACACATTTACTCAATAATAGATTTCATAACAGAGGTTCAAAGTCAACATGCTTGTGAATAATTAACATGGTAAAATAGTGGTTTTACAAATGATGAAAGCTTTAGGTTCCCGGCCCAGAGTAAAAACTATTAACGGGTAATTCCCCTTTGATCTCCCACTGAGAGGACTATCCAGCACAAAGTTTACATGAGTAAATAGTTATAGTAGAGACAAAGGGATGTGGGGTAAACAGATTTAAAATGGGAAAGCCTTTTATCATCCCTATCTTTTCCCTAACATAATGGACCGGCCATCTTCAGCCTGTCCCAATAAAACCTTTCGGCCTTCCAAAAGGTTTGACATTAATCTATAACTTTCCCTAATATTTTGATAATATTTTGCCAGCCACCCTGAGTGAATCCCAAGACAACATATGTGTAACACTTTAATAAAAAGTTTTAAAAAGAAATAAATATGACGAGCACACTGAACTGATAAAGTAATCACATTTTAAGGAAAAATACAGGCTGCTATACCAATAAGTAATGTTCTTACCTCTTTGGGATTAATATATTTCATTATGTGATGCGGTTCTCCTTGTCTTCTTAAATCAATTAGACTTTTAAAGTGTTGAAATATAGCAACATCCTAAAGGTTCAAACATAAGATTTTATGATTAAAACTGGATTTTCTGATCAAAACTGGATTTTCTATTTCTACTTAGCTTTTTGCCTAATTAGGGCAAAATGAATAAAATACCATAAAACAGATTTTATGTATGCACACTAGATTTTAGAAATATTATGCACTCAGGTTGTGCTGTGATAAGCCCAGTAATATTAGTATAATTCTCACAAAGAGTTTTACTCTTAAATTTGTAATTGTATCACTACCAACTATAAATGTAATATCCCAAACTTTGGTAAAGTCACTTCAGTATACTCTCCAGAGTAATCTAGAAGAAAAACAAAATACAGACTACTGATTAAGAACACTGATTATGGTATACAATATTGTCTGGGTTCAGCTGTTAGTATTTACCAGCTGTGACTCTCCACAAGTTGCTTAACTCTTTGTACTCAGTTTCCTTAACTATAAAGTGGGAATGATAGTAGCCATCTCATACAGCTTTGGTGAGGAATAAATGAATTAATACTTACAGAGCAATTAAAAGTTTCTGACACAGGAAAACACTCAATAAATATTAGCCATTGTTACCACTGCAGAATCCTCTTTATTTCTACAAAAATTCCACTGATTTATTATAGGATTCTGTAATGGTAACAATGATGAGTATTTATTGAGTATTTACCTATTTTTCACATTAGGGCAAGTTTAGCTAAACAATCACAACCAATTCGACTATCTTGGAAAATTACTTCTTTGGTAACCCTACCCTCAGACCCTATCTCCCTAAAAATGTTTAATAACTCTTGGTAAACACCCCACTCCCAGTTTGCATATGTTAAATCAAATAAAATAAATTCCAATGGAAGTAATCCATAGTACCAGCATAACAATCTAAAGCCCCACTATAATTGCCTATGGAAGATGATGCAACCCATGACTATATACTGGTATTCTTCCTGAAAGGAAGACATAATTTTCCCCAAATTAAACCAAATTGAGTATCAAGAAATATTTATTATGGTCAAAAATCTGAATACTATCTTCTAAATAGATGGTTACTATAACAGTTGTCTACGGATACATAACAAACCACCCTAAAACTTAGTGGCTTAGAGCAACGACCATTTATTATTTCTCTCTTTCTGTGGGTTGACCGGGGAGTTCTGCTGGTCTTGGCTGGACTCATACACTGGCTGTAGTCAGCTGCCAGATCAGCTGGAGTTGGGTGATTTAATATGACCTCACACACATATCTGGGTCTTCAGCTGGAATTCTTGGAATACCTAGGATGGCTGGGCCTCTCTTTCCAAACAGACCTTCAGTTTGAGCTTTTTCATAGTATGGAGGTTTTAAAGTACCGAAGAGAGGCTGGTGCAATGGCTTGCACCTGTAATCCCAGCACTTTGGGAGGCCAAGGCATTAAAAAAAAAAAAGTACCAAAGACAGAGAGAAGGGAGAAGGCTTTTTAAGGCCTTATCTTGGAAGTCACAGCAACATTTATTCTGCATTCCGTTGGTCAAACTCAAGTCCTAACAGGCCTCAAGGGGTTAAGTAAATGGTGTGATATACAGGAAATTCCATATATATTACAGCCTCAATTGACCCTGCAGTACAAAGGGGAAGGGAAATTTTTCCACCGGGATAGAAGCTCAAGTAGCATACCTGGTTGTATATTGTGCATGGAAGAAAAGATGGCCAGAAGTATAGATATATAGATGGATGGTGCTGATGGTATGACTGGATGGTCAGGGATTTGGAAAAAGCATGGTTAGAAAATTGGTGATAAGACCGTCTGGGCGAGAGGTACGTGCAGACTTCTCCAAATGGGCACCAAGTGAAAAGATGCTTGTCTTAAATGAATGCTCACCAAAGAACAATCTCAGCAGAGAAGAATCTTAATAATCAGGTGAGCAAGGTGATTCATTCTTTGGAATCAGTCAGCCTTTCTCCCCAGCCACTGCTATCCTTGCCCAACGTGCTCACAAACAAAGTGGTCATAGCAGTAGGAATGGAGGTTACGGCCAGGCGCAGTGGCTCACAGCTGTAAGCCCAGCACTTGGGGAGGCCGAGGTGGGTGGATCACTTGAAGTCAGGGGTTCAAGACCAGCCTGGCCAGCATGGTGAAACCCTATCTCTACTAAAAATACAAAAATTAGCTGGGCATGGTGGCGGGTGCCTGTAATCCCAGCTGTTCAGGAGGCTGAGGCAGAATAATCACCTGAACCCAGGAAGCAGAGGTTGCAGTGAGCCAAGATGGCAACACTGAACTCTGGCCTCGGTGACAGAGGGAGACTCCATCTCAAAAAAAAAAAAAAAAAAAAAAAACCAGAAAGAAAGAAAGAAAAAAGGAATGGAGGTTATGCATAGGCTCAGCAACATGAATTTCTACCCACCAGATATAGCTACTGCCACCACTGAGAGTCCAACTTGCCAACACAGAGACTAACACTGAGCCCCTCATGTGGCATAATTCCTTGGGGGAACTACCTAGCTTCCTTGAGACAGATCGATTATTTGGAACATTTCCATTATAAGAAAGGGCAACACTTTTTTTCCCACTGGAATCGACATCTGATCCTTCCATGTACACAATGCTTTTACAAAACCACCTTCTGTGTACTTTGAAAATGCTTTATTCGCTGCCATGGTATTCCACACAGCATTGCTCCTGATCAGAGAACTTGGTTCACAGCAAGTGTAGCACACCAATGGGCCCATGCTTATGAAATTCACCAATCTCACCTTGTTCCCAATCACCCGGAAGTAACTAGCCTGACAGAACAGTGAAAGGGCATTTTAGAGATTCAGGTGCAGTTAGAGTTCAGTGACAACACTTTTCATACTAGGATGACATCCTCTGTGTTGTAGTAGATGCTCTGAATCAATATGGTGCTATTTCTCACACAGCCAGCATTCCTGAATTTGGGAATTAAGTGGTAGAAATGGAAGTGGCTTCCCCTCAATATTTTCTTTAGTGACACATAAGTGAAAATTTTGCTTCCTGTCCTTCTTTGTACCTTTGTGCTCTGCAGATATAATGGTCTCAGTTTCCATGGGAAGATTCCATTTCCACCAAAGTACACACCAATATTAAATGGAAACTGATACTGCCACTTGGCCATCTTGTGCCTCTCATATCAATAAACCAACATGCAAAGAAAAAAAGAAGGCAATTGTCATCTGGCTGGGGTGATGAATCCTGATTCTTAGCAGAAAATGAGCTATTACTACCAGTGGAAGTTAAGGAAGATGTCTAGAATTCAGGAGATCTTTTGAGGTGTTTTTTAGTAATAGCATATTCTGTAAGTAAAGTTGATGGAAAATTATAACAACCCAAATAGGCATAATTGTTAAAGGTCTAGACCCTTTAGGAATGAAATTTTGGCTCAATCCCTTCCTCCACCCCCCATCAAGGAACCACAACCAGCTGAAGTGCTTGCTGAAAAATAGAGAGAATATGAAATAGCTACTGGAAGAAAAAAGTGAAAAATACCAGCTATAATCCCATAATTAGTTGCTGAAACAGGTAATATCTATGAATATTTCCCCTATATATCTGCATAAAAATATTAGCCATTTTTTTCTTTTGTTTCTCCTGCTCCCATTCCCCTAAAAACAAATGCAAAGTGTGTTAATTACAGTGTGGTAGACAGCATAATGACCCCCAACAAAAGATGTTCACACCTAATCCCTGTAACCTGTAAATATGGTGCTACATGGAGAGCGTGAATTAAGACTGCAGTTGGAGCTAAGGTTGCTAATCACCTGACTGTTAAACAGGAAATTTTCCAAACTGACTCAAGGTAATTGCAAGGGTCCATATAAGAAATGTAGAAGAGTCAGTGACAGAGTGATGTGATGTGAGAAAGACTTGGCAGGTCATTGCTAGCTTTGAAAATAGAAGGGAGTTGCTTCAGGAAAGGATTTTAGAAGGAAAAAAGAAAGAAAGAAAATAGAAGGGTGCCATGAGCCAAGGATGCAGGCAACTTCTAGAAGGAGGAAAAAGCAGAAAATTCTTCCCTAGAGCCTTCAGAAAGAAAGAACTGTACAAGCCCTGCTGACACCTTGATTTTAGCCCAATGAAGCCCATTTCACACTTCACACCTCCAGAACTATAAAATAATACATTTTTGTGGTTTAAACCACTAACTCTGTGGCAATTTTTACAGCAGCATTAGGAAATTAATACAAATGCTTAATCTTCTGTCTGGTATTTAAAGTATATGATATCAGAGATAGAGTACGGTTCAGCAAAAAAGAGAAATAAAAATGATCCAAAAACGGATAAAGGTACTTTTGGGAAAGCTGTGAATATGTTTTGGCCTATATGAGGAATGTTAGATGGAAGCATGGTCTTAATTTAAGTTAAATATGGTTAAGAGGGATGTATATGGACGCTAGGGTGGCAAGGAGTAGACTCTGCTGGATTATTCCATTGTCCACTTGACCAAACATGGACAAATATAAAGAAAATTACTTACAGACGCATCATAATCAAACTGCTAAAAACCAAAGACAAAGAGGCAATTTAAAAGCAGCCAGAAAATAAATACCACATTACTTTCAGAGTAGAAAGAGTAACATTGTTTCTTTACTTTTTAACAGAAACTATGGAAGACAGAATAGAATGGAATGCCATCTTTAAGGTGCTGAGGGGGGGAAAAAAACCCCAATAACATGCCTGTCTAGATTTCTATGAAATGTGATAATATTGTTTGACAAATAACAAGGAAATAAAGATATTTTCAGACAAATAAAAGCTGAAGGGATTTGTCACAGGAGGTCTAGCATCTGTGAAATCTTATAAGAAATACTACAGACTGTATAGGTCGCTCATATCTGTAATGCCAGAACTTTGGGTGGCTGACATGGGAAGATCACTTGAGGCCAAGAGTTTGAGACCTGCCAGGTCAACATAGCAAGAACGCATCTCTACAAAAAAAAATAAAAATAAATTTTTTAATTCGGTGTGGTGATGCGCGCCTAAAGTCCTGGCTACTCAGCAGGCTGAGGCCAGA